TTGAAACAAGATGGAATGAAATAAAAATTTCGGCGAGTCGCAATTCCAATTCGTGACACGCATTGGAAAGAGGGTCTGGTAACAAGTACTAAAATTTGATGAATATTTGCCGATCAAATATTTGATTACTGCAACTAAATAATTTAATTCCATGTATTCTATATACAATATTGTAGTTTCTTATATATATATTGTATATTTAGTATACGATACTAAATTATTTAGTTGCAATAATCAAATATTCGATCGACAAATATTCAGAATCGCCAAATTTTCCTACTTATTACCGAATCCTATTTCCAGTGTGAGAAAAGAAATTACAGCGAAGAGATTTTTGCTACTTCAAAAAACCTCAAAATACGAAAATACGTAAAAAGGATATATATATCAAATATAACAAAATATTTTGATGCGTGTCAAATTTTAACCCTTAAATGCATGAATTTTTTTTCTTACTGAATTATTTTTTTTTAGGTTCATAGTCCCAGAAAATGAGGAAAATATTTAAAAATATCTAAGTAAAAAAAATTCTCTTTATTTTCAAAATTTTTCGTACTTGCAAAAATGCAACATTGTGCACAACAGACATTTTGCAACATAACTTTGAACTGTATACTTAAAGCAGATTGTTGCAAATATGCAATTATGAAGCGTTATGAATTATTCTTGAGGATGAGTATTTTACATGTGGAAAAATAAATATGTTGCAAATTTGCAACACTATACATTTAAGGGTTAAGTATCTCTCTTGCTCTCGCTTCCCTGGATGTTTTTCGATTTGACCGTAACATGAAAAACGTTAGCCGGTCCGGTCGTTACCAGGCCTTGAAATTCTCATCGTGTCGTGCGGGAACGCGGTTGTTCTTCGAGGCAGTTCGCCGCGGGATAAGAATCGCGTTGCGGTCGACCGGCGCGGCACGACGCGGTGGATGCGCGAGAGCGTACACGACCGCCGAACACGTGCGTAGAGAAGTAGTAGCCGTAAAATCGATCGTCTGCGACGCATCTCTATGCGTCGCGCGTGACCCAGCGGCACTCCGCCATGGCGGACGTACGAACGGACGTTTCGTCCCGCTTGAAAAGCCGAACATTACGCCCGGGAGGTTGAAGCCACCCTTCCGAATCGTTATTCTCCCTTCGTGGGTACCATCCGATACCGAGGGTCCCGCGCGAATATCGTCGCCGAAAATTCACCCTTACTCGCTCTCTCTTTCTCTCTGATAAATTTATCCCGAGAAATCCGGTAAATCTGTCCAATATTTTAATAATATAAAACTTATCGATTAATTGATAGAGCAACTGATTTATACACGAAGATCGCAAAGCGAGCGGGCTTCCCGATTTTCAAAACGTACGATACTCGCCGATTGACGACGAATAATTTTATTTTGCCACTTTGGGGCTGCCATTTTCGTCGTATAAATGTACTGCCGTCGCTGGGAAATAAAATCGCTGATAGAGCGCGTGATGCACGCCGCACATGAATCACCTTTAGGGAGATGCGTTTCAGTTTAATCCTCCGAAGGATAAGAGGGGGACAAAACACTCGCTGCCGGAAGGGTTGCGTCTAATGCGCAGGATGAGAGATATACGTTTGTCGTCTACGACTTACACTATTTGTATAAATCGTTTTGACAACGAGCCCTTTCATTAGTAAAAGTTTGTCGGTAAATCTGTCATTAAGATCAAGATCACAAATTGTGTGAAATATTCAACCCTTGTCCGATAGAATTTCGTCCGTTCCGAGAACGGTCCATTGTTGATATTTTTCCTCCCTGTGTTTGCTTTTGCGTGCGCGTGCAAAAACATACACCCCCGACTCGTCAATAGGCGCTAAAAATAGGGAAAAATAATCGATAGAGACGCGATAGCGACTAATTACCAATTCAAACGATCCCGTTACGAAGTCCGGCCATGCAACCGCCTACGAATGTGCATTCAGTTTTCAACCCTTCCGTCCGGCTCCAGGGGCGGACACAAAGCGCAACATGCGCAATTTTATTTACGGACGTTGCGCGCTCGTATGCGAACGCATATATACGCACCTTCCGGGATAAAGGGGCAACGGGAACAAAGAGCTGAAGAAAAGTGCTCCAATGCGACGCACAATAGCAAATTCATTACCGGGAGAGACCACCCCGCCGTGGACACACACACATACACACTCTCTCTCTCTGTTTCATTACCCGAGATGCAGTGTTTGCACCGTACGAACATTTTATTTTAATGTATTAGCCCCTAACTGTGCGCCGGTGTGTGAATAAAAATTGCAGTATCACATTTGAGCAGGTGCCTGTAAAGCTTTTCGTCTTCAACTTCTCAGTGCGTGTAACCTAATACGATTTTATGCAAGGAATTATCAAAATTTACAAACTTACGAACAAATGATGCATCAATCGTTTCCTCTATATTTCAGACCTCCTTTCGTCCACATTGTTATTAATTACAACTGCATTTGTTACGGATGAAATCTAAAAGTCAGCGCGATACCTTTCAGATCTTGAAGGAATATTTTTTTGTATCATTTTTCCATTATTATAATCTGTGCACAATTTCAGCTCTTAGTAAAATACGGAGGATCCTATAAATTGATAAAAATATAAAAAAAAAAAGATGTTGAAATATAAAGATTCACAGAGATATGGTGTCAATCGGGTCAGCTCCATACGCCGAGTTCGATTTTCACGTTAATGTTGATGCGTCGGTTACTTGGAATATTTTATATTGCATTAAAATTGCAACCGATTTTTTATGCTAAATTGTCGAAGAGAGGCTCAGCCGGGGATTAAAGTACCACCACCGATACCTCGTATTATTCGCAAACAGCGATAACGCGCTTATCGTATCGAGGAAAGACGTACGGATTAGTGGGCGAACTTTCGACCCGGCGGCGGAAAATGACGAGCGCGCAGATGCATACAGGGTTGTGATATCCGGTATCGCGATCTTCCGGGGTAAATCGCGAGTTATTTTTAGCGCGCCAATTAGGAGCCGAGCGAGCCGACCCAATTTACAAATTTGCGAGCGACCGCTAGCTCGCGCTTTATTGTTTGCGCCAAGTTTTGCAGCGGAAAAAATAAACTACACATTTTCAGACGTACGTTATCGAGGAGGGGAGGAGGGGGGGGGGGGGCATACNGAAAATAAATCGGAGCCTCATGCACTGCGCCTCGCGCGATAAGGGATTTCATTTCAATGTGCATGCCGTTGTTTAACCGCGACATAGTTTTCCCACTTTTAGTACAACAATTTATACCAAATATAATAAATTGAATGTCGTTAATCTATACGTACAGTTTCCGCGGAAATTGTTATTACTTGGGTATAATCCGGGGGAAAGAGAATTCTTCCTTCCCATTCGCATACCTCTGGGAAACTCACGACGATTGCACGTGTTATCGCGATATCTATCTTTAACTCTATCTGGTGGGCGTACACGATCTCTCTCTCTTTCTCTTCCTAAGCAATTTCGATACAATATCAGATTAAAAGATGCATAGGCTCGAGATTTCGATCTCGATAACGATCCGAGAAGGTAATTTCCGACGTTGCCAAATTCGTGAACCGTCGAATTTCCGATTACCCTGCAGAGCATACGATGCATCTCGAATGCGCGGGTTGTACCGTTTTCGTTGCTCAACCGACATTCCTTCCTTCCCGATACCGCGCGCATTCCGGTCGTGAATTTCCGCTTGCATGTCGAAGCGAAACGGAGCGCGATAAGATCGAAAATTTCACGGCGGCATTCGTGTGCGCGAATTCATCGCGGAGTTTGTTTATACGAAGGGCCAGCGACGAGTTACGTGGCGCTTCTGAAATTCTATTTCGGTTCCGCGAGACGTGCATATTTGGCCTATTATCGCCGTCCCTCTCCCGTCGACCCTCCCCCCTCCGAGTCGCCATGGCCTGCATGCTGTTCGGCACGTAGGCACTTGGCCGTCTCGGCGACGCGGCATGAGCGACATCTGTCGATACGCCGGACGAATTATCGAGGCAGCTAGCGAGCTGCTAGTCGTTTGCTTCGAAAATCACAATAGCCGGTATTCATAGTCGGATCTTATATTTAGGTTTATCTTCAGATGTTTCATGACCAATAAAACAAGCCGTACAATATCTGAAGATAAATTTAAGATGGTCTTAAATATAAGATCCGACTGCGAATATCGGCCAACGAACGAACAATTTACCTTGTGATTACGTCTTTTGTTACGTTTCCGTGGGAAATACCTCCGACATTCGTTATGCTGCGATGTTTTAAGCATGAAACAAACGCAACCGACGGATCAATAATATTAAAACTCTACCATTACCCACGAAGCCGTTTAATGATTGCTACGACGAGATTCACTGGCAAGCGGAAATGGCGGCTGGTAACGATGCGCGAGCGCACTTATCGGTCGAGGTATGCGCGGCTTTATCGACGTCCCGAAAAGGCGACTCTGCTCTTATCGGCGCGAAATTAAAAAAATAAATGGCGAGGATGTGCGGCGGTGGCGAGCCCTTGGACGATGAACCCTGTGTGTACATCGTCCAAGGGCCGACGCCCCCTTCTCAAGGCGAGCAACTCTCATGAGAGATTACGGCATTTTTCCGACGGCGCCATTTTTGCCGCTGGGCCCTTCGCCCTTACTTTTCTAGGACCGCGAGAGTTCAGCGAGGGCCCACGTTAGAATTACGCGCGAGAAATAAGACGAGCTGCGGAAGTTCATGAACCACGGATTCTTTCAACCGCGTTTTCCGCCCTCGGGGCGAGATGAATGTACAGAACGTTCTATAAGTGCATCAACCTTAATGACAGATTCTCCACACGCGGTAATTCCCCAAGTTTTCAGAAAACAACAATGAGGAAAGTTCACGACTGCAAAAAGTACACTCCAAAGAGACAAAGACTTTGAATCTGGGAACAGATATGCCTCCTCAATTCTATACAGTAAGTACTTCCCTGGCTATCAAGGTCTGTGTACATGCGGCAGAAGAAACAAATTTTATCATTCACTCACCACTGGAAGGCATTAAAGTGGAAGTACACCAAACCCAGGCCATAGAGGAAGGAAGCATCTTTCCAATAATCACCTTTCAAGGAGTAGAATTTCTGGTACGCTGACATTGCTGTGACAGAAACAAAAATATATTTACAGACTTTGCTCTGTATTGTGCTTGTGACAATACAAAAAGAAAAAAATAGATATTACTTTATTACATCAACTATTTGTTTCATTTCGTTCCAAGTTTTTACAGTGTGTCATATAAGACACGAAGCAGACTGAAATATTTCCTAAGATATTATTAAGAACATCTTACCTTTGTTATAGTCTTCTAAGAGTAAGTGGAAGTGGCCCAGTTTGCAATATGTCTTAGGATCGATGCTTATACCCTTATCCTCATCTTCATCCTTGGTTTCCTCCATATTGGCCTTGGCGTTGTCAGCCTTCCTGCGCTGTTTCTCTGTCTGAGCTTGCACGAGCATTCGTTCGAGGTATTTAATGGCTCGCACGACTAAGGCCTTCTTCTTGGTCTGCTCTGCAGAATTCAGCTTGAGGAAGCCAAACTGCCGACTGCGCACACACAGCACAAAAATCGCCCCTTGTGTATATACACATATATATTACTATGAAATGTCTGATTACTGTTGATTTTACTACACGCTTTTTACAATCGAAACGTGAATAGCAGTTTCGACTCGAAGAGTCAACATACGCATCAATGTTTACGTTTTTACGATAATCTACGTTTTATCGTCGCTTCCACGATCAGACTGTCGCCAATTGGGCCGTGGCTTTCTCTTTCTCTTTCCCTTTCTCGATCTTCAGGCGCAACGTCTAACGCATCGGGTATCTCGTTCGTATTGTCATCGCGAAAATTTCGCGGCATATTCGCGAAATGTGGTACACTCGGAAGCACGGAAAGGGTGTCAGTAGGTTGCGCGCAGAAGCGCGCTGTCAAACGCATTTCTAGGTTATACCGACCGCGCGCACACACATAGACATTCTGGATGTTCCCCGACGCGACGGATGGGATTATGCGAGGGACGCGTGTCGCGGGACAAGATTACCTGTCCAGCTCCGACAGTGTCTGCAGCTCCTGCGGCGTGAGGTTGATGTCGTCGGTGTCCTGTGCCATTTTTTTTTTTTTCTACGGTCGACTCGGAGTCGGACGAGGCGTGCGCGTGTGTTTCTACCGCACGGACGATCGCATCGTTCACTCGCGGGTCGAAATCATGGCAATCGCGTGATCGGAAAGGCGGCAGTTAACCGGTGTAGGCGAAATCGCGGCGTCGTCATCTCATGACGACGAACGAGCGGCGCAAAACGGCGCGAATCGACGACGACAGTGCGGACACGCACGAATCCCACCACAGCGATGGTCACGCGATGGTACGATCAGCCGTTACCGCGGAGTGTCGGCGCCCGAATGCGCCCGAGCGCTGCCGAACGGAACGCCGGTCGCGACTCCACCTCCCCCGCCCCTCCTCTTTCTTACGCCGCTACGTGCCGCCGCGGGAGCCACGTGACACGTGACATGGCGGCTTTACACTCGAACCCAAAGACACGCGCGCGCTTTTCGAACGCGGGAATCATCGACGTTCAGTCGAGATGGCAGACTTCGAATTCTCGTTATCGATACACATTTCGATCACCTGATATGAATATATGTTTCGCAGGTGTGCAACTAAATCTGCACGCACTGCGACATAGTATAATATATATTTCATTTTTTTTATTTCGGTGCCGCCATCTTACGAAACGTCAATTTGAAAATTGCGCGACATTATTGTTTGCAAATATATTGAATAATATATGAGTAATCAATATTCCGCACTTACGCGTTTTAATGCGTTATGCCTTTATGACTTTTGAATAAAAATCCCTTCAAATTGGTTGGAAAGAAGCGTGGAGTCTGTGTTTCATCTCTGCGCCGGCTGTGTTATGAATCTGGTTGATCATGAATCTTTTTCTCCAGCATGCACTCATAAGAAAATGTAAGTTTTCTTATTTGAAAACATTTGGAATTTTCACTTTTCACGTTCCTGCCTTAGGGAAAAATTATATGATCAATACCCAGAATATGAATATAAAAAAGAGCGCAGTAAATCTAGTACAAGCCAGTTCAGTTATAAAGAACAGTTATAAAGAGCAGACCAGTAAATATGTTGAAGCAGTGTAAATTGCTAAGTGTCGTTCAACAGAAAATCTTACAACGATTGCAAAATGCAGCGGAAAGTGCTTACCAGCTGCTTTTCATTCGCGCAACATTCTCCGCGTCTCCGAACAACTCGAGAGCCCTCTGTCCCAGATTATGCACAATCGCATAGATGCGTATACGGCATTTATATTCGATCTGACAGGGTTGCTGTTCAGAGACTGCGTTCGACACAGAAGTGTTTTGCCAAAGAGAGGTGAGCTCTGAAAAGTGTAATTAGGCCTGATCGCGACACCTCGTCTCTGATCATCGCCGTTGAACACGCTAAAAGCGTTCGATAATTATGCCAACCGTGAAGAATGTCCTTCACTCCAGAATGAGAAACTTCCTTAAACGGTAGTCATCCTTTGTTTTCCAGCGTGTATCGTAGTTCCTCACTGAATCCATTGGTTGTCTAGCTACCGGCGGCTAGATCTCGATGCACGTTGAAAAACAAACGCGAGCTTTTCCTTGTCGACGTTTGGCGATGTTCCCTGAAAAGAAAAGAGAGGACAATGTCTCGAATTCAGTAGAATTTCATCATCGATATATTTAAACATTTTTGTCGTATCGTAGATATGTGTCAAATGAAGATCACGGAATCTGTTGTTTGTTTGTGACACGCGATCTGTTTGTCATGCGATTTTCCAAAATATGATTGTTCCTAAAGTAACTGTCATCGCAGCCTAAAATTTGACTGTCAAATGTAACAGATGACATTAAGAACGTACATTACGTAAACACTCGTGTTAACTTGCTCTTAAATGTGATTTCTAAAGAAACTGCAAGTTTTTTTTTATATAATGTTATACTTTTTTTTTTTAGCAACAAGATGAGTTCATCTAAGAAAAACAGAGAAGAAACAAATGATGAAGATGATTTCGTTGTGGATGTGTCGAAAGAAGCAAAGACTTGTTTAGAAAAATTTCTAGGAGATGTGAGCAAATCTTCAGCCACCAAGCAAATAATCATTGGTAGCACATCAGGATGGTATTATATGTTTCACATTGTTATAATTACTTCTTTGTATTGTTTAAATATCTAAATATTCATGTGATATAATTAATGAATGAATGACCGACTTGTGATCAGGGTTACTGGAGTTGTCACTATGAAGATTGGAAAGGTAGCAGCCTGTGCAATTGGTGGTGGTATCATTATAATGCAAGTAGCTGCGCATCAGGGCTATATAAAGATTAATTGGGACAAGGTTATGAAAAAGGCTGAAAAGATTTCAGATAAGGTAGAGGAAAAAATTAGTGGAGAAGGACCAAACTTGATGGACAAGGTTGGTGCAAAAGTTAGTTTTCTGTTAAATTTCATTTTAAGTAAAGTTCGAAATTTGATTGAGCTTTAGACAGAAATTAAAGATTTTTTTTCTAAGTTCACAAATGATTGTCACCACTGAAAGAAATTACTTTGAAACTATACAATTTTATCTCAAAAATAGGAAAGACTTTTTACATCAACTCCCCAATTTACAGACTACAAAAAGTACTCTTTGCACACGTTTCTCTTAATTCTCCTTATACATTATGATATTTCACTGCTTGCAGGTAGGGAAACTATGGAGGAGGAACTCATGCATTGTTACGAGTTTTCTTGGTGGTTTCATTATTGGTCTAACTTGGTGAAGTAAAGAACAATAACTTTGAAGTTTTATATATGAAAATGTGAAAGAACGTTCAGTATATTATGCCATTATTAATATTCCAATATAATAACAATATAATTGTACCAACTGTTATAAAAAAATGTGGTGCCAATATTATAATTTTAACGATTTTATTAATATTTGGCATTTTGATATAAACATCAATTTTGATTTCCGAAAAAATTACGATTACACGTCATCATTTCTGTATAGTTTTCAATAAAAATATTTACTTTTATTTACCGTACGCTCCTTAAAATGCTAATAACATTGCGAAATTTTACATTTAAAGAGGAGATTAAAAGTGAAATTAATCTTAATGAAAAGAATTTCGCGCCGATGTAATCTCTGCACTGACAAGAATTGTCGTTCTAGGTCGAAAGATTTGTCGATCGCAAGTTGGATAAAGCAGAACGCTTATTGAAACAAGGCGAAAATCGTACGCGACGCTGGTATCACGCATTAACCGGCACCAACGATGGCTTCCAACCGAATGAACTTCACTTCTTCCTAGTTTCCTTCGCGGCGGGAGTCGCACTTGGTATCGCTACCGCCAACTAGGTAATAAGTTGCTGCACTCTGAACGCAACCAAGATGGTCAATATTCATGCGGAAGCCAGTTCCGTCATTGTCGATCACGACGATATCGATAAATGCAGTACTATCGTGAACGAAGTGCGAAATAAAATCAATGAGCTGAAGAAATGGGTGGCGAATTACACTTAACAATATGCGCATCAAACAAATGAAAGTCCCCGTTTTTTCTCTGCGTCTGAGATTATGCAGAAAAAGAAATTATTAAGAATAGTGCGACTGTTGAAAAATTGATAAATTTTGTAATCTATTCTCTCTCTCATTTTATATTTTTATTTTATGAATTTATATATTATATTGGAATATTTATCACGCAAATAGATACGAGATCAAGTGCGCTCTCAGCAATACTAAAGGATTATGATATTACGCAATATAACTTCTAAAAATAAGAATATATATATGCGTACATACTTGCATTGAATTTTTTCCAAGTAAATAAAGTAATTTTATAAATCTTTAAACTATATTATTCGATTTCAGTGAAACGAGATATTCAAGTATTGATTTGAGAAATACACGTATACACATTGAACTTGGTCCCATTCCTACATGTAAGTTTAGGAAACTTTAGAGTTTCATACTAATATTGCTACATGTAGAGCATGTACGAGGATTCTTGTAAAAATACGCATGACGAATACATAAAATGTTAGATAATTCTTGTTCGTTCAGAATGCAGCAAAAAAAAATTAGTCATCTCAGGATATAAATGTTAATGTAATATCGTAAAGAATTTGTGGATCTTTTATTATTGATATACTTAATTCGCTGATTACTAAGTATTCTCATCGTGTTGTTTATACTTATACAAACTCAGTATGTACCTATAATAAAAATGATTTAACGATATCAACTGCAAAATAACTCTTCCAGTCATTTAGTTCAGCCATGATATCGTAATTCCTTGATAATGACTGAAGGGTAATATATTAGTTCATATTTATATAGTGATTATTAAATGGATCATCTGAATATATGTATTTATGAAATTTTTACAAATGTAATATTATTTCAACATACTTAAAAACCTTTTCATAGATACTCACATTTCTCCTGTGTCGTACTGTTTGACAAAATAAGACGATAGAAAATTTTTTAATCATTTCGAAACAATAATCGTCCAATATCTTGCAGTAAAAAGGGATATAAAAGTACATACAACAATCCTTTCAAAATAATAAATTATACATATGATGTCGATCTCCCTGTCGTAATATAAAATATATATATTGGAGAATGTCAGAATACTATAAAGATTTGTACCTCAAAACCTTTTCAGACATTGCATTATTATAGTTCTCAGACGTCTACGGATCTTTTGATCACCATTGCAGAATATGTGCGTTGAATTGTCCCCGATCTGAATCAGAGTGTCTTCATCTTGCTGTAAACAGATGTGTACATTTAAAGTTAAGTTCTTTCACTCTCAATCGAAGAAACTGTCTAGCGATAGGGACAACTTCCTCATAGACTTCAGAAAAGCCTGTGCATGAAACATTAAGTAACATTAGTAAGGTATTGACGTACCAAGTGTATACTCGTGGCTGTAGGGGTGTGTTGCAACCTAGCGCCCTGAAATCCCTCTTGATTAAGCTTCTGAAGTAGCTCCTGTGGATCTAAATTTCCGTACTCGTGTTTTCTCTCTTTAAGTACCTCCTCCTTCACGGGCACTGGCGAACTCGACGACGCCTTCCTCTTAGCACTCGGCCGATCTTCTATAGCCTGCGAATTTCACATTGTCAAAATGAATATGTGCGTCTCAATACAAGAAATATCCAAAACCGAAAAAAAGTCTTCTATCAACGGATCAAGAAATGTATACGTTTAATAATTACCTTTATAGTATACACGTTATCCTTAACTTCCAGCTCGCCAGTAACGGACGCTAAACTCAACCCTGGTCGTACTTCACTCGGCACAATGCTTCCCGCTAGTTCCGGCTCAATGAACACGCGGCCTTTTTTCCGCTTTAACGGCAATTTTATCACTTCTCCGCGTTTGAATGTAATTAAAGGTTTTTCCTTTGACAGAGGAGAAATCAGTGATAGATTTGGCGACTGACTGAAACGTTTCTCGCGTTAAATGAAAAATAATACAAACTCCCACTGGTTCGATGACCAGATCCATTCTATGCGGAGCCGTTAAGGGGGGCTGCGTGTAACATTCCGGTATTACCAAATGTTCTGGCTTCAGGTCTCGTATAAGTTTGTTGGCCTGGGTAAAGTTGAGAGACGTGTCGATAGGACAATGTACAGCTTTCATGGCTAACGGTTGGAACGGCGCGAGAGCGTCCAAATACGGGAAATCGGGTTCTGTAAAACCGACACGATACAATTATAAAAGATATGTTAAGTGTTTCATAAGAACTGAAATCTTAACATTTTATACACAACTCGATATTGCATTGAATGTTTATAACAACCTGTAATAAAAGTAGAAAAACAATTTGTTTACCTGTAAAAATGATAGTGTGCAAAGGATTACTGCCCCATAACTGCACGAAATGCACAGCATCGCCGAATCTGAGACTGGGATGGCCGCAGAAAACGACGCAGGGTTGCCGATAATCATTGCTGAACCCTTCCGCGTACGTAGACGTGAAATGCTTCAAGCGGGCGTTCTTCACGAGGAAAGCGTGAGGGAACGGTTCCTCTGGAAGATAAACTTTGTTTTGCTTATTTGTCGAGAGCCTAGAATGTAAACGTTGATAGTAAAGAGGCCAAAAATGATCAAGAGAGTGTCAAAGTCGCTGACTCTACCATTCGGCGAGTATATTCGAGTAGGCCAACGACGTTTCCGCTACCGGCGAGATGAAGAATAGAGGCACTTGGGTGAAGCCCGACTTATCCAGATGTGTGCTCAGGCATTCGAACAAGTCGTATACCACGCCGGAAGGATAACAGGGTATCAGAACGCACCCCCCCGCCCTGAGAGTCACAGCTGCAAAAGATTATTGAAAAATATGTAGAGCTGTTGGTTCTGTAATATAAAAATAAAATGTAATATAAAAATAAATGAACGCATCGTCAAGTCAGTTTGGAGACTTACCAACGGTCATGCATAATTCTCCAAGCATTGTATCGGGGTTAGCAGTTGGCGTTTGAGTTAAACCTGTCAATATCAACATGTTAGCTTGCTTCAACGTCGCTTGCTCCATGGGTTTTGGATGAGTGGTCAACGTGGACGAACCGCTAACGAAAGCGACTTTCTCGTGATCGGATGATATCAGCCAATTGCTGCTTCCTAAACAATATCCAGAACTGATAGGCGTAACTGTTAAAGCGCCATATATATCCTACAAGTAATCAAAGTGTGATTGAAGGATTATTCGTTTTATCAATTATAAATTTTTATCCGTTCATGTAGTATTTTTTACGCAACTTTGTTTTCTTAATTTTATAGAAGTTTCGATTTGTTAAATTTTCTTATCTCCTTTCGAAATTGCACAATTTATTCTCTATTTCTGTATGTTAAATTATTTTATAAATCTATCTCTCAATAATCTATCATTTCAAAACTTACCAATTTCTGATCGTACCCGACCAGCTGAATATTTGACAATGCCGAGTTTATGGCTGCCACAGAATAAATATGCCTCCAAGATTTTGGTTTAACTACATCCGCCAACGGAGGAGGCAACACATGCAACATTTCCTTCCAGTGTTTGGCCATAGTTGCTTTTGGAGTTTGCTCAATAAATTCCACCAATTCCTCCATGAAGAATCGTCCAATTTGCAATGTGGGCTCGGTAGTATATATTATACCTTTGACATATTAATTTTTTTGAAATTATAAAAAATGTTATATATTATTCATATTCGCATATTACATACCTTTGAACTCAGTGCCTTCTGTTATAAATGGCAATGCAAGCATACAAGTATAATTAGATATTAGAATAGCATCAATTTCAGAGAAGTCTATTATTTTTTCCAGAGGGGGAGAGAATTCTGGAGTTGAATCCACAAAGATCCTGCCGCAGCATTCCTTCAACTCCTTAAAATAAACATACCATATGTGTAATTCAGAAAATATACTATAAATTCTTATGACAATTCCTTGTTTCAATTGAACTTTCTATTTTTGTTCTCCTATTATGCTCTGCTAAGACTAAATAATCATATCTATTTCATTTTTAATGCATAAAAAAATACAAAATCAATACCCCTTCAATTTGCCAATCTTGCTGATTGTCACGTGGAATCCACGTCGGTAAAGAATTAAATTTGCTACTGGGAACCATGGGCAGAGGCATAAAATGTAAAATAGACTGCATATTTAAGCCGCAGTCTAACATCAGTGTGATTCCTTTAAAGCTCAGAACCAAACATGGTTTAGTTGGTTCACTAGACAAGCAATACTGAAAACAAATTAAAAAGTCAGTTTATGAATGAAATAATCAATTTTTCATATTAGGATATTTGGATAATATAACATTATTATTGTTTGATATATTGTCATTTATGTAATTTTTTTTCATTAGAAAATATCTACCTCCTATTCCTACAAAGGAGTTATATACATATTTTGAGGTTATATTTATGTTCAGAGGTTACATTTTAATACTATCAATGCGTTATTAATCCGTGAGTTTTTACCGTTACTGCTCAATTCAAGAGAATTATAATTACCAATTTCATCTTGAATCGTTTATTCGCGAATCCCACATAAAAATACCTTCCGTACTGGTTTCTATGTGAAAAATCTCAAGTCAACAGGTTTGTTCGTCTCATTTAAATTTTCTGTAATATTGTAAAAAATGTACAATAAAGTAAACTTTTACAGGAAAAATAAAAGTGTTCAGTCTTGTTACCGGGATAAGGTAAATAAAGTCCGTATTCTCGTATTCATGAAAATCCCAATCGTGTTTGATCTTTGATTCCAGTTCAGCTAAAAAGAACGAAAACTAACAATTTGAAATTCACCGCAGCCGATAGAACGATTATCATAATAAAACAAGTTTGTTATTTTCAGTTGGATTGCACTTAGCGACTGAACAGCGACTGTCGACGTCCACTAAAATGAACACATTTAGGCTGTGTTCTCTTTGGACGCTCACGCGTTGTAAGCATCATTCTCTTTTTTGGCTTATAATGAACTATAATGGTGGAATGACACAGTGCGTGAATGCCTAAAGGGAACGCAGCTCTAGGTGGTCGAAAAAGTAGAAGGAAGTTAAGATTGAAGTGGATTGAAGAAATAAAAGATCGACAGGAATTATGTCTAACAAAGATACATACAATCTTTCGCCGGAACAGCAAGAAATTAGTCGATGGAGAGACGCAAAACGGCAGCAGTTGCGTGAAATGTACCTGAGAGATTCGGGACACCCGACAAAATCCCTTCTTGTACGTACATACACAAATTTAACCTAACTTAATCTATATTTCTACGAATACTGATGATTTTCACTTTATTTGCGAAATCTACAACTAATTGGCTGTTAAGATATTTCATTAATTACTGTTACTTGTATGCGCATTATGCGAGTTTGCACTATTTCCTTTGTATAAGTTTCATATTATGCACTTAGAATCATTGAATTATATAACACGTTGACAAAAAAAAATATCAAATATAGCACTAACAAACATAACTTACTTTATGTTTCAATTTAATTACCGCATAATATCCTTTGATACACAAAGATATAATTATTATAATTGAATAATTATCTTTCATACTTGTATAATATTGCTATTCTATGTATATAGTGTGATACAGGAATATACAGATTTGCATCTGCAAATGCAACAGTAGCGAAACGTTTCGTACCCACAGCAAAGAATTTTTTAATAAAATCTACGATTATCGGCAGTTCCATTTTTTTCACTTGGTATATATTCACCAAGGAAAGGGTAAGAAAAATTTAAAAGAAATATCATATACAGAATATATTAATATACTATAATGTTGAGATATATTATCTTTGTTTCCTACAGAGCGCACGGGAACATCTATATTCCACCGGGCAAATCAGTTATGCAGATAGAGAAAATAAACTTTTAAATTAAATAACTAGTTATCTCAGTAATGTATAAGTGAAGTCAATGTCTCAGTTAATGCTGAATTACATGGAAAAATAAATGATGGAAACTAAACCGATGTTGAGTATATTATTAAGCAGAATGACAGAAGCTAAAGAATATAATCATTGTTAACAGAAATTTAATGTATCGAGAACTTTAAACGTATATATATGTAAAATGGGGGAATATAATTTTACAACTAGAAATGACTCTTAAGTATAGATATATTATATATTTTCTTTTGTGACACAAATAACTTTATTTATTTCTGTATATTACCTATCTTCTAATTGTTTATCTCGTGCAACAACAGCATCATCGAACTTAACCATATATGTGGTTCCTTTGTGCCAATGAGCAGTTACTTTCGCAGGCTGCAATAGAAATCATCTTTATAACTCTTCCGTTGTACAAAAGAATTATAGAAAGAGATGGAAGCATTACGACACATTAACTTTAGAAATAACTCTCTAAATTATTTCAAAGTCCAATAACAATGATTGAAATTACTTACAAAGCCACAATCGTACAGTACTGCCTCAACAATACCAGCGACGAACGACGCGCAATTCAAGCTTCCCTTATCCTTGGGCACAGATACGAATTTGTTTACCAGCGATTCCTTCTCGATAATATAATAAGTACGTTCATCATCATTGGCATGCTCCAACTTGTCAGCCTCTCTGCCAAATAAGGACTTCCATACAGTACTCTTGATGAATAATAGTACATTCAGCAGTTTTATCTCGCGCTTGCCGCTTTTTTCTCGGACAACAAGCAGATCCGTTATCCTGTGTCCAACTTCTGCTCCGATTTCTGCTAATCTAATCAGGATGAACATGAGAATTACGAAAGTACGAGTCAGAGATGATGGTCGTGACAATTTATTCGTTTCTCTTACTTATTTTGTAACTCCGGCACAGTGTAAACTCTGTTCTGACAGTATTGTACAAGTTCAGAGAACAAGAGGGCAAAACAGCTCAAGCTAACCTCTCCTTTACCTTTGCTCAGTGACTTATCAAGGATACTCGTGCGTGGTCTTATAGCTGATATCGTTATACTCGACATTTTCCGATAATTACTCTGTAAATCGAGCTACCTCTACGTTAGAAAGAAACTTGAAAAAGATTTTACAACATCGCTCGGAACTACGTGCTATCAAAATGTTTTCCAACTCATTGTATCGCCATCTTAGCGATTAGTCTGACAGCTGATAGTTTGGCGGAAAATTCAATTGGTCGGAGAGATAAAAAATCTCACATGGTAAAGGATAGTTGCGTCATGTAATTCACATTTATTTAGTATTATATACATTCACACGTATGTATAACCTTAAAAATACATATATGTACAAATGCAAAACTGACTGCAGAGACGGAGTTTTAAATTTTATAAAAAAAGAAAATACTTTTTGTTGTTATTCAAGTGATGATTTTTAGTGTACGTATACAAAGTAAACATTTCAAACAGACAGTATTTCAAAACCTCTTCCATATATACACACGATATTGCCATTGCTGTTAACATAATGTATTCATATTCATTAAAAAGATCTTTATTCACTGAATTGTGATATTTAATGTATGATGGTGTCTTACTTGTCAGAAGGCCACAAGTCCATGCCTTGTACATCTGTGACAGAAGTGAATACTTCAGATAGTACCTTCACGGATAAAGCTCCATCGGACCACCAGTAGCTGTAGATAATAACTTGCTGGTCTATCCCCACACTGCATATCTGATCATTGCCTTTAAATTTCAGACCTGTTGATATATATCATTCTCAATTCTTATGATCAATCAGCGCTTTCGGCGCGTATTTCATGTTCTTTATTTAAAAGTTTCGCTTCAATATTATATACCCGCAATTTGTGAGTAATGTGTGGATGCTGTGCTCCATTTAGACAATATTACAACCGACAATATCTCGTCGATTTCTGAAATTTGGAAGCAAAGAAGATTGAAGAGATTGTCGTCGCCACCGGTGACTAAGAGATACTTGTTTTCATCCGAGTATTTTAAATCATAAGAATTAATTCCCGACTGATGCAAGCTGAATTCTGCGAAAGGTGCATCGTTGAAATTTACGATATTCTGATTTTCCAAATCGGCGTCCTCATATATTGTCGAAACCACATCGGTAAGATCGAAGAAATGTAGCATTCCATCGGTGGTCATTGTCAGTACGATCATTTTACGCTCATGCGACAAAACATGCATCTTCAAGATACATCGATCTATATATTTGGTAGATACTTTCAAATACGTATTGCTTGTTTTGATATCATATATAAATATCCTATACAAGAGAAAGAAACATTATTTTATAATCTCATCATCGTAGAATACTTGATAAGTAATTTATTAATTTACCTCAGGTATCCACCTGCACATGCCACAAATATTAATACGTGATTCAAGCTTTCGGACGGATAATACGCGTAAATATCCATGTAACGCGTTTCCGGTTCAACGACGTAAGAGTGCTCAGTCTCTTGCCAAAGTTTCTTACGATATTGATCTTGCCCGTAGAGCATATGGGATTTAATATCGAAACACGATAGATCTACGTTCGGCGATGACTTTCCGTTACGCTTGAAATTCATCTGCCAAATCTTCAGTTGCGCTCTTCCTCCACCGGAGAACACCAAATGCCTGCTACTCGACTCATCGCTCAATTTAACAGTGCTTATACATCTTATACCTGAAAGATGACCGTCGTAGACTCCTAAATTGTGAAAGACACCAGAATCACTTCGAGATACTTGGGAGATACAGCTGACGCGAAGAGTGCAGTCTTCACCGCCAGACACGAAGATATCCTGCGCACCCAAACTCGCGATTCGTTGAAGGCAGTAAATTTCTTTTACGTGAAACCCATTCTGGAAAGCATAACAGGGGTACAGTTGCTGTCCGCCTAACAGACTGATCTTACGTACTTGTAACAACGGCAGTTTTAATGATCTCAGAGGATAATCGAACACGTAGACCTGCTTATTTCGTATGTAAGCAAAACTGGCCATATTATTCAATATCGTACAATCCCACGATCTATGACCACCGCCGCAAGGAATTCTGACCAACAGCCTTTCCTGTGGCAAGTTGTATATTATAAATTCCACCTAAAAAAATTATCACGAAATAAATGTTTCTTTCAGCTTCTTATTTATATTTGGCGTGTATCGAATAGCAAAGCCATACCTCTTTGAAACCTAATACAAGTAAAATACCGTCCATTTTTAACGTGCCACTGATCCAGTCCATTGGCATTTTCTTCCTATACAGAGTCATCAAGGAGTTTCTGTTCTCTTTATTTAATTCATAAAATCTCAACATCCCATCGCGACCAGTCGTCATCAACTTTCCTTCCAACATGTCGAAGGATTGAACTCCTATTTTACCGTGGACCTTAATGAGTGTTTGACTAGATTTCTTGATGTTTCCGCTCTCGTTTTTTAATTCAAATATATATACGTTTCCAGTTCTATCTCCGCATACTAACAAGTCTTCGTATATTGTAGCGGCAGTTAGCCAACGTTCCCGACTAGGAGGTAACATGCACTCTGCCTCTACGTTGGTCGTACCTGAATCAAATTACCAATAGTAACAAGATACATCTTGAAAGTCTCTAAGAGACTTCAGCATAAATGTGTGTATTGAACGCACCATTGATTGTAAAATTAAATATTCTTAGAAGACCATTCGCACCACAGGCTATTAATGTGTCATCTCTCAACCACTGCAAAGAAAAGATTTGTGATTCCATTATTCTCTCTTCAAGAACCTGATGCAGATGCCTGGTATTTGTATTCGTATCAATAATCTCTAAAAGTATACTTGGATTGAGTGACAAATAAGATTAGAGATTTTATAAGTATACACTTTTATAAATTATTAATAATTTTTATAGATAATATGATAAGAATCCTACCTTTATATAAGGTCACATATCCATCTCTAGATGCGAAAGCGACAAAAGAGCGACACGAGGAAACCTTCATAATACAATAATTGCAATATTTTTCCAAATATAAAGAATCCTTTGGCGTAGTTTCATCTTTGTTATAACAGAATAAGGTTCCTTTTTCGTTAAAAATCAAAATTGTACCACTGTTCAAATATGATATGTATTTAGGAATATCATGCGTATTATCACTAGCTAGAGAAATTATTTTTGGACTGTTGTAACATGCGGTTGGCCATACACACACAGCTCCATCAGCTCCACCCGTGAATATATTTTTATCGTCTTCAGACGTGTCAATACTCCATATGGGTGCTCCATGATGAGCATAAACTTTATTAAGTAAATTACCTGAGAGTGACCATGTACATATGAGTGAGTCCTGAAATAATAGAAAATTAATATGTAGAAAAAAGCTTGCACTTTTCGTATAATTTAAATCTTACTTCGCCTATTGTTATAACAATATCATTCCTAACAGTAGCTCTCCAAACTCTTGCTGTATGTCCATACATTGTTTTCACCAACACTACTGTTGCTGCCTGCCAGTTTATGTTACCATTTTCAGAGCTCTTGTTTCCAATTACTTTCCATAATCTGACAGTTCTATCATCAGATGTGGAACATACAAAATGAGAATATGGGTCAAAAACAACAGAGAAAATCACACCCTGAAATAAATATATAATATAATATATAAAATAATATAAAATTTAATCTGAATATATAATATAATCTGAATATATAATATAAAATTTTATCTGAATGTTCTTATTAAAATATATAATTCCTAAAAATAAATACTGACCTTGTGTCCCTTCAAGCGATGCAAAACTGGTACACTTTTATTATTGTCAAGATTATTATCCACTTTCCATATTAAAATTTCTTGAAACACTGTTCCACTAAATATTACCAAGTTTTCTTTCAATGTTCCCGATATAGATCCACCATAGCTACATATTAATCAAGAAAATTATAATTTCTCAAGCAATATCTTTGCAAGCAGTTGATTGACGATCATGAAAGGATACAGTATACAATTTTCTTTACAGTATATAATTTGACAAGAATTTCCAGATATGTCATACAAAGATATATAATTATGGGCGAACAAAATTGCTAATTGCAGTTGTTTCTTAACTGATATCCATTGCAAAGCAATTATCCAATCATTGAATTCATTGTTATTTAGTTTTTTAAATCTGTACCAATAAATTAAAAAAAATATTATATGTCGCATATATAAAATTAATATCATATCTCTCTCTCTTAAATATATTTACGTTACTGCTTCTTTTTGCTTAATAATATCGCAGATAAATATGGATTTAGCACCAAATACAGCCAATATATTATTTGGTCCCACGACAATCCCGTGTATATTACTTGGATATAAACAATTTAATTTACTTCTTAGTTGATAAGAATTCTTGTCGTAAACGTAGAGCGTGGATCCCATGCCTATAATTAATAAACCACAGCTTTATAAATAAATCTAACAGTTAATGATATCTTTCAATCTTATTCTGAATGAACTAACCTGTAAGCACGAGATCATCTACGCATCGAATAGCAAGGACGTTCGTGCGTAACAGCTTGGAAATCATTTCTCTTTTTTTATTGTATTATTTTATATCATACATAAATCCAATCAAAATGCACTAACAATCTCGTTATCACCGCATCTGTCGCGAATCACTTCCGCGCCGACTTTTCGAATTGCGTTATTTTTGCTCCGCGTAAACACATCACGTGCGTTCGACCGAGAGGAGGTTATGTTCTCTCGGCTGAACGGATGTGTCAGACGTAACATGGGTTATAATTTTGGAGTGGATCTTCCTGTAAATTATGCCGTGGCATCGGTAGACGATCTTATCGGAGACAATAGGCGGAATATACATTTACACGCAACATAATCGGTCACTCACGTTGTCGATAACGGTGAAATTCCACGACGAGCTTCGCTCGAACGAGAGAGTATGTGGGTGTTTGGTTATGGTTCCCTGATATGGAAAGCGGACTTTCCATACGAGAAGAAGCTGGTCGGTCACATCAAGGGATATGTCAGGCGTTTCTATCAAAAAAGTCCTGATCATAGAGGAGTGCCTAATAGGGTAGGTTTTCTCAATCAGAATGCAGGCTTGTCTCGAGTCGGTCTTCTTCATGATCACAATATGCTTGAAGATTTCGTAATGTTCACATTTTAAAGGTCACGCATCTATAGTTTATCTCCTCTATCTTGCTTACGCAGCGTATTACTGCTATGTAAGGACTGATTATGCTCGAGGAAGAACGCACTTATAAACTATTAATTATTTTCTCTCTTCCTGTCAAATATAACGTTTACCCTTTTAGCCTGGACGCGTGGTGACGTTGCTCGCCTCTACAAGTTCCGAGGATGAAGTATGGGGACTCGCGTACAAGATATCCTCTGAGAACATAGACAACGTGGTGAATCATTTGGATTTTCGGGAAAAAGGTGGCTACGAAAAGAAAACCGTCCTTTTCTATCCTTGCAATCCATCTAAGTATATCCAAAGTAGCTCGAATGCTGATGTCTCCTCGAATGATCCATCGAAGACAAGTCTCTTGTCGGCTTCTTTATCGACCACTACGGAAGAAGCATCGTTCTACCTCACTATATACATAGGTGACGAAGAGAATCCGAACTACGCCGGTACGGAAAACATAGACATCATCGCGAGACACATACTTGTTTCGCGTGGTATCAGCGGCTCTAACACGGAATATCTTTATAAATTGGCATCCGCCATGCGTGCAATAGCACCTGGCGTACAGGACGAGCATCTGTTTGCCCTTGAAAAGATTGTCAAGCAGTTGGAAAAGGAAAGGGAGAACGAGTCACTGGAGTTGGATCAATTTCCATGTAATCATACAAGCATACAATAGGTGTATTCAAATGTAGGAAAATGCGACGTTAGGAACCAATTGCATCATCGGTCGGTGCTAATGATGATTAATTTATTTATTCTTTCCTTCCTTCGTTCCTCTCCGTCTAGATTATATATGATTATAGGTATCATACATATCATAATGTCATATGTATGATTATAAAGATTATGTATAATTAGGTCTATACGTACCAAACCACTGTAGACTAATTTTAGCACAAGTTTAAACGTAGCTTCAATTAATGTTACTTAATCAAGATTGTTGATGCAATTGGCATGCAGATGAAAAGACAAAATATCTTTTGCACTGTTCAATGCAATAACAGAAAAATTTCTCCATTAAAGAGAGAAGCTAAGAAAACACATTTCTAACAACCAACGACGAAAAATAAATTATCTTATTTATCAATGAAATAAAACATATTTTCGTATAAGGTAACCGTAATTCTTATTACACTGCGGCTTGATAAAAATCGTATCTCTCGCATTAATACTTGGACGACAGAGATAAAATTATACATTTCTACAATTACTTTTAATATATATAATTTATTGCTTTTCAAATTTGCAATTATCTCAAGCGATAGTTTATTATAATTATAATAATCCGGTATAATATAATTTTTACAAACGTTTGTATTAGAGTATAAAATTTTCCGAGATGCATACGATTTTGTTGGCAGATTTGAAGTTGCCGCCAGTAGGAACTACTTTTGGACGCGCGTGCGCATACGACTGCAATGATCAGCTGAATCGGCGCAATAACAGGAGTTGGGGAGGGAGAAAGGAGGAGGCCATTTCTTATTCGACCAATTGTCAGTCCATGTAGTTCCTACGTGGTTCTGTTTTTCCTCCCGGACCGACGATCAAGATACAGGGCCAAGATTGGGTGATTCGCTAAGGTGAAGGCGTTTCGGACGCATCCGGGTGAGTTTTCGTCGTCAATTTTTCCGCGTTTCGTCAATTCATCAAAATGGCGATTAATCGGAAAAAACGTTACTCTCAGAAATGTCTCTTGGACGTTTTGTTCGGTTGACTTGAGTCTTATTGAGCTACACTTTCTGCACTTCCTTACGCTATTTATCTTTTTCTCCCATGTTTTGACAGATATTTATTTCGCTTTTAACGTGAAAAAGCTGATTAAATACGGCTCAAACGATTGGCTTTTAAAGTGTCCTTGACTTCAATCGAATTCCATCAGCCATAGACGAGCGTTTAATTTGTGTTTATTTTAACGTTTACGAGGTTAAGTCTACGCGGGTCATTGTACTTAGGCAATTATATTACATAAACTGTTGCTGCGTTTTCTATTTAGCTCTTCGTGTACGATGTAATCGTTTGAATAAACAGCCAAGTCAGAGTTTACTCATTTAGATTCGTGCTAAATGTCATGAAAACATACGGAAGTAATATCAATTTCAATAAAACGTCGAAAATCTCAATCTATAGCAAGAGAACCTTAATTAGTTAGAAAATCGACCCTAACTTTAATGGAGCAAACGACAATAATAACAACGAGAAGAACGCAGAAACAAATGCCATAACAATGGAACTACTCGTTCCAACAGCCCAATCTATGTACCTCCTGCACTTGAAAATGAGAAGCTCGGAGACGTTGAAGAAACAAAGTGCATGTTAGTATCCCTATATAATGGGCCAATATCATAATTTCAAAATAAACATTGAACATTTTGTCATACATTATTTTATCTTGATCAACTTTTATTCTCCTTGCTTTGACGTTAAATCTTCAAACGCACTATGTAGGAAAACGGAACGGTCATGTCTAGGAACAAGAAAATTAAACGCAGAAAGTGTAATCAGTAGATCTGTTATACTTCCGCGACGCAGTTTGAAATTCGTGAGCGAGCAAGAAAGAGAGAGCGAGAACGCGCGAAAGAGTGAGTGAGAAAGAAGTAGCGAGAGGGGAAGGGAAGGGAATGGGTCGAAGGACGAGGAGAAAAAGAAGGGAGGAGAACGAATAATCGGCCCGCGTAAACATACGATCCACATACGATGACTGGCATCGAGTTAAAAATATCACTCGAGGACGTGACAAAACTTGTCTTTTTCCAACTTGTTATTTTTGCCATTAATTTTCGTGCTTCCCCTCTCAAACATGAAGATCACTACGTCTCGATTGACGCTGAATTCAACGATATTTATGTGCATCCATGGACAACACAACTCTAGCTCCTGCTTATAAAGTGTGAATCGCGCGAGTCTCGTTTCCATAATGCAATTTATAATCATCCTTCCCCGATAATTGTGAAACGAACCATCGTAACGGTGTCACAGTGTCAACGATCATCTTGCATGTCTTCTCTCTTAGTTTTCTAATTATATTTTATCGTTATATAACTATTATGCATTACATACATCCAGGTTACTTGATTATTACATGTAACTATTATTAGCACGATTATCGTGCTATTTCGCCGTACAATTGACGCTTTGCTATTTTCAATGAGAATTTCTGTCTTATTCCGGCTAATTTTATCGCTGTTTGAAATGTGCACGAGTCAATTTTTCGCTGCACGATGCTGCATGAACGTTGTTACATGTTTGTATATTAATATTAATAATAAATATTAAAATTTATAAGTACGTCAGACTGTGAAATTATCTTCACGGCATATATTATCGTACGCGCATTATGAGCCGTTGCGAAATGCGAGCCGATATAAATTACTTCAACGGGAAATAATTTTCGAATCTATACCGGGGTCGATAGTCACCGTCGTTATTTGGTCGCAGCGCGTATTACGTCTTTCCAACATGTGTAACATGCGAAGATCGATAAACATTTATGTTGGCCCGCGCGGGTGCGTTGAACTCTTGCGATGCATACGATGATGACGTAACCTTTAACCTTAAACGACACAAGTACTTTATTTGGGCAAAGCGAATGAAATATTCGCGTGATGTAATGCGCGCACGTCGCGACGATAAAAATTTGCGTTTACTACGAAAACGTTTGCAGAAAAAAACAAAACTGATCGCAAAATTAAATTGCACATGGCATATCAGTTTTATTATATTTTATATGTTTTATTTCCACACATTTTTTTTCTTTACAACTTTTTTCTTTACAATTGTTACAAAGCTCGTATATAGCGGCATCGTTTCTCTCCTACAACGCATACATTCTGGAATATTCTAGATAGCCGTTTTATCCGCGACAGGAGAGATACAAGCTTTGAGTATCGCGTCCCTTTCCTCTTTCCCTCCCGCACATGTCATTGAATTACATGTTTCAAAATGTCACGTATTTCATGAATGATCCGTGTTTGCCCAACACGATAAAGAAATTTCATCGACGTTCGGAGTCGATTGCGGAAGGTGTGACACTAACTACGACCTAAACTATAGGTTGATCTCTGACCCATGATTAATATTAAGGCTACAATCGCCATAACCATAGCATTTAGTCACGATTCGAGTAATCGATTGTGTTATCTATCATTTCGCGGTCTATGGTGAAACCATTACGATTCGTCATGGTATATTCAAAATGGAGGCCTATTAACGTACGTATTATTGAGTTGTCTTGTTTCATTCTATTTTATTATCACTTTAAACGATTTATCCTTATGGAAAGCGCGTCAATAGTGGCTCCGACTGAGGCATTCTAATCGGTAGAAGATTTAAATTGAAACTAGTGGAGCTCGTATTGACGCCTTCTTTGTATCGACGTGATCAGTCGATGAGCAACAACATATTAAATACTGTGAAGGTCACAACGGTGACCTGTACTACGATACAACAGCGTCTCATTAAGATACGCATCAAGTATAATTAATTGCAATGTGAAAACTCGGTCATGCGGCCAATGGAGTGCCAATGAAACGAGCCGATACAATTAAACGCTAATTCGCGGTAACACGTGTTACTTAAGCCCCGAGGCTATCAATCGAGACGATTAATGAAATTAAACTTTGCGCATGACGCAAGTTCGCTCGTTCGGGCAATTCTCGTTCTGCGACTGCTCCAGAAACATCCAGTGGATTCCACGAATGAAACGCACGTTCTAACCTCGCGTGAGCGCGGGACACCCGTTCACGATTCTCGTCCCTGGTAGGTTCGGGCGGCTTCGCGCGCGCTCGGCCGCTTCCGGAACAGCGGCCGTTGCTCGCGTCGACCATACTATAAACGACGTATTTCGCGAAGTCTCGGATCAGTCACAATTCGGCAGGTGGGTCGTTCGGTTTCGCGTCCGCGCGTTGCTCTTTGCTGAAATCCGACCTAACAACAACGGGCACTGTTTTGATCTCGCGCGGAGCCAAAGAAAAAAGTTAATTCGACGACGGAGCGCATCCGTTAAATTGATGCGCGGCGCACACGTACATATATACACACATACACAGTCAACCGCGACAAAGAGCATTCCCACCGAGTGCGTAACCCCCGGGAGTGCCAACGTTATCACACACACACACACATCGAGCTATATAAAACTCGACGGACGTTCCTTGAGGAAGAATAGAAAGGAACCGAGTGATCAAACGTAACCCTTGAGACTGACGTAGGATCTAGGAAAGCAACGTACTTGTAAACAACGCGGGTATCCCTTTTTACTTGCGCTCAAACGATCAACAGTCTATGTCAGTGCGCGAAAGTGCCATCCGCAACGGGCGCTCGTGATTTTGACAGTTCTCGCTTGTTACATCAGCCGAGAACTTGTCGTCGGTGCCTTAATCAACGACACACACACACACAAAACAGTCTTTGTTCGAAACGGACGAGAGACCGCGTACTTCTGTGATATATGCAACACGGCTGTTTTCTCTTCCCCTCTTTCCCAACACGTAAGTAGTTTACTCTCGCATTTACGCGCTCTCTTGGGGAACGAATCGCGAAAAATGTTACTGCGTCGTTAGCGCCGCCGCTTTTACGCCGACGAGCCCGCGTTTTAATTGCGTCAGCTCGGCTCTTATTATTCCGTTTTCGCGTGGGAAAACATATTGTGCGAGACACGCCGTGTGTGTGGTGTTGGTTTTATCTTTACATGGGGGATCGCGCGCACGAGATCTCGCCTAAACGCTCGATCGTCGGAGATAACGACTTCGCCTTGATTCGTGAGATCGCTGAGTTTTTCGCAGTGGACGTTAATCCGGAAGGTTTGTCCTTTGCAATTTTTCCCATCGACCAATACCAGCTAGCTTGCTCGACGATTTTCATTTGTTCCGAAAGAGGAAGAGGAATCGTTCCGGATCATATAGTTCGATGTGACTCACTCCATCTGGAATTTATCACTCCAACTCTCCATGATTGGATATAGAGAGATACTTTGGCGAACGCGTGACCACAGGATTCGTGATAACGTACGAAGGTGCGCTAGCGAGTTTTTTTTTTTTCCCCACGGTCTTTTTACTGACCATTTTCGTAGCATTCTCGTGTTCGCGTTTCTCCCGGCCGAGAACGTTCGGTTTGCTCCAAAGTCTCGAAACTGGGAGATCGAATCACGATAGATCGTGATGACACACCTGATGTACTGGATAAAACACTTCCTCCGATGTATTTCTCGCGTGAGAGTCTCTTTTTTCAATAATAACGCCGACGCTAAGTTGCTAAGGTCAAAACACGAGTAGGTGTCGGATAAACGGATAAGCAAGATTAGTGTAAGAATTCAAGTGGATCTCTCGTCTTTGTAATATTTTGTAACGAAAATGTTAATTGCGTTGCGTTTGTGAGTTTTCACGTATCATTATGCGTTTCGCATTCTTATCAACGTATGTATTTTGCAATATATGTATTTCCTTTTTCCGAGATGTTATTACGGGAACCGATGACGCCTGCGTAAATTTTGCGTCGTGCATCTTTCCGAGAGAAGATAGCCCGGTGTTGCGTCAGAACGTGCACACGCTTGGTGAAAACAGTCTCGCGAATCGAAGAACGCGCGATGGTGCTGAGAAAATATTTTTCGGCCTACTTCGGAACGCGTGAATTGGCTTAACAGCGTCACGTAGCGTTTCGTAGAACCGATTCTTTACAACCACGGTAATTTGTTGCGTCAGATGCCTGACGAAAGGTGGTCACGAGTGTCCTAATCTTCTTGACCCGTCTTAGTGGTCTGAGAACGTCGTTGGAGTGCATAATGTCCGACCTTATTGCCACCGTTTGAAACTTAATTGACGAACAAATTACTTCAACGATTGACGATCTGGATTGGTAAGGCATTCAATCCGGTTCGGTCGGCCGAAAGTCGCCTTTTCGTGGTTTTTATCCAAAGTCAAATCGCGTACTTTTTCACGGCAAACTTGCGTCGGAGTTCGAGTTAATCAATCTCGGTACTTGAAGAAATTCTTCGTGTAGTTAATCTCTCGCTGTTATTTCGTTTAAAAACAACGGAGGAAAACATCGATATTTTGAATCAAGCTTAATAAATTCATGATATTTTTTGTCTTTTTAAACGGAACTTTCAAAGCCGCACGTGCGCACACAAGCATTGACGTCTACCGTGATATCAGATAAGAAGTGATATTTGACGATTCCGTTTGACGTGCGAGGTTTCAATTTGTTTTTGCTGTTGTGCTCTTGTTTACCGATTTGATGTCGCGTCTATCTTTGTTTTCGATCTGCTGTCGGACGGTGTGACAATTTGGACGCAAATACCGCTGTCTCACCTTTCCTTCGAGCGGATGCGCTTATCGCCGTCGTGACGTCAAATTGACCGATTGACGTGTTGGCTCCGCTCGTTTCGGAAATGACTCGCCTTCGTTCGGAAACATGCACGTTATCTTTTATTACTGTGTCGATCATAACAAGTCCGGCCGCTTTTATGTGCCTTTTTTTACGCAATTGACATTTATAACTCGATATCGTCACCGCGGCTAAATGCACTAATGACCAGCCGGACAGGTGACGTGTTAACTTTCGATGCAACTTTATTTTCGCTCAAAGCGGTTATTTGTAAAACGACAGCATTTGCTCGATTTATCGTCAGACCGCGCGAAAGTCGAGTGAGGGAAGGGTGAATGTGACGGAGCATGTCCAATCGCCATTTTCCAAGCGTCGTATAAAATTTAAACTTCACTCCGAAGGCTACGGCTTTTGGTTTTATCAGTGGGTACGTGTAACCCTCTCCGACTCGATCGCATGTCTCTTAGCCGTGTTTATTCATCCGCGAATATCCTGCGAATATTTTTTGCGACGTTAGCCTTCGTCCTCTCGCTTTCGAAAGCGCGCTTTAATTTCGGCCGTGATGCCGATTCCCTTTCTTGTTTCCCCCCCCTTTCGCTCTCTTCCTCTTACCCCTCCCTTTCTCGTTGTACTTCGATCGTCTTCATCCTCGCGTTTTGTTGCGTCTCTTCGGAGCACATCAGGATAGCGCGCATCCTTGAAACAGGTTTTCTGGTGCAATACGGGCCACGCGTGTGCGCGAGCACGTAGCGTTTCGTTTCTATCGGCCGTCACTGAGCGTGCTGAAAAAAAAAAAACCGTTAGTAAGAATAAAAAGGCGCCGGCCTTGCATAATTGCGAGTCCGGTCACGCGTGACTCGGCTATTTCAGTGACGTGGGCGTGAGCGGCGGAGATCTCCGCGCATGATGTCAAATCGCTGTGCGTGCCATGTGCAGGCGGGACTCGCTTTTAATAAACGTTGTTATTACTGCTCTTGTGGCGGTTCCGCCTGGCTAATCGAAACGCTTTACGGCCTGTCGTTAAAGGACCGTTTTGTTGCCCCGGAAGTGTGATATCTAGCGGTAGAGAACCGGAAAATTGCGAACACCGGTCCGGCGGCTTTTAAATATCACGCGATAAATGCAATTAACGCGTCGAATGCCGCGCTGACTTAACGAGATGTCTTCCCGAGATTTCGCTCATTAGCGCGTTAATTGCCGCGTTTCTTTCCATTGGTTGCACAGAAGCTCAACTGATGCGATAAAATTATTAAAGATAAGGTAAAAGAGTGCAAATTCTCGAGACGTATATGTTTTTTTCTTATCTCGTTTCATCGGCTTTCTAATGACCGTACAGATTACTTCTTTCAGACACATTTAATTATATCTTGTACGCAACTAATGAGACGCGGTAACGCCGTAGCTGTGCTAGTCATCGATGACCGTCACGATATTAAACGAGTTAAATGTACGTTTGAGAGTCGTCAGACATTCCCTGTAGACACAATACTCTGAGGTGAGGGAACAATGCCACTTGTTGGCAACGTATAATCTCTTGTAGTGGAGACATCCAGCGGTGTTTGCGGACGCGCGAAAGTTGCCTCAAGTGAGGTTCTCGCTGTTTACAGATACAAGGCTAGCCAGCTGCGCCATTCTTGTTGTGTGACTCCTTCTCATCAGCCACACTACACATCTCCTAGTGGTCAGGTTATAGCTGGGCCGTTGTTGTAGTTAGCTGTTGGTGTCACACACTGCAGGAATGGACACATCGGGCTTGCCTGTACCGGATGCAATCCACCCGCTGCTCGAACAACTGCATGAGGCCCTGTTGCTGGAGGTTAAATACCAGCCCAACCTCCATCAATTACCTACTACGACGCAGGTAAGGGACGGAGTCCCTTCTGTGCTCGACACTCTAAGCCCCTCTTAGCGGAAGAAATTACCTTGAAATTTCAAGAAATTTCAGTGAAACGACTTCATTAGACGCTTCAAATTCTGCTACCTGTAATGTTACTATATATGACTTTAGACGAGACCAAATTTAACAAGATGTTTAAAATATTTGGTTGCCTGTAACATCAATAATTAACTTGATGAGATATTTTTTCCTTTTCAGTAGGGTACTCTTAATTCGGGGGGCTTTATTAGGGACAGTTTTAACAGAGCCCCGCTATATTTACCCACTTATTAATAGCGTTTGATAGTCATTTAATGACTAAGCGGTGTTTACACGTTACAGAATGATGAGATAACCATCGGCGCCCGAGACGGATCCGCTCACGTGTTAAGATGTCTGAAAGTGTGGTACGACTTATCATCGGACGTGTTCTTCATGGCCATCAATCTGATGGATCGCTTTTTAAGCAAGATGAAGGCGAAACCGAAGCACATGGCTTGTATCAGCGTGTCCGCATTTCACATTGCCGCCGTCCAAATGGCGCAGTCTCTAGATGCCGATCACCTGGTCTCTATCTCCCAGTGTAAGTGCACCGGCGGCGATCTGAAGCGCATGTCGGAACTGATACAGAACAAACTGGAATGGGCGCCCGGAACTCAGCCCACCACCACGTTGACCTTCCTGCATCTGTTCAACGACATGTTCCACACGGTGGCGTCGCAGCTGGGTGTCGGTGACATATATGCCAGCATTGTCACGGTAAGTCCTGTCGAATGTTTGTCAGACTTGACTACCTCCCCGGGGACAGAAATACGTCTTAGAAAAACATCTTTGCTAATGCCGATTTAATTTGTTTGATCTTCTAGTATGCATAGAATGCGAGCATAAAATTGGTCACGCTCAGTTTTCGCAGCGTCGCTCGAACCGCGTGTTTACAACCGTCGTCATTTTCAGGAATTCGAGCTGCTCCTCCGTTTGGAAATGGTTGTTTGCGACGGTAATTGTGCGAGTCTCAGGCCTTCCGAAGTGGCTTTGGTGCTGCTCTGCACTTATTTGGACGCCGCAGTTAAGCGATTGGATGCGAACGCGGACACCACCGCGGCGCCGATCGACACTTCATCCTCGCACAGTTCATCCGCCACGCAGGATCAGATAGTACGACTCGTGCAGTTTGCCGCGGAGCTCAAGAAGATATGTAAAGTAATCGTCGATGATGTCTTTCCGTCGTTAATTTTTCAAGTTATTTTTAACTCACACATACGTGCGCGCATAAAGTAAAATACTTTAACCGCCGTAATTTATTGCTCAGACATGTCATTGTTAATTGTTATCCTTAGTAAAAGATTTATACGCATAAATGTATAAATTCATTATAATCGCGTTTAAATTGTTTATTCGATCACTGCTCGTATCTCACGTTTATTTCGTTGTTTAGATCTCAGATGAGAGTTTCTTTTCTACTTACGAAGCGGTGGACGCTATACTGAGCAAGTATAACGCTCAAGAGCAAACACCGCACAGGCAGAGGCTAGTCTGGAGACTGTCATCGCGCACGGCACGCGTTTTACGCCCGACTGATAAATTAACATCCGTTCTGCCGGCCATCGCGGAACATGCTCCGGTTCCTTCTCCGAGCAGAATCAGGTATTTGCTATTACTCAATTATCATCATTAAAAAGATTTGAATTATATCTACAATTGTGTAACATGAAATCTTATACTTCTTTTTTCTTTTTTTTTTTTTTAAAGGAAAAGCCGAAAGTTTACTCGACGTCATGGGAACAAGAGACGTTAATCTGTGACACCGTTATTATTCTGAGGTATGATCGCAGCTTCGTACGAATCATTTTATGAATATTGAATATTTTTAACCGAGAGGATTTATTTCACAGGATCTAATGAACTCTCGCACACTTTTTCTTTAGAATGATGTGCTCACCCTTCGTTTTGCTTTCAGGACGCGGCACTAGCAGTTGAATGTCCATCTGATACAGCGAGCAAAACCAAGATTCGTTTTCTACTCCAGTACAAAGATCAAAGTTTGGCTTGAGAGTACAAACATCGATTCACACATCACGCATAATTGATTTATCTCAGATATTTCGTTTGTGTCGCCCGCTGAGATGTACATACTGGTGAAATGTAAGTCCATTATCTCACTGTGTTAATCTCAGCTCACGTTTTCATCGTATCATACAAACGCATGCACATATTTTGAAGTATTCTCGCGTACCTTCTAATATTTTATAAAAGAGACAAGATTTAAACTCCGTTCCGGCGGTAAGATCGAATATGCTGGTAAATGGGAAGAGGGAAGATAAGCGCTGTGAGAAACGGAAGAATCAGCTGTTGAGTTCATCAATCGAGAAACATTGAAATTAATGTGATACAATGTCCATTATAGTTAGCGTACCTAGTAGTATAACTAACACAGCTGAAGGTATATATATATATATATACATATATATATCTATATATTTGCAAAATGCGTTAAACGAGAAAAAAAATATAAAAGAAGAAATATGAATAAAAAGAAACATTGCGAAAGTGTTGAGAGACGTATAATGGAAAAACAGTTAAAAAAATATATATATTATAAAGATAAGTGGGTTGAATATATACACACGAGAGTTGCTAAATGCGTTAACTTGCGTTTGTTAGCTTCGTCAAAAGAGGAAAAAAGGAAGAAAGAAAAGTGAGAAGATAATGTTTTCTCAATGAGTTCTCAAAGAATATGCACTTATCTTCTATCATCGCACCATCCTAGCTACCATCTAGCGAAGTGGCCGACGTGGTAAATACGCAGGTTGGATGTTACACCGAGCGAATTTCTTGATACACACGTTTGAGATAAGTGACGAATGAGATGATGAGACGAAATTCATTTAAAAAGTTTCGAGATATCCAAGCATGTAACTCGGAGTGTTTGAGGCGAATTTCGCTGTAGAACTCCATGCATAAAAAAGGAGAGATAATGCGAATTTATTTCGGAAAAGCTATCTTGCTTTCTTTTATATATGATTCGCATCACTTGTTTCTTGTCTTTGTTGTCACTCGAATCTGTAATCTGAAATTGTCTCGCACACTCTGGGACTTAGGTCGCGGTAATAAATGAAATTTTCATTACCGATCTTGAAGGTTACGATTATATCGCATCTAGACTTGCGTCACAATAAATGGTAACTTGCTCACAGCGCGAGAGAGTGTCAAGGGAACGCACGCGATGAAAATGCTCTGATCTATCGCCATTTATTCGATAGTGTGATTCTCACTATCTCGAAAAGCAAGATGCGAGTTGTGTGATTAATATAAGAGATGTGTGTGTGAAAGAACACATGCGTCGTCAAACGACGCGTTGTTCGCGAGCAGCCTCTGCTCGATAAAAAAAAGAAAGCTAAAGTATGTTAAATGTCTTCAGATCTTTTATTCGTATTTTTATATTTATTTCTTTCACGCGTGCCGACTTGTATCACATATTAAACAATATCGTAACGATATATCGAGGATCGTTTGATTTTTAATGAAGCAAGACAAAAGAAAAAAAGCAGCTACCGTTTGAATGGTTTTTTTTTTTCGATCTTAGCCAGTTCACGCTAGTCATAAGTCGTACCGTACTTTCATCTGATTATGATCTGTGGAAATACATTTTCTTTTTGTCCCGTGACAACCTTATCAATACACCGAGCAAATTTACTCCACGAAGCTTTCTGTCTTTTTTTTCCAGTTTCTTTCTCTTTCTCTCTATGTATCATTCTCTGTATTTTTTTTTTTTAATGATGCATCAGGCACCACGAGTATTTTTGAGCAAATTAAAAACGAGCCAAGAGATGCTCTTAACGAATTCGTAACGAGAATGTAATGCATTCGTATAAAAACGAAATTACGTGTCTCGAGACGAAACTGATGCCTGGCGGAGAAGATGGGGAGAGACAACTTTTTTGCAATTGCAGTGTAGCCATTCATATTGATGAGACTGCTGGAGCGAGACACGAAGAGCTCGAGTCCTCTAACACTGTGCGTTTTGAACGAACTGTAGCATCGTACAAAGTGTCCTCTTCTTTCCATGGCGAAAGAAGAGAGTTATTTTATGCTAATATTATTTTCGATGTATCACTTTTTATCCAAGTAACTATTTTCCTCAATTATTTCAAAGAGCACAAATCTTTGCTCGTCAGTATTATATGCTATACGTGTTTGAAATACTATTTTAATTCCATTTTATTATTTATTATTTTTTTTTTACTATAATCATGTATCATTTTCTAATGTATTTACATAATAGACTATAACTGCTCATCGCAAAATTCGTTATAATATCAACGATGATTATAAATGCCACGTTTCTTTGCGTAGAAGTAGTTTTAACATAAAAAACACGCAAGAGATGTGCAACAGTACATTTGCATTTTACGAATTGCTACACGCGAGATGTTTGTCTTTCCGGAAAACGGTATTTGTCTCGTAACTTTAATTTATTTCTCCCTTAGTATTTTTCCGGTTCATGTTCAATGTAGCGCGTATTCATATGGTCGATGGAATGTTTTGAATGGTCAAACTCTGTAATACGGTATTTGATAAGATTCACGTTATCGCATTACTGTTGATATGATACTAGATGAATCGATAATCATATTGTATTGTACGTCTACGAGATATCATGTACCGCAAAATATCATTCACTCTCTCCTCTCATCGTATAATAATCATCGTGTAAACGAAAGTGAATACAGGTGCTTTTTATCTGTATCTCACGCAACTCTAATTGTGTAGACTGTGTACAAAAAGAGCAAAAGACTCTTAACCATCGATCGATCCCAAAAGATAAAGGCAAAGGAAAGCAAATGAATTCCGAAAGTGATTTAAATTTTAGTACAACTTTACTTTGTAATTTTCTCAATACTCAGATTATAATTACGTATATTTATATAAAACGTTTACGATAAGTAGGGTAACCAAATGAGCTGACGCTACTTTAGGATTTTCAAATGGTTTCTTCTGCGATATTGGAAAACTAGGGACTAAAGTGATGATAATCACGCAGAGAGAGACGAAGAGAATCGTTTATAATATGAGAAATCATAATTTATTGTATTTAAAAGAAACGGCGAAGACGTGTAAGAAGAGAAAGAGGAAACTGCGCCTCGCGTATGTGCTGTTACTTTATATCATGATGAAAATCGAATTTGTAATGCACAAAGTCCGTTTATAATAAAATTATAGAAGGATATTTGTAACGAGCGACCAATATTTCTCATCGATTTTTATGACAATCATCTCCATATATATATATATGTGTGTATATTTTTATCTTTTATTATATCCGTATAATAACATAAAAACGATATTTTGTCAATTTTTAATTTAAATTGCATATTTGTTTGCAATATTAACCATCTAACGGTAAAGTTGGAGTCGGATGCGACCCCACGGTTCATTTATCTTCCAGCGTGCACTATTTCTCTCTTTAAGAAATGTTTCATGTTCTTATTTACTACTTTTATCCATTTTGGATTGATTCCACATTGATTCCATGAAAAATGAAACAAAGCATGGGTTCGGATTCAACTCTACTTTCTTGGATATGTTGAAAATCTACCTTACCGTTAGAGGGTTAAATTGTATATTTTTATCAATAATTACGAATCTTGTTTGCAATGCTTATCAATTGAGTACTCATGAAAGTTCCAACTTTCGTCGGTAAAGTGTGTGGCGCTTCGTTAATAGATGTAGTCGCCATTTTGTTATCTAGCTGCATATGATGCTGCGCTATGATGCGTGTTGCTTTGCGATGTGAGTTTCGATAGTTTTTACAATTTTGAAAAGGTTAACGCTAAAACAATTTAGTATTGCAAACATCGAAACGTAGATTATGGCGGAATATTTAGCATCAATTTTCGGAACCGAGAAAGACAAGTAAGGAGAAACTGTGTTAACGATTTATGGACAACATGGAGAAGTGTACCGAACATTCTTGAGGTCTTTTCTTATATTTTTAGGGTAAATTGCTCCTTCTACTTCAAAATCGGTGCTTGCCGACACGGTGACAGATGTTCACGAATTCACAACAAACCTACATTTAGTCAGGTACGTGTAGATCTTCGTAATAATTAGGACGCTTTAACCTAACATAACCTAGTCTGATCTAGATTCAATGGAATTACAGGGAATTAAGTCACTATAATTCGACCGTATATTATATTGTGTATTTAAGAGTTTATAATTTTATTTTGTAGACATGTCTGCTTCAAAATTTGTATGTAAATCCTCAGAATTCTGCCAAGAGTGCAGATGGTTCTCACTGTAAGTTTTAATCACATTTCTATATAATTGTAACTCAATTTATGATTATTAATATTTGGAGTAATCACGTAAATTACCTTTTCACAGTGGTCGCAAATGTATCTGACGAAGAGATGCAAGAACATTATGACAACTTCTTTGAAGATGTTTTTGTTGAATGTGAGGATAAGTATGGAGAAATCGAAGAGATGAATGTATGCGACAATCTGGGAGATCATTTGGTCGGCAACGTATACATCAAGTTTCGAAGAGAAGAAGATGCGGAAAGAGCTGTGAACGACTTGAATAACCGTTGGTTCGGCGGTCGTCCAGTTTATGCCGAACTATCTCCAGTCACAGACTTCAGAGAGGCTTGCTGCCGACAATATGAGATGGGGTAACATACAAACTTTCCATTTGTTTGCTACAAAGAAGGGGGAATTCCTCAAGTTTTCCATTGTTTGCTACAAAGAAGGGGGAATTCCTCAAGTTTTCCATTGTTTATTTTTAGTGAATGCACACGATCTGGATTTTGTAACTTCATGCATCTGAAACCTATTTCGCGTGAGCTGCGTCGTTATTTGTACAGTCGCAAGAAAGGCGGCAGAGGCCGATCAAGGTCCCGTTCACGATCACGTGGTCGCGATCGTAAACGCAGATCACGATCACGCGATAGACGATCAAGATCCAAGGATCGTCGAAAGAGAGACGACAAAGGTAGAGATGGTAGGTCCGGAAGATACTAATTATCGAAAAGTGCGTTTATATGAGTGTCCACTGCGAGATTCTGATTTGAGCCACATTGTCTCATTTAACTATGGGATATACGTTAGTTTTGTGAATGTATGCACGTAATTGATACAAATCAGCAGTTTTTAGTAACAGTTATTAGTTAATCCAAACAATTCACTCTCAGTTTCTTGGAAATGAGTACATTTACAAGTTGGTAAAAAAAAATTATATATATATATATATATATAAATTGTATAAAAATATTTCTTACATTATTTAATTTCAATCGTTTGCTGAATATTGATGTAAGTAGTATGCGTCGAATTTTACGTTGCAATGATGAAATAATTAATATAACCATTTTTGGGTGAAATAAAAAGTACATAAATAATTAAACAATATGCATATTCCTTGTATGTACGACCAAATGACGGAAATAAATAAAATGTGTAAGTATAGAAATATATATATTTCGTTTTTCGCATTTAATTCTCATATAAACGATCGAACTTAAATATATCGTGAAAATCGATGCGTACGCAGCGTTATATGTTTATATGTATATGGCGAAAGGTCTACGTATATATATGCATTCTGAAGATTACACTCGTTGTGTTCTTCGGTGAGGAGAGTAATTTTAATCGTATCTTATCGATATTGAGTTACTTTCTTTCAGAATGTAGATAATAGTAATATTTCCTTCCTCCAAACTTTCAGAGATGTTCTAATTCTTGTATAAAGTAAAAATTATGTCGTAACGAAATCACTTTATCGAATATAATTACTTCAGCTTTTCTTCATGAATGTTCACTAAAACATAGTCTGGTCAATATATTAGGCGCCGATATACATCAGGACGTACTTAAAATTGTACGTATCGTAGTCGCGTAAGAAAAAAAGAACAATTATATCAATGAAAAATATGTTGAAAGGGAACAAATGAATAAAAATGAAAATTTCTGAGCAATAAGGAGCGTGTCGAGCTAGCGTGTAAACGCTTAAATAATTAAAAAGAAACAAATTCCTTTCTCTTGCTTTTCTTTCATTTTATAAAAAGATAATAGGTTGTACATGTGAATATCGTTGACAGATTACAGCCATACGTCACACGAATGTAAGTGGTTAAATAAAACTGTTTCACGAAAGAATCATACATTTTATAGGATTTAAATAAATTATTCAAAATTTTTGCGTTCCTAATTTACAAATCACGAGTCAGTATACACAACTGCGGTCGAATCCAATAGTTAAATGTGTACGTCAATGCTGCGCGTATGAAATTAATGATATGCAAATAATAATGATACGCATATGAATGAAAGAGAAAGAGAGAGAGAGAAAGAGATGCACGCAGTAATCGTTATTATAACATATATCTATATAGATATTGCTTCTTTTAGTTGAAATTTCGAAGTATCATTAAATCGTTTGATATCGACGCATATGTAAATTACGTACGATATTTCCTCAAATATGGATGTAACATTACATCTCTATATTTCTAACGTACTGTCACTTTTTCTTTTTTATAAGTTATAGTCGTTTTTTAGGTTCCATCGCAAAGTAAAAAAAATTATTCCTGAATTAGATGATAATTCACGAATTGCTACATAATGAGTCGCATTACGTGTCATCTTCGGACATTGACGCCATAACAATAATCATATTCGTATTATGTTCAAATTCTTTCATCTTTTTTCTTTTTTTTAAATAACTATTAACAAATTTCTATAATATTACAGTGTAAAAGTCATCAAATGTTACTAAGATGATACAATTGAATCCGACGGAAAAAAAAGAGACGTATCTCTGTGGTTTATTCTCATTTGAATTTCTCCAAAATATACTGTATACAATATTTTACTTTTACTTATAAATATATACAGTCGAGTGTGAGTGTATGCACGTGTGTAGGTGTATGTGTGTTTGTTACACGAGCACACTAGACTTCGTTCGTTCTTTTTTTTTCTTTATTCACACGACACGAGATTGAGCAGTGCGCCACACAGTCTAGCTTGCTATCTTTATCTTAAAAAGTACGCTATGTTTTTTCTTTTTTTTCTTTTTTTACCCGTGTAACTTAACTTTATTTCCTTCCTTGCGACAGTATAGTCCTGATGTTTCAAATATTTTGAATCTAAGCACAGAGGTATTATTCGATTAATTAACTCGTCTTCTTAAAACGGTTTATAGCTTTAGTAACCTCTTTCTTTCTTGCTTTTTATTCTCCTCGTCATTTGTCTCTTCTTCTTTTTCTCCTCCTTTTGCATCGTTCTTATCGTCCTGCACCTCCTCCTCTGTTTCCCATTCATGCCCGCATGTCACTTACCACATTGTGAAAATATTTACATGGTTTGGATTAATAATTAATGATTGCGGTATAATTGGATTCAGTAACTGGATACGCGAGATCAATGTTTAGGGGGGCTAATCGGCGTAGACAATAAACTGTTGATTGTCCACATCCGCAACTTCAACTTGGACAAACTGAGGCTGTTGAAGTTGGATCTGTTGCACTTGTCTTCCAATCGCGTTTCGTGACCTGAAATCGTACGATACGATTGAATTATTTAATTGTGATATACTCGACAATAGTTTACTCGATACATGTTTTCAATGTTACATTTTTCTTTTTTACATTGACATAAAATGAAACCTTTCCTATTCAGAATTTCATTGTTTTTACATGTGGTAACGTTTTCTTCCTTGTTCTTATGAACGCTTAATCTGCTCCCAGTTTTAGTTTAGTTAGCGATCGGAAAATGAGCGACTTACTTAGCCTTGGCGTGCGTCAATATGTGTGACTTGAGGTTTGTCGACTGCGCGAACTTTTTGCTGCATCCGTCAAATGGGCAAACGTACGGCCGATCGCCGGTATGAATTCTAACGTGAGTACGTAGGTTGAAGTCTAGGCTGAACCTCTTGCCACAGCCCTCGAACGTACACTGAAAAGGCTTCTCGCCCGTATGCACCAACTGATGCCTTTTGAGTTTGGAACTTTCAACGAAGGCCTTACCACACTCTGCGCAGACATGCACACGGGGCCCATGGGTATGTAGATGTTTGCGCATTGCGCTGTTATCTCGGAACATTTTTGTGCAACCTTTGTGCGGACAAGCGATAGTACGTTCTATACCATCCATGGCCGGTGGTTTGCGCACCTTCAGCTTATGGCCGGGGCGTGCAAATTCCGCCAGCTGTTTTGGATCCGACAGATCCAACCCGGGCATCCCATCGGATACAGAACTACCGGAGTGACTGAACTTGGCATTGGACTTGCCGCTCATGTATTCCGTATAATCTGGATCTGGTTCCGGATTCGAGCCCTCATCTGAAATAAAGTCACTGTATCAGGTTTTGTGATGGAATATTTCCTCTCCTTAAATTAAGTTTGGGTAATTGTGAGACAGTTATCTGAGAATAAGGCTATTCTTGCAAATTTTGTGTTCGAACCTTGCTATGTAACTTTAACACAATTACTGTTGCTTGCGAATTTGTCAGAACTTTTGTTTTTTTTTTATAAATGCAAATATATCAAGTTTTTCTTTGAATTATTATAAATTCCAAAAGTCTGAGAGAACATTTATATCCTATTTTAATGGGTAAATATTTGAAATGTATTTTACAATTCCTACATATTACACAATTCCTATTATTTAAATTTTGTATTTAGAGAAAATGCACTTTTATATTACTACATATAAATATTTCGCAAAATCTTAAAATATTACAGCCTTATTCTGATAAATAACATACCATCAACGTGTTTTGGATTAGTACACCCTGTATATATATATACACACATACTCGTGAAGCAGCATAGAGCAGAATGACGTCAGAAGCCAAAGCGTTGCTTTCACAATGCTCCGCTTCGACTTCCTCTCTCTCTTTCTCTGATGTTCTCCGACTCATTGCAATCCACAGCATCTTTCTTGTCGAGATGCCGCGGGCTTGCTCTCGAAAAGTGAATTCATCAACGACAAAATGCCGCGGGAACGACGACTTCGACAGTGCCAGCGGACGTCGAGTCGTCCGACGCGGGCGTGAGATCGCCGCTCGTTCGTCCGTCGCCATTGCTCGGAGTGACGGGCGGGCGATCAGCCACGTAAAAGAAGCCATTTTCAAAATATGGCTGCCCCCGTGGCCAGCGTAATGGCGTTCACGCGATCAAAACAAACAACGCGGCCTGTCAAGCCGGTCGGCACGCCGATCCGGCCCGCCGTGGTCGATTTTCCACGAGAGAGGATCGCGCGCGCGACACGCGACGCTGTATCGATCAGGGCATCGCACCGGAAGTGCGTACCCGCCCGTGTGTGTGCGTGCGGTGTATAACGACGACGAGAAGTATGCAGGAATGACTGTGAACGGAGCGGTCGAGCGACTGAACAGGCGGGAAGACAGCTCTCACGCCGGAGACTCACCGTCATCTGTGCCGGATGCCCACATCGTCACCGAGAATTCTCCTTCGAGTGTCTTGATCTGTACTTGCTTCTGCTCCCACTTCCTAGCCTTGGTCTCGGTGGCCATCTCGCCGAAGATCGCGTGGTCAGACGTGCGGAAGCGCGTGCCGCCGCTTTTGCGCGCCTTCTTGGCGGCCTTGCGGGACGGCCCCGGACTGGACTCCACATAAATGTCGTTCTCCGGCACCGGGATCTGATCGTACACGCTGAGCGGGTCCGTACCAACGATCTCCTCCTGCGTCTGCAGTATGATTTCCTCACGGCCTGGCTCCGGTAGCGGTTGTAGCGCTATCATCGGCTGCCCGTCCTCGCCCTCGATCGTCGTCTCCACCGTCTCGCACGGTATCTCCACCGGGATCGCTTCTATCTCCACCTCCTGGATATCCGGTTGAATCTCCACTTCGGTTATTATGTCCGAGGACGCCATATTAATCTCCGACGACGCCATGTTAAGGAATCAAGATGGTCGTCCGCACACAGCCGCGGGGTGGCGAGCGTCTGCCCCATGTGACCCCGTCATGTGATCAGCTGAGCGCTACCGTCGCTCCGAGCGCGCGCCATCTTGGGAGCGTGGCGAGATGCTCGTGAGTCGGAATTATCTGTACCTTCTTTTTCTTTTTTCTCCGCGTTTGTCAACGTTCCTTGCGATTTATCATGATTAATCACGGGTGAACTCGATCGTGCCGATCGTTGCGTCGAATTGTTTAGCAGAAGATACGGCGAGAGAAGGCGAGTGAAACGATCGTGCGAGACAAGTGATAGGAGTATAGGTTAGGAGACGTTTCTCGACCAACGTCGTCGTCGCGATGGATCTGGCCAAGGTACCGAACGAGAGGAAATTGTATCTCTGCAAGTGGTACTTTCGTGGTACGTTTGCTAACGTTATGTGCTTTTAACGTGTCGTGCCCGCAATTGACTATTCCAATCTCGAGGTACACAACCATACAACAAAATACGTGGTTTGGCAGTATCTTCCTGTGTTACATACACTTTCACCGGCTACATTTCCTTGTAATGTTTCTTACTTCCCGAATTATATCTTCAATACACAGAGTAGCGCTACAACAACAACAAGATCTGTTGTTTACATAGTCCTTTGTTCATCACTTTGTTACAGTTGGTTTTGCACTGTTGCCGTTTCTGTGGGCTGTGAATGCAATTTGGTTCTGGAAAGAGGCCTTTGTTGAGCCATCATACGAGGAACAGAAACAGATTAAGAAATGTTAGTATCGGTCAATTTTGATCCTGTGACAAATTATGCGCACAAAAGGGACAAACATTTTTTGAATTTCTTTTCCTTTCAGATGTGATATTGTCTGCTATAGGAGCAGCAATTTGGGCCACTGCTTTGCTGGCATGGACAATTACCTTTCAAACCCAAAGAGCCGCTTGGGGTGAATTCGCCGATGCTATCAGCTATATAATTCCCACTGGTATTCCTTGATGATTTTAATATCGATATATTGTTATATAATTGCGCAATATAATTTATCACAGACACGTAACAAATAATTTTTGTATATTATTATATTAAGCTTGTAATATAATTGTACTTGACTCACAGCAAAATTTTATATCCAGCGTGTATCATTGGCAAAATAAAACAACCTTTTTTATAGTATAAGTGTCATTGTATATTAAAAAAATAACGATTGCAAAAGGAGTATTCCAAGGAACTATTTTATATTATGGTCTCTTATTTGACTACACTTAGATATGTGTAGAAATTACGATATAGAGAATACTGTAAAAAATATATACTGCATATTTCTGTACATTTAAGAATTTCTTACATCAGTTAAATAATATCAATTATATATATATATATATATGTATATATATATCTTTCTCTTTCACGGCCATGTTCAAGATGACATTGCAGTGATTTGTACAATTTGTTAAGAAATGCGAGTGAGATTGTGACATATGTAGATCTGGCAAACGGTCATGTCAATCGCGTAGAATTTCCATATAAAATCATATTCTTCATTATGGTCTACTACCATTAATTTTGCTAATTTACAGCCTATATTCAAAGAATTCGTCGTCTTTGCACGTATAATCTCAATTCCCTATAAACTAATCTGGACAGAAGCTGAAACGACAAAAATGCAATATATGTACGTCACTGCTAAGGATTTTCTTCCTCACAGAGTAAACGAGTAGATAAAATGAACTCACCAATAAAGCCAATAAGTCTGAGCCCATCAACATGTAAAATACATTGTGCCATCCAGCCCATCGAGACACTAGACCTGCTAACAACGGACCTACGGCGGCTCCGATGCTGCCAGTACCATCGATAATGGCAGTCACTGTGGCTAAGGCCTTTGAATTTTCACCTAAGCTAGGGTGAGTCCCAAGTTCGGCGGACACTGCAGTCGTTATCAAGGCATATGGACCATTTACCAATAATCCCGCGATCAGTAGCAGTATCACGTTGACGCCTAGACTGGCGTTTCTGACGTAATCGTATATAAATAACTGTGGGATTATATGAGGTACATGTTAATGTATAACGTTCCTTGTTGCTGAAATATTTTCATAATATATAAAATATATAAAATGTAACGTTAAATTTTCTTTTCAGAGCAAAGAATTATACTAGGCTGCTTTCGCTTCCTCTCAACGGTATCGTGGTCAGCCTTTGGAAGTAGAAACTCACTGCGGGAAATGTAAGTCCAAACATGATAACGCATGTGAAAGCGCTCATGCCGGTATAGTCGGATAGAACTCCAGCCACTATAGCGCCTACTATACCGCCGACGTCGAATAAAATCGACAAATATGCGCTTAAGCTTGTACCATACGTAGCTGCAAGAAGATCGCGATGAGATTATATTGAAACTTGCATAGTTGCAAGGATACTTTCTCGGTAGATACTCACTCGAAGCTGCAATGTACAGTGGTAACCAGTAAAGGAATGTATAGCTAACGAGCTTCGCGAAGAACAGAGATAAGGAATACTCGATGACACCAGGTATCTTCATGGCTCCCACAAATCCAATCGCGCTATCTTGAGGTGCGCCGTAAATGCGTCGATGTCCCGATAACATCGGACTGCTTTCGGATCGTGAATTATCATTCGGGTCCTTCGAAATGCACAAATAAAACATGTAGCAATCTGCAGACAGATTGGATTGTGATGCATTGATAAACAGTGACACGTTGTTGTTGATTGCGTGTTGGGTGAGATTATGATACGTATTCGTTTACTTAAAAATTGCAAATGATATAACCATTGCTTGTACATTGCAACCTTCCGTTCGACTAACGAAAGTATAATTTACACGCTAATGCGAAACTCGACTTGCGACTAACAATGTTAATTAAATAGGAAAGTGGCATGCACTTACGTCAGCGGCAACTTGATCACGGTAGACACAGCGATAGGTGACACGCTAGGTACAGCAGATGGTTATTTATTATGGAAGTGCAAATTATATCTACTAGAAACAATTAAATGATTTACTAAGTGTAAATATTTTGAAGGAACTAAAAGAGAGAGAAAAGGAGAAGCATACTACAACCATTTCCACAGTAACGGGGTAGAAAAAAAATTATATACTTGTAATTATATTCAACGATACAGACATGCTTGTAATACGTTTTAATCACAAGTGTGCGTTGACTCTAATCTAAATCAAATTTGATGTTACAGAGTTGTGCTTGCTGTTAGACAACATGTACACTCACAACGCGTGCTCACATCCGATAGGAAGGCAGCGCGAAGTTGGTCAGTCACCTACGTACAAACTTACATCTTCTCCGGTAGTGTGGGGACCGTCACCGACATCGACATAGGCATCATCATCCGAACTGTTGGACGCCTCGATCTTTCTGTACACATGAGAGTTAGGCGGGCTACACCCTACGTCGGTAGGATTCGGCACTAGGAACAGGAAGATGAAGAACCCGACCAGTCCCATTATAGCGCCAGGCACCATGAAACTCAGGCCCCAATCGGACTCGACATAGTTCGCCGCGATCACACTGCCTAGTATATTCCCTAAGGATGTATGCGAGTTCCACACACCGAAGATGAAACCGCGTTTTTTCTTGCCGAACCAATTCCCTACGACTGTCACCACGCCAGGCCAACCCGTGGTTTGAAATACTCCGCCTATTGCCTGCACGACACAAAAGAGGACGTGGAAACGGATTTATGCGCTTTCTATGTTCCGCGTAAGTTGGTGTGTACCTGCACGAGGACGAAGTACCACAAGTTATGAATACCGTAAGGCCTGGCGATCCCAAATAGGTAACAGGATATACCAGACGCGATCATACCGAGAGAAAGGAAGTATCGCAGATTTACCCTTTCTGCTATAATCCCACTGCACAGGCAAACGAAACAACATTGTTTCAATAACAACGGTTTTGTTCATGTCAATTAGGATTGTGATTTGATTAGACATTCACTGAATATTATTACTATTACGAAATTAGTAATATTATTAATAATAATATTATTGTATTATTACTAATCTTGTGGTTGGCAATGTGTTGAGCAATTCGATATACGACTGTATACGATGGCCAAGAAATTTGGACCTGGTGGGGTTCACCAGAGTGACATTAAGGTGATGTACACAGCAAATTGAAAGAGATCTCGTTGCATCTTTTATGATGCATGTACGATAAGCTCGAATAATTTCAATGCATTACCTGAGAAACATAGCTGCCGCGTATGCGAAGAGAAACGATGAGTCCAGCAAACCGAGTAACGCCGGCGCATCTTCCGTGTCTGGAGAGACGATAAATTTACTTGTATATTCTAATATGTATGTTGATAAAATCAATAATAAGTGGATATTGATCATATTTACCAAATGGAGCCCAATCGCACCAATGAATACTGTCATTTATTGGGACATCGGAAGGTGGCAGTATTCCGCTACAATTTTGGCTCAGGACATTTTTCACCACAGATATTGGCTTCCGAGTCAAATGGTAGCAAGTATACGCGAGGAAAGTAGTCACCAGTATCCCAGCTTGATACCATGGCTTCCAATTGATCTGATGATGTACACAGCAATTGTTGCATATGTGTTTTAAACACTGAATGCCACATGGCACATCTTTCACCTGGCCGTTCATACTTTATGCATGTAGTAATACTTGACTTGATAAGTTTTGAGGAAACGATATTTGGCAGAATATCACTCAATACTTTGTTATATATATTATATGATCCCAACTTTTAACATTAAATTATGTTAAATCTCTGATCATTAAGTAACAAAGCACTCTTTGGTTGTGACGGATACACAAAAATATCTTGTACAGGTAGGAAAATTGAAGCTATTTAAAAGGTGCTTCTGTTTTATAGTGATATACACATCTGATGGAACACAGATGGAGATTTGAGAACTTAGGACGGAAGTAAGTTTCAACTACTAATTAAAATTATCGTGATTATCGGTTAACGAAATTAAAAGACACGTCAGTAAATCACTCTTTGCGCGCTTTCCGTGAATTATTCGTAACAAATGTGAACAACGTTCCAGGGACGCCAAGTCCACCATGCTTTGCATTGCCCCGACTGTTCATTCGCTTTTACTGAGCAGTGAAGCGAGAAAGCAATAGACAAATTCAATGACAAGTGCAGCTATGAGTCATAACCTGAAAGCAAGTATACAGATATATGATATAAAAGCAGACCCTAATTATCAGGCGTAGAACCGATAAATTATCTTGTATCCCCGAGAAACTCCCCTACAAAACTCACCCGTTTGTGGGAAATTTCGTGAGTTCGCGTTAAAAAATTTTATAAATGCTATATTATCTTCTCCTACATAAAAATGGAATGTTTACCACGCTACGACAGGACAGACGTTTGTTCTTTTCAACTTCATTCAAGCTGTTCTGAAGCCGAGGTCGCAGCAGTAACTTACGAGATACGCGAGAGCAGCGCTCTTGCAGATAGATGATTGGTTGACAAATTCGCGCGCGTCAGCTGTTCAGCAGATGTGAAATTGGCGGGAAACCTAGAAGCGGATCTCCGATATGTCGTGACAATGTCATCTTGATCTTGATCATTGTTACTTCGGAGCTCACACGAGACTGTCGTTTCAAATTAGTTTACGAAATTTTTGACGATTTGATCGCGTGATAAATTCCGACGGTTGTTTATCTTCCCTCCATCATGGCAGTGACGACACGGAGTGCCCAGCTTGGCAAGGAGGTTAGTTTTGCGCGGAATTGGTTAGTGTTTTTGTCTCTCTGCTTCTTCTCTTATGTTTTATTTGTCTGTTTGGAAATATAGTTTTCTTTCCTGCTATTGGTTTTTTTCCAATCTCACTTCACTATTTATAAGGACTTATTATAAACTTATCATAAAAATACATTTAGCTTTAGTATGCATTATAAGTCCTTGAGAATGTCTATATTTAGTGCTATTCTATATTTGCTATGATTATATTTAGTGCTATTTAGCGTTTTTCATGATACATTTTCCAATTTCGATCGTCTGATTTGCTACTTCTTTTAGAGAATTTTTAGAGAAGTGTGCAATGTTGCATTTTGTTTGCAGGTGTCTGGAGCTCTGCGTCGATCACCAAGAAACTTACCGCAGCATTTAAAGGTGTGTAAATAATAATCGTCCTTTAAAAGAGATGCATAATGTTATGTAAAAATAAATTACTGTCAAATTAAAATTTCTCTCGTTTCTAAGCTCAAACTTAAATTTATATTGAATAAGTTGTCCCAAAAGTTTGAAAGTCGTGATTACTCAATTTCCTTCTTTACAGGAAAAATTGGAGCAGCCAAAACCTGAGAGAGAGCCTGACATAGAAACTTTACCTCCAATTATTTTCAAAGGACATATCCAATATGCTAATGACTTCTTTGATTGTGCCCAGATTTGTGACAGTCTCATGTGAGTACAGGAAATTAAAAATTGAAATGAGAATCATTATCGTGAGAGAAATTTCAAACTAGAGAGACCAGAAGTTAGGTTAAAAAGAAATTAAGGAAACATTAAGAAAAATATAGTTGAAAATGTAATTTCGTATAAATTAATTTTCACCTATTATCTAAATTTTGATAAAAGTATCGAATTATTGATGTATTCCTTTATCATGTGTTTTGTTAAATTTTTCAGACAAGAAGTAAAGCGTAGTGAAAAGGAGTTTATACCAGTAGGTTTTGATCTGGAATGGCCTTTTAGTTTCCAAACTGGCAGTGGAAAAACTGCATTGGCACAAATCTGTCTACAGGACAGTGTGTGTTATCTTTTGCATGTATATTCGCTGAAAAAACTTCCAGCAGCCTTTGTCGAGTTTCTTTGTCATCCAAAAGTTAAACTCGTTGGTGTCAATATAAAGAAGTTAGTAGATTGTTATATATATATATGATACAAAATAAATAAGTAGTAAATGTAATCTGATATTTTAGGCTTCCATGGTAAGGAAATAATTTTGATTTGGCTTTCAGCTCGGTACCGCGTTTTCGATATTTTTGAACATACGTGTAATGTGTAATTTTAGTTTTCCTTTCAGTTTTAATTTATTGTTTAATTGTCTCACTATTTTAATACTATTGATAATTATTTTATACTTTATATAATAATAATAGCTTTTCCATAATTGCAAGTTTGATGGTTTTACAGTGACGTTTGGAAGCTCGGACGAGACTTTAAAGAGTTTCCTGCTCAGAAGGTGGTACAAAATAATTGTATGGACTGCGGAACGTACGCTAATCAAGTCTTGAAACGATCTTGCCGTTGGAGCTTGGAAAGACTAACCGCTTACTTGGTATTAATTTTCAATTGGAGATTGTCTTTGAAATTGAATTGGATATCTATAAAAAAGTTTTCATATGTTTAGTTGAAGAAAAAAATTGACAAGAATCCCGAGGTACGAAGGAGTAAGTGGCACGTGCAACCACTCAGCGACGCCCAGAAAATTTATGCGGCAACAGATGCTTATGTAAGGACAGTTTAAAATCATCTAGAAGTTATATTCTTTGAAGATTGAAAATTTTATATGAAAAAATATAATTGCCAGATAGTTTGTAATATTTCACTGCAAAGTAACAATCTCCTCATTTGCAGGTATCTCTTTTACTTCACACGACGATTCAGGCGAAGGCCGTTGCTTTAGAGAAGCAAAGTCAAAATCACGAGAATTCAGTGAAACCTCTGCCTTAACAAAGCTCACCAATTTCAACAGTTATTTAAATTAACATAAAAAATCTCTAAGATGCATCCGAGAGTGGTGAAAGTCCTTCTGGCCGGTCGTCTGTCGTACGGTGCTGGTCATCGACTTCAGAAGATTTTGTCGGATCATCACCATCAGCGTTTGAGTAAGCCGGCGAATACCTTGGTGGTTTTAGAACACAAACCGGTGTACACGGTGGGAATTCGCGAAAAGGCATACACAGTCGAAGAAGAAAGAAAACTGAAAAATCTCGGCGCTGAGTTCTGGAGGACGAACCGTGGCGGATTGATCACTTTTCACGGGCCTGGTCAGCTAGTAGCTTATCCGGTACTCGATTTGAAACAATTTCGCACTAGTGTCAGGTGGTACGTGGACCAGTTGGAGCGCCTAGTGATCCGTTTGTGCGCAGAATTCGACATCAAGGCCGAAACGTCGCCGCACACCGGAGTATGGGTCGACGATCGCAAAATCTGTGCCATGGGCATTCATTGCAGCCGTTATGTCACCACCCACGGCTTGGCACTCAACTGCAACACTGACCTCAAATGGTTTGAACACATCGTGCCTTGCGGCATCGAAGGTAAAGGCGTCACCAGCATCTCAAAGGAGCTTAACGTAGACGTCACGGCTTACGACATATTGCCGATCTTCGTCAACGCTTTCCGTGAGCAGTTCGAGTGCGAGCTGATAGAGTTTCCGCCCAATGAGGCCTCACGGATCTTGCAAGATGCGATAAAAGTTACGGACGATTAATATTAGAATTAGTAGTACTAAATTTTCTATAGTAGATAGGTTTTAAGGACTTTTAACTTCCAAGAGAATGTTTCAGATTGTTGAAAGTCGGACAATATTGATACACTAATATTATAAACATATTAATATTAAGAAATTTTTATATTATGGGAGTCTGGAAAAACTGAAGATGTTTTTGTCTCCGAGTTTCAGAGAATCTTGATAACACTTTGTAGCTATCTATCTCTAATTAATATCACAACTATTGTAAAATCGAATTTAAATTTATCACAGAATAAACCTGTGATATCAATTTAAAAGTAATTTGTATATAAAAATAATATTCGTATTTCTATATCGATAAATATGTTGTTAATGCTACAATTTCTTCAAGATGAATTCGGTCAACAAATTCAATTAGATTTATTTGTTAATTGATATTTTCTTTTTAACAATTATTGTGCTTGTGCGATTGAAAAATATTAACCTTGATCTGTTAATTGTATTGCCAAAACTCTAATGCGATTTACACAGAAATTAATTGAACACATAATTTCTGTAACATCAGTAACAAATCATCGATTATGCGAATTGTGTTTGGGAGCGGCGCGAGTGCATAATAAATTTTATATTACATAAATAACTATATATTACTCATTTTATCGCTAATGACAATCCATATATATATATATATATATATATAATCGTGTTTAAATTGAATGCACAGAAGTTATTAGATGTACAACTTAATTCTCGGTCTTTTTAAAGAAAATATATTGTTTATTTACAAAAAAATGAATAATCTCTCAACCTTTGAAATAGTTTCCGTTACTCTCTACATGCTTTGCCATCTTTTAAATAACTGACAAAATCCGCTTCGGAAGAAGAATTGCGGGAAAAGCATTTAAATTTGAATATGTGCTGTAGGCGTTGATTAAATGTAGGGATCGACGATTAAGTTGTACACTTAATATGTAAATGCGGTATATAAAAAGATTTGTAATATTTTTATAAAATATTTGTCAATACTTATTAAATAAAAATATTTTTATATACTGCAATAAAAGAAAGATTAAGTAAGGCGAGCAAATGAAACGTCAAAGTTGGAGAAAAAGCATCTCGCCTGACCACATATTGATCTAAATCTCTGAAAGATTTATACAATAAGAAGGCAAAATAGATACATAAATTCCCATTATGCGCCTTGAAGACTGCGCCATTGTGCATTGAAGATAAGAACTGTTAATTGAATATCGCTACAAGTAAGCAAGCGAGTCATTTTGACTCAATATATGTTATTGACACCGGATATGAATACACAATTATAACGCAATCGCGTCAATCTTTAATTTCGTTAAAGATATTAGGCATTCAATTTAAACGTGATCGTTTGATGAGATCTACATAGTGACGAACATATATATTTTATTTTCAGTCAGTAGTGATTCAATTACCCTGAAGTTTCGCGTCATTTCAAGCGTCTCGTCGAAATCGAGAGGTCAGGAATATTTCATGCATTTTGAAACATTTCGAAAGACTATTTCTCTGAGAATCGTCAAACTTTTAAATCTGCCGAGACATCTGTCTGATCGTATCGAGACCTCGAGGAATCCTTTCCGATAACACTTGAAATGTAACACGAAACACTCGCGTCATGCGTTTAGTTAAAGTGATTCGAAACGCTCTCATCAACAGCTCGTCATTAAGTCTACGTAAAACTATTATCACTCTGTCAGCACGTGCAGGTATCTTTGATTGTAGAGCTCTGTGGTGAGGGAGCCGACGACCTCGACGGCGTTGTGAAGTGAGTTGGCCGAGTCCCTGACGAGTCGGACGGCCCTCTCCACGTCACCACGCAGCTCTGCGTACTGCTTGTTCAACAGCAGCCCCTCCAAACTCTGCATCGCCTTCACAGCCTCCACACTCGGTCGAATCTCCATCGCGTCCGGATCAGTCGACCTCGTGGGCGCTACACCGGGCGAGTGCGGAGTATATCTCACTAATTGTTGGTCGGACTTGGATTCTGGTAACTGCGCCAGGCAGTAGACAGCCGTAGCGCGACTTAGGAACTTGCACCTGCGGGAAAATTGAACGACGGAATGGAACTATATCGGTTACAAAGAGAGGAAAACAAGGTTGTTCTTAGCGATCATCGGCTTACCGTACGGTGAGCTGAGAACCTTTCCTCAGTCCGATAGCGCCCAGGATGCCCCATCCTTGTCCCGCGTCATCCGCTACCGTCAGCAACGCTCGTGACAGCCCCTTCAGTGCTCTGGCAGCTATCACTGTATTCTCGCTGTACTGACACTGCCTGTAGGCCAGCTCGCATGCCTTCGCCCATAACAGAGGCAATTTCTCCTCCGCGATATCCCTGGATAAATTCGATATGGCTTCGTGATGCTTTCGACATTTTCATCGACGAGATTAAAGAGACAATGATTTCACGTGCGACAGAAAAGATAAGTAACGTTCGGGATATAAAAATCCCACTTGTCCGTTGGAAACACTTACGTGGTTTTAATGGCACTGATCCAATCCACCAGATTGATCAGAAGCATGCCTTCTTCTCGGATATCCTGACAGGACGGAAGTCTCTTCAGCAATACGGAATAGAGAGCTAACAATCTACCTTCTGACACTAGTATAGATTCCAACGGCGGCTGACGAGGTACTACGGACTGCAACACCATCAGCACCGCCGCCCATGTAGGCCGAACGTCGTCCGTTACTAAAAAATAAAGGTCAGTCAGAACGGGAATCGTAAAAATAAAAGAACGGGGATTCGAAAAATGAAAGAAATCCACAAATGTTTTTTTATAGACGAGTCTTGCTCCGTCTTCTTGCTCACCGTTATACTTGAAGTACGCCTCCAAGGCTGCCTCCATAAGATGGCCCAGGATGGACGAGGAAGCAACCGCAATCCCGATCACCCTCAGCACTCCCATCAGCACTGGACTGCTGGCTGTTCGCTCCAGCAGCCACGCTGTCCAACTCGTACGGAAATGCTCGCTCAACGCCGTGCTCTGATTCATCGAGTGCAAGAACTCGGTGATTAGTAGACCGGCTTCGGCAACCTGTTGCGACTCGGAGACGGCTGAGAGAAAGAAAGAAGATTCCTTAGGCTTTAGACTTCTTTGCCGTTTATTGTTGCAAACAAGTCGCATCTTCATACCTGAGATCCTCGGATCTTCATCTAGACACTTACTACTAGTGATAACGATCTCCATGTCGTCGAGCATTCGCGACAACGCAACGTTGAACGCTTTGCTGTTGGTCGAAAGAAGAGACTTGTGTCTCGTGGTGCAGTTGATCAACAATTTGACCGAAGAGCGCACGTACATCTGCCTCTTCTTCAGGGTAGTGGGATGAAAATACTTCACCGTGGGATCATAGCCCGCCGCTATTTTTAGCAAACTACATATCCAGTTGTTTTAATCATTCAGTTGTTTTTTACACGCTACTGATACAGCCTGATACCAATCAGGCTTACCTGTTCACAGCCGTGTCAATGGGATGAGTATAGTCCACCTCCAGGCAAAGAATTACCCTGGGATCGCAGCTCATCACGTGCCAATTAATCACTTGATCGTACGCTGCAGCATCGATCAAGTGCCAGGAGAAGCATTCGGACTCGGCAACTAGCTGCACCGCTTTCTCGTTCTAGAATTTCAGTTGAACTTTTACTTCCGAGGTTTTAGTCTACTTGACGCATTTCGGCAAGCTATTCAATTTCACCATATTTAATTTTATATTCTCGAATTCTCAGATTTTCGGAATCGTCCTCTTCGATCTTACCTGCCTGACATTAGGTTCATTGGACAGTTTCACCAACAGGTTCAACAGGCAGACGTGCATCCTGGCGGCGACTGGCATTGACTGTATGGCCATTAACTCGCTGACCCAGACGGACCAATTAACGCAAGTGAAAACACTGCCGAGGAACAGGTGGCAGTCTGGCAGATATTGATCGACAACCTTGATCATCAAGTCAACGTCGTTGGCGCTGGGGTAAAAGCGATCCCACGGCAGAGAGAGGAAGTTACCGTGTACCACGTTCAGCACGTGTTCCTTGACGGACGCGTGCGCGTAGTTTGTTACGTAGAATTGCCACACAAAGCTGAGGATCTTGCTGGACGCTGGCATAGTGTCGACGATGAAGCGGACGCATTCCGCGAACATCGCCATCGTCCGATTCGCGTAAGGACCGTCGGTGATGATCCATGGCAGTAGCACCGATCGGTCGTCCGTCAGCTGCTGAATCCACGCCGCTGTCGGCTCACGCAGGTTCCTCGTCCAGTACGGAGTGATCCACGGTGCGTACATCTCGCTCAACACTGGCCAAATCTTCTCGCACACTAAATCAAAAAAAAAAAATAGGTAATATTACAGACTTCACATTTAAGTGATTATGCAGGTGTAGTAATTATAACAAAATATCCGATGGTTGCGTTGCGAGATGATAACATTTTCGGAATTGAAATAATCGACAATTCTAAAATGGGCTCACGTTGATCAGCGAGCGACCCTCGATCAGCTTGAAGAGTCAGCACGACTAGGGCGTGACCGACCATACCCAGAAATATGGTTAACGGCTCGTTGTAAACCCTGTATTTCGGATAGAGCCCGTATAGCCCGTACTGCAGCCTCTCCTTCATGAAGTGTCGGCTCAAAAGCACAGCGGTATCGTGCATCTGAAATTAAATGGAACGTCGTATACCAGATTATACATTTTCGCGCAAACTTACTGTTCAAATAAAAAATGAAGCAATGAAATCGAATATGTTTTCTTTGGTTCACAGAGATCGCCTATGGTATTGACGGAACGAACCTCTTGGCGAGATAACAGTCTCTGTTCCGTCGCGTAATGCCTGACCTCGTCTCTGATCTTTGACGGATGTATGGGCGCGCTGCTCTTCGGTTTTCCGCTGAGAGCTCCCAGCAAATCGCGCCACACGTCCAGAGACAAATTCTGACTCTCGGATCCTCTCAACACTGCACTCAACACCTCGCCGTAGTGCTCGGGGAACTCGTGCAAAAGGATGAGACGTAGGTGATTCCGGAAGAGCTACGTCAATCGTAATAGTAAAAACCTTCTTGTCTCTTTTTAATTAAAGCATTGCTTCGACAAGAGTTGAATTTATGACAGTTATTAAGATATGAAAAACTGGACGAACACACAAAATGAACCACGCTCACTTCGTGTAGCATTAGCTTCTCCTCCTCGGGATTCAGACCGATGTTGCACAATGCTTTGGAAATTAAATCTATAAAAGTGGACCTCTCGCTCAATCGCGGACGGCGATAGTTCAACCAGCTGCCTACGTCGAACTGTAATGGAAACAATAACGATATTATGAGAGCGAAGAAAAGGCGATAATACAGGTCGACTCTTACTTTCGAGAGCAACACAAAGCACAAGTCGACGTTCAAGCCACTAGCCAGCTCTACGACAGTCTGATACATCTGCAAGAATGTGGAAGCTCCTCCGGCGACGGGTGTGAAGTGTGGGCCCAACAGGCCACCGAGATTCGGCCTTTGTATGATCGTGCTTAATAATTGCGGGCCTCGAATCTCCTCTCCACTGATGAATAACTGAAAGCAGAGTTTACAAAGATAAAATTAATTGATTAATTTATAAAATCCCTAGAAATTGACTAGAGAATCGTAACGTGTACCCGGCCCAACTTCTCCAAGCAAGTAGTAATAAGCTGTTTTGTAGGTGGGCACAACGCTGCTTCTTCCGTGTAGGAATCCACCAGGTAGTAAAACAGCTCGACTCCGCTCTCTTGCACCTTTTGCAACACCGCGCCGTTCTCGTTGGTGCGACTGACGGTTAATTCGTGCTCCAGCATTCTGAAAAACGACAAAGCGAATAAAGCTAAACAGGAGTGAATTTGTCCCGATAGATTTGAGAGATTCGGGTATAAGTGACATTAAATAATTCTAAAATTCAAGTCGAACCTGATAGCTGACTCTCGAAGAGTGAAAAAAATCGTCAGGTAAAAGAACGGTAAAACAATCGTTGGGCTGCTTACGCGATCAAATGATCGATGAAAACACAGCCCAGAGTGACTTTGCTAGGCGGCGGTTGACTGGCTTTCACCAACAAATTCTCATACTCTGCCCGATTCTGGGTTATCATGTGATCCACACCTTCGTTGACATGAGCCTCTGCAACCTGTGCAATCAAAAGCATTTTTTTAGAAAGAAACAGTCTCATTTCTTTTTCTATTTTTTTAACGTTCCTCAATCGTACCTTGATCCTGATGATCGCAGGACCCGCACAGTGCACTGTGGGTGGTGTGCCTGATCTGGAGCGCCTCTGACCCGGCGGCGCGGGGTCGCAGAGAGCGTGCAGAGTCACCTGATTCTCGAAGATTCGATAGAGCGTCGGCACCAGCTCCAGGAAGCTGCAGTCCACCGCGGTGTGCTCGGAAACCATCAAGTTGTATGTCTGCGCGTAGTCCAGAACGACCCTGAGGTGCGGCTTGACGAGATCAATCACTGCTGTGACGTTGTAGAGACTTTCTCGAGCCACGCAGCCCAGCACCGGTTGGTTGCGACTGAGGGCTGGCGGTGGCACTGGTGATTCGTAGGAGCCCAATCGCCGGAATATCCGGCGAAGAGGGTCGACCGCTTCCGTGGCGTTTGGAGACTGGGAATATCTCAGGTGATTTTCAGGGTCGCGGAATGTTGCTCGTTCCCACTCGAAGACAGCCTTCAACTGACTCTGTTCCACTGTCCAGTGATCGACGTATTCAAGCCAGGGCGCCTTTTTGGCGTATTGATAAAGAGTGAGAAACAAATAATAATATAACAATTACATATTAATATTACACACTGTGCGATACTCTGTAACAACAACAGCAATGATGATTATTAGTGTTACTACAGTATTATATAACCAATTACGTTCTGTAATGCAATCAACTTACTCGGTCTCCCTGCACCAGCGAGATCAGTCTCTGCGGCATATATTGCGGTGGCAGAGCTGGGAAATAACACGCCGGCTCCTGAAGACGAGGTTCCTCCAACCAAAGGCTCAATGTTTTGTAGAACCTGTTACAGAGCATATATTTTGATGGTAAAGATAATCCCGTACTCAAGTCTCTTCTTCGCTTATCACTCACTTTGCGACACTGAAGTAAAATATACGCCGTTCATCTGTCATCGGTTTCCCGTTGTCTGTGTCCTTCTCCCCTTTCAATTGGAAATGTTCCGTCGTCTCATGCAGACGTTTCTTCAACTTCTTCATATAGCTCAGATTCATCATCCCCTCGAAGAAATTTTCCCCGACTCCGCCCTGACCCGTGGATCTACGGTGATTCGGAGCAAAGAAATGAATGACGTGGACTTTATGTTCACGTAATTATCGTTTGCTTTTTCTTAAAGAATAAAATGATATTCACCCGGCGATTGTAGGAATTCGTGCGAGGAATAAACTGAAGAAGTTTTGCCACAAGAGAGGCAGAAGTGGATGATCCATAGGTGTGTCGAGGGCCTGCTGGGACCAGCGGTAGATAGCTAAGTGACTCACTCCAAATGGTGTCACTTTCACCGTCGCACAAGCTCTCTGGAATACACACACACACACATATACTATTCCTGTCACAGTTATAATTTTATATTATCAGAACGCTTTGCTGTAATGCTCATATTTCTAATTTTCAAACCTTGAGCGCAGTGTCCAAAGATATCTTGGACTGTATGGACAGTTCTCGCAGGATCTCGCGCCAAAGCCCGGTTTTCATCTCCCTGTCGTACTCTTCCGCCAACAAGACCTGATGCGCGAGCCATATCGCCTGGACGGTTCCGCCGAGGAGGCTTGCCGAGTTAGAGGATCCTGTTGCCCAGCTCAGGAAGGATCCGAATGATCCTGGTGTCCGATTCGACGCTATATTCTACGGATTCCATATTATACGTAAGTAATACATATATTAATGGCGACTAAAAATCCACAGTGTAAAAATTCACTAAATTCACTAAATTGACCTATTTTTACGCATCTTACCTCGTTACTGCCCTCTATAGCAGGCTAGCAAACAATAGCAGTTAAAAAAATTAATGCAAAAATAACATAATTGCTACATACATCCACTTTCTGTCGATTCCGGGTGCTTAGTTTGCACATGATTACACTGTTCAGATTATTTGAGGAGACTCACGCAAAAGAGATTTTGAAACATGTTCCTCATCGTCGCTCTGGTGTCTAGATGAAAGAACGCCGCACGAATCACGGTATCCATCAGATACATCACACTATGGTCTTTATTCCAATCCTGGACCAATATCAGTACGTTCAGCCATAAGTGTACGAAACGTTCTGGACTGTACAAACAATATCTGCAAACAAAATGAATAATCAACAAGTATATATCTTCACGACTACAACCCATTTCTTTCCGTTCATTTCATTACATTATTTATTACTTCATTTTTAGTTTAATCGTATGATTATATATTAATCTTCTGATTCTAACAGTTTCACATTTATTTACACTTTGTCAATACCGTTTGTAATGGTGCAGATGCGACTCTATCATATAGGCAAACTGTTTAAGGATCGGTCCGGGGAACTCCGGGGCGATCAGGTTCTTCGCCATCTTCATGTACGTGCGGTCGGCAGTAATAAGTGGTACTATCAGACTGACAAACTTGTCGTTCTTCAGCAACGATTCTGGACAATCGAGAAACAACGGCACCGTGCGGTATAGGCACACCAGCACCTGCTCGTATTTGTAGTAGCACTGCAGAGTCTGCAGCTGGCTGAAGCCCTCAACACAGATCAATGGCACTGAATGGCCCCACAGGGTCATTAGCATGGAGACATAGCAAGCGATTGGCTGCTTCTCGCGCACTCCTCTCATCAAGATGTCTAGGAAAGAGTCGGATTCCATGTTGGGCACGTTAGCGAGACCCTCGGCCGGGTTCGATATGGTGTGCCGACACACGGCTTCCGATTGATCCAACTGATGAAGCCTCAGTCTATTCACCATCTCCCAAGCCCACAGACTGAACGCCTGCTCGCTGTTCTGTGGTCTCACCATCGATGACACCTGAAAGCCGAGGAAAAGATTGCTCAGTTGAGATCAATGATGTGGAAGAAACTCCATGCAGGTATTAAAGAAGACATTAACGTTTAACTAATAAAAGCGCTTCCGATCAATTTCGTTCTCATCGTTCAATTCTAGCGACTCACCTGTTTCACACCTTCGGCTAACAACGAAGCAGTCTGCGCTGGATTGTCAGGCGTATATTTGATCACAAGCTCGACAATCAGCAACGCTACTTGTCGGTGTAGATGAATCGGAAGAAACAAACTGTCCTTTCTGTTTAATAATTATTCATTAATATGTGTTTATGTAAATTTCTTATTAATTGTTCAGAATCTTCAAGAAACACTCAGAAAACTTACTCATCGAAGGCCCAATTTAAATGTGTAAGGATCAATCGAGCCAAATGGCTCTCGGACGAAGTTAAAGGATGTTGATGCAGCCAAATAGATAGGATTTCCATGTCTTGCTGCTGTGGCACCCACATCCCTATTTTCAGTTCGGTGAATAAATATAAGCTTCGCTGAAATTATTTTAAAACGTTTATTATTACTTAAAAATATTTTAATAAGATGTATCGGTTATCGAGTGAATTTATGCTAGCACTATTATCCTTTCCTATAACATTAAATCGTATGGTTTGAATCACGTAATTAAGATTCGTTAATAACAAGTACGAAATAGTTTAGAGAAAAAATCATTGTTACTTACCTTTCCAACTGATACGAAATTATCCTTCAATTTACGCAATATGTCAGATAAGAGAGTAGGATATTTGCTCGTCAGGTTCGATAAAAGTGATCTCGCGTCCTTCGAACAGGACTCTTGAGTCTTCTCACTGAGAAATCCAATCTATAATTCAATTCGTTAGATTGAGAATTCAACGATACGATCTTAAAAATATAATCCGAATTTTTAGGAGCAAATATCTACGTACTTGGAACAGATCAATCGTGGTTGTTCTTACGAAATCGTAGTCCTGGTAGCCTCTTGCTATGGCCATGTTAGCGAAGGTAGTTAGCAGAAAATAGGACTCGTCACCGGGCATGTCGCACAGCTTCTCCTCGAACTGATTATGAAGTTGAGGGCAGCTTAACTCAGCCTCCCAATCTGCAAAGTTGAATACAGTTGCCTCAGGAACTTTGTAATTATATTGTATTCGTGTGTCGTATTTTATTTACCAGCAGCCGACATATTCAATACTGCTGCGTCGCCAGGTACAGAATCGGTGTGTAGAATATAGAAGATGTGCCATAGGGTGGAGGACGATATAATGTGATATGGTATCGCGGCGAGGTACTGCCAAGCACCTAAACGTCGCGACGAGAAGATGCAGAGGATCGCTCTTACGAAGAAGCAATCGTACTCGGTTTGCAGTTTCAGCAGCATTGACTCATCAATTACCTACGCGCAAAAGAAATTTACATCACTTTAAAACTGAGCTTTCACTAAGAAGCAATCAAAACGCGAAGTTGGGCCAGTCTGAAGAATATCTAACGTTTAATGTAACAAGCATGTCACCAGATTCCCCATACCTTGCTCCTGTCGAATATTTCCCACTGATCGCTGGCATACTGAACGACGTCTCTAATTAGGGCGCTGAGCCTCTTCGCCAACTGCCTGTATCTTGGCGAGTCGTAAGTCTTCAGACCCTGTTTGAGGAGTTTGACGAGTGTCGTGTAGAATGCGAAGAGACGTAGCATGTGATGGTCTGTGATAGCGTTTTCCTCCTGATGATATCTGTTATTCTGACGCTGTATAAAAAGCACTTGCTGGAAGAGCTTGTCTAGCGGAATCTGATGAAGAAGGGAAATCAAGTCGCTCTCAAACAGGTTAGCGCCAATATTGGCGATGTCCTCATCTTCCTCGCCTTCTTCGTCTAACATCACCCATACCGTGTCGCCTGGACTACTCGAAGTATCCTGCAAGGATACCTGTACCTGCAAAGCGGATGCATAGTTGAGAAATATCTGGCTAAGTAGCGACTTCAAGATTCAATTTAGCCAGTAACGTTTAAGAATCTATCCTCTATCCAATGATGATAAAAACAAGTTTACTTAACTTGAGATTATCAAATTATTTTATGGTTTGTTTACCTGCTCCAGGAATTTATCCCGTTCTTTGATCGGCAACAGGATCACTGCGAGAGTGGCGATCATGTGATCGAGATATGGATCACTGAACGGCGAGGAGCACAATCCCGTCACTTTCGGGCGCACTGGTGCTTGCACGAACGACTTGGCCCAATTCATTACGCCGCCAGGACACCGTAAGATGTGGTTCAGTAAAAACAAATGATCCTGCCATGTGGCGACCCTCAGGAGGATCGCCACCAGCTTCGACAGCCACTCTCTCGTGTCTGTGACGAACTTTCCATCTTTGAGGACTCGCCGCTGGAAGTTGAACAAAATCGTCACGCACATCCTGAGCTCCACCAGCTGCGGAGCCGTCTGTGACGGTGATTGCTCCGGCAGGAGATTCGCCGGACCTGTCTGCGGAAGGCTGGCGAACTCCTGAAAGTAAGAAGATTATTTGTGCACTGTGAAAAATCACAGTTCCATAAGCAACTTTATTCAAGGAGGAACGCTACAACTTACGCTGAAACTCCGGGCGACTCGTTGCACGTAATGCTCGATCTGCAGGCGCAAAGATTCCGCCTCGTAACAATACAATGCCTGGCTATTGTGCAGAGCGTCCTTAATGGCCGTCAAAGTTCTAGAGAGCGCGACCAGAGTCTGCTGGTTGAAGTGGGCGATCGCGTACTCATGGCTGGCGGCAACTGGATTGCCGTCCTGGCATTCGCCGCTCTCCGTCATCGAGGTCTTCTCCAGGTACCAGAGTTGCTTCTGAGTCTCCCGGCAGTTCTTCTTCAAGCGATCCAGCTCATACGAATTCGCGATGAAGTGATTCCTCACTCTCAGGTAACCCATCAATAGCTCGTGCAACCTGTGCTGCTGCCTAAGCGGCCCGCATCTCAGCTGCGTCTCCGTGAACTCGTTCACAAATATGTCCACCAGTGACAATTCTTGATTACTGTACAAAGATGCCAGTTGCTGTTCTGTGAATGGTTTGACCTCCTTGAAAGCATTCTGCGCGTCCTTCTTGATTTCTAGAGCCTCTGCCTGCTTCTGACACGGAATCTTCACGTTTAGGTCTTCAGTGACTTGTACTGCTTGCTTGGGCTCCTCAGTGGCAGTTGATGGGATATCAACTAGTTGAATTGTGGTGACACTTACCTGAACTTGCTCTATTTGATTATTCAAGGTATTGTCTGTCACTGAGAGAGGTAGGATAGTGTCAACTTCGTCGCGGGTATTTTCATGTAATGGCAGTATCTGAAACATGTAATATATAAACCTTAGTGTATGTTGCCTATATTAAAAATAATCATATTATATATACAACTATCACTTTTTATGTCTATAACTTGTAAGGAAATGAAGCATGAAATTTCAAGATGAAATGAACTGAAACGGAAACAAATTTGGGAAAGGCAAGACACCGATTCAGAAGCTGGATTAAACATTTCTCTACACTGTAAAAGCTTCAAATATCAGTCTTAAATACCTTGCTGGTTGTTTCTACTTGCAGACTGCACTCGTTTTCATGAGCTGCTTGCTCAGCAATCTCCTTTTCGTAAACATCAGTATCAATAGCCGCTGAGTGCAACTCACTTTCCATATTCTCCACACCTTCGCCCTTGGGATAATTTGTGGGTGATTCCCCGAGCAAGCATTCGAATTCTTCCAGCGTTGGAGCATCTGGTATCTGATGTTCCAGGATCGAGTGACGTTGCTTTTCCCGTTTCTTTTTCTAGAAGAAGGACACGAGTCGGTGCTTTAAAACTATATCATAATTAAAAGACTAAATCTATATTGTAAATAAAATACGATTCTATCAATTGAATTCTTCGTTAGTTATCATCGCAGAGAATAAATGCCCGTATTTTTACCTGTCGTTGCTTCTGCTTCTCCATGTTGAAACAATAGGATGGCAGCCGGGTTCACTAATCAGCAATGGATCAACGTAAATTACTGGGTGTTTTCCGAAAGTCTCGGAGAAAAGTCTCCGTTGAAACTCGAGATAATTTTAGAGCACTTGTTCACAGTATGTTGAGTGTCAACAAGAATAAGTGAATACACCGAAGGCTTTGACAACAGTACTTCGCTTGTTCATAGACGTTTATTGTTGTTTTAATCATCGTCTTCGCCTCGGTCGACTTCAGATAATTCTGCAACAACGTCATTAACACCTTGATGGAACTGTTTTTGATCAGCTGGTCTAAACAATGTCGCTTATCATTCGACCATAATATCCCTATAAAATAACAATCTAGAAGAATTGAGATCGAGTCGGTATTTCGTTCTGGCAAGTGCTGCCATCTTTCGAGACAGTTTGAAAAATTATAACGCAGTTTTCATCGTAGAAAAGATAGAATACTATTGTATCGATAAGAGATAATGTTAATGTGTGTCAATAATACATATTATTACAATAGTTACTTTCTCATTCTATTAATGAACCTATTCATAAGCGTACGTAAAGAAGTGAGTGTTGATCATAATAATAAATTGACGTTCAGTAAAGTCACGTTTGCGTCTTTATCGACGTATATTCTCCATTGAAGACGCCATTATTTATTGATTACGAATTAGCAACTGTTATCAATTATCGATCAGTTCGGTGATTTTTTTCCGTTGGAACTTCCGGCAGTCTTTTACTGCTCCCCGAGACGACCAGTCGACTTCCGATCTAAAATATTGATAGTCACAGTGAGTAATATTGCATTATGCGCGCTAAAACGTAGGAGGACTGTCGTTTGATAAATCTTATGCACGGTAAGTCTTATATAACGCGTAGAAAGAAAAGAATATAATATACATATTACACACTCACTCTATCTTCGTGCGAATATACTCTTCCTTGACGAAAATCACGAGGATCATCGCGATCGTGATGTTGCCGAACACGCAGTACGTTGACCAATGCTCGTCTGATAAAAAAAAGGACGAAATCAAACGTATATAAAATGCGAGACGAAAAATGATCTTCTCAATGTCATAATCGTAAAACTGAAAATAAAATGTTCTCACTCATCCACGGTAGGAAGTATGAGAAATAGAAAAGTGCGCCGACTAGGTTCGATAAGAAGATCATGTAACCGCCGACAATGGCCTCGGAGACCGGAAACGCAATCTCGGAAGCGAGCTCAAGGAAAAGGGCGGGAGTTGACCAGCTGGCGGATATCCCCAGGATCACCGCGGTGTATAGCTCGCCTTTGTGAAAGGTCAACACTTGATCGTCCAGCAGGAGCACCCAAAGGAACATCACCGACGAGATCATCAGTAGAATATGGAGAGCGACTTTTAGGTGGCCTTGAAACGTGTCTGCCAAACAGGACGCCGTCAAGCTTAAAGCACTGCTGAGAATGATCGTCCAGAAAGCTAGCCTGTCTGCTTCTTCCTGAGATTAGATTTTCTCTGAAAGTTTATACTTTGAAAAGTTGAAATTTCTAAAAATTCATATCATTAAATGTAAATTCTTATGATACATTTAGTTATTTGTAAGAGGTTGAACTCTTTTTATCCAAATTATGCAGACCTGTGCGATGCTGGTACTAAAGGATATTGTCATCATTCCTAGCCAAGGTCCAGTTACTCCTTGGTTAAGAGCAGCAGCCAAGCAGAGATTCCACATATTCTTATTCCTGCAATAATGAAAATCTCTGTAGTCTGTCTCATATCAGCTAAATAATACTTATGTACAAGAGTATTCGACTTCTTAAAGAAAAATTTTTAACTCTGTCAATTCCATTAAAATTTGATTATCTTTAATGAAGAATTAAAAGCTTTAATGAAGTTTCAAATCATTAATTTTTGCTGCTTTTTATAAAAACATATTTCGAAGAATAGGATTAAAGAGAAAGAAAAATATTTGTTATTCGATTGTTTAAAAAAAAAAGTTATATCTTATGATTTTCTTATTGCCGCTAAATCAATATATGAAGGGATCTCTGTAACAAGAAAGGAATTGTGAAAAAAATAAAAAGGACCCATCCCTTGTGGGGATCGAACCCACGACCTTTGGATTAGAAGTCCAACGCGCTATCCTCTGCGCCAAAGGGACTTGGTGTTCCTCTGAGAAATGAAAGGTAATGAGCCTGCGTTAATCTATCACGAAAAAATATCTATCCATTTTATTTTTGGGAAAGCAAAATATTTTGTAACAATATTAAAATTTTACCTTAGGAGATGCAGGATCGATTCTGCAAGACCGAGACGTTCAGGAATTTTAAGAAAGATAACAGAGTGACAAGATTCTTTTGGAAGAAAGCACAAGACACCTATCAGGATCAGGAATTGGCCAACGAATTCTGGAGCGATTATAAGCTAATTAAAGTTACTTGCGGTTCAAATAGTCTCATTCTTCCTTGAATGACGTACCAATTCTCATAAGTGATATAATCTGCACTCTCAATGCTACGGAATATGCCTCGTCAAAAATGACATTTTCACTGAAATTCGGTTTCCATGCTAAAGAGGTGGAATTAAAAGCAGCCGTGCTTCCTACCATGGCCGGTCCAATTAGATAAGAGACTGCCATTCCCAATTGATTGCAAGCGAAGGATATACCTGTAGTTGTGACCGATTATTTTGTTCAAGTTTCAATTATATATATATATATACATTGTAATTATTACAACTAAATAATGTCTAGCAAATACTAATAATAACATGATATCATAATTATGATTTCCCACTCATAGTAATCTAATCGTTACGTAACATGTTATATTGTGTTTGCATTGTCGAGTCAGAAATTGTAACATTGATGTTATATTACTGTTGGTTGATGTTTGCTGGGTGATAACTGTTTCTATCTATGACTTGTTAACTTAACAAACAAGTGATCTCGAATAATAGAATAATGATGGTTTTAATCACATATTAGCAGATACCAGTAGCGGTTGTGCGTTCTCCGGGAGGAAACCAGACCGCGGAGACGAGCGCCGTGGCAGGACCAAGGATCACCCCCGATAATCCGTTCAGTATGGCCGCGGTATGCGCTGTTCTGAACGAGAAAAATATCCCTTTTGATCCCTCGATCGCCAGTTATAACTCATTTAAGGTAACATACATTGTGAAGATTCTTTCCTTGGAGGAAACACATCGAATGAAAGTGGCCAAGGTTGAAAGGATCGCCGCCATTTGTAGAGGCATCAACAGGCCTAGAAGGTATTCTTATTATAGCTTAAAAAGAACCTATTTTTTTCATTTCTCACGGATTTTTTAGTTTCTTTCCCAAGGGCAGGAGAATTCTTTTAGAAAAATTCACGCGGGTTCGGTTGTCACATTTATTTCTTTTCGTAAAAAAGATAATTACGTGCACTTAACTGAAATTAATATGTTTTATGTTGAGCAATAACATATTCAAAGAATTACAACGGAATACATTATTAACAAATAATATATAATCGGCAGAATCCGTGAAACAGTTGTTACACCCGTGAAGAAAAAAAAACTAGTTTTTTCTGACTCTTCAAAACTAATTCTTATATTAATTCTATAATATTAATTATCGTTATTATATATATAATAACAACGACACATTGTGATTATCGTTTATTCTTAACATATTTGAGACTAATTGAATCAAATCGTATTTGACGTTACATATGATATTTACAAGTAGACCTTTATTGTGGAGGAACCAACAGCAGGGCACGCAGCAGGTGATATAGCTGATGCATCCCCAATTAGAGAGCAAGGCTATCAAGGACTGGTCCCAGCTCGGGAAGGCCAGCAAACTGGAACCAGCGATCGGGCCCCAAGTGTTCCACACGCAGCATTGCATGCACAGAAGCGCGCAGAACAGAGCTAGGGCCAACCAGGCCTCTTTCCGAGGTCTGAGATACGGCTCTATCAAAGCTGAGGTCTCGTCTTGGTGATTATCTGCGTTACCGGATCGCGCGTCTGACAACTTCAGTCAACGATGTAAGTACGATATCGATAACTACATGAGAACGTACAGCGGGATACGTGCTTTCGACGTAGTTCTAAGTTTCCTGTACTCCGCGCGAATTTCCGCGGACGTATCCTGCTGCTTCTGGATGTCCTCTTGCCGTTTCTCGAAAACTTGCTGGGCAAACTGCGACATTTACATAACCGTGTCATCTCGATCGAGGTGTTATTATCGCGTCAGTGTCAAGATGAAATTAAAAATTTATCAACAACGTTCAAGGGGCTTGCTATCAAGTATACACGGTGACCTGTTTAAATTTGACCATCGATTCGTCCCTTCTCGGTGAAATTGAGGAAACATCATAGATGCGAATCACGATGATTTACCTGAACGTTACAGTATCAGACTCAATATATCAAAGTTTTACTCGGTGTTTGTACGACACCAGTTGAGTGTGAGAAGAATAAATTATAAACGGATTAAATAGCGTCTCCCTTACGAAAAAATAGTACTGACTGCTAGCACTTTTTTCGTAAGAGTTCCCATGTTTCTAATAGTATCCAACATTCAGCACGATGATTTCTCTAAAGACCCTTGCGTCTCGCTGTTATTAAAAAATAAAAAAAAATGATTCAACGTTTCAATGCATAAAATTGTTGTCGTCACGATTCCATTCTATTCGTTCGGCATTGATCGAGCCGGAGCTACAGCGCGTAGCTTCGCTGTTTCGCTGCCACTCGGCCCCCCCAAAAAAGGAGACGCAATAACAACAATAACAACAATAATAACAACAACAACAACAATAATAATAATAATAATTCGTTCTCGACAGGAACGCATCAATAAGCGGCGCGCACCTGCTGCTGGTCGTCGTCGCCTCGGCGGCGACAGCGTCGCGTATTGACCGCGGGGATAACGATAATTGTATTGTTGCATCGTCGCCCGACTACGACGACGACAACGACGACTACGAGGACGACGAGGAGGAAATCAGCGTGAGCGTAATAATCGTAATGCCGACAATAGGCGGCGCACAAAGGGAATTAGACACCCATATATACAAGCGCGTGCGAAACCCATGTACTCGCGCGGGCGCTCGCGTTGCCCGGAGCCGCGCGCGCATGCCTCGCGTTCAGCATCCTGCCGCCGCCGGGGTTGGCTCCTCTCTAATTACATCGATCTCCACCCGCTACCCGATTGGTCCGGCATCCAGCATCCGCCTCCGCCGCCGTCGCGCAGATAAATCTCACGCGAACGTGAAACAATCGGATCATCCGGGTAGTAGCGGGGGGAAGGGGGGGGGGTGAGACGAAATCCAGAGGGAGGAAGGGGGATGCGGTCCATGATGACGCTGTGGATGCGGAGAGAGCGGCGGACTTTTTTTAAACTGCTGCACGTTTAATAGAGATCGCGCGGGAGAGCTTGTTGTCGTCATTGTCGTCGTCGTCGTTGTTGTTGCTGCTGCATTTATTTTATTGCCGCTTGATCTTTTGAGGGATGGGTCGTTAATGCGGATGGGACAAGTGCGGATCTTTGAATTGGGGATTATCGAGACGATATCGCGGAATCGCGATACCGTGTGAGGAATAATTACATGATGTGTCATTATTGAAACGATATTGAGAGTGTATTTGATTTTTACGGAGAATTTTCTATAAAGTTTGTTGAAATATTCCTATTGAATCGCAATTATTTACACACATGTATACACACATATACTCGATAAAATTACAGAATTACTGCGCGATTATACCGCGGGCTTATTACGTAAAAATTGCAGAATTGTCGAAGCTCTCGGATTTGAGAAACTAAAATATGAATTCAAAAGTTTAAAAGGTTTTCAGAGCAATTTAGATCTGTAAGATTATGTGAGAGTCGCATAAAATCCATCTTCGTGCCCGAATCTTTCCGCTCGAAATTCTGTCATTAAGAAGGAGGAAAATAACACCAACGTTAGAGGTAGACCATACGAGGAGGGTGATATCGTTTTCAATCTAAGATTAAAATCAAAGGGGAAGAGGAGAAGAGAAACATCCGAATGCCAATAAGTAGCGATAATCAGGACGCGTCGTTTCACCGCGAGAAAATTGAAAATCGGGAATGAACCCAACCAATAATCTCGCTGTTCACGCTAAACCGCGCGCATTCTTTCATTCTCGTTCGTAGAAGCCCCTTTTCATTTCCTCGTGAAGCAATGCATGATTGGTACCGCGGTTATTAAAATAAGCTGTTTCGAAGCTGCTCTCTCTCCCCTTCACTGCCTCCCCGATAATCTGTTATCAATTGCACTACGTTGAAAATTAGATTCTTTGTGATGTAAATTAACTTATATAAAATTGTACGTTCTTATTGTGGAAACGTTAAAATGTACTTTTGCCGCTTTAAATGGGTCCACAAATCGGAGATTCGCAACGAGGCGAGGAGGTATGCTGGAAAATCGAAAGTCGAAAACTCGACATCACTTGAAGCTCTCAGAGCGCATTCGAATTGCAGAGATGAAACAAGGATATCCCTGAGGATAGCGCGATGTTTATCCGTCCAGGAAGCGAAACTTTCGTCCACACAAATGCGGCCGCACGTGCGGCTTCGCATAGGGGCGGCGCAGCGCCGCATGAGAAAGAGAGGGTGGCGGAGGGTGGAGAGACATCTCCGGGAGAAGGGAGCATCCCCCTACCTTGGTCCTTCACCCTAGCCAGCACGAGGTGAGAGAATGGAGGACAGCCAGGTGATTCAGACGCGCGTGCCACCCTGCAGAGACCGACGTTCTCCAGCTCGCGAATCCGCGTTGTGATTCTTCGTCTCGAGAACACAGCTCGCACACAGCTCGAGCTTCATCCCGGTGCTCCTGCGAGGATAACTCCGTCTTGTGTCCTGAATCGAAAAGTTGTGCTCCCGTGTGATAAATATTGAGAGTTAATTCGGCAACGATGTCGGGTGAAGAATGAGATTCTGTGGAGAAAGCGAGTCGAGATAGTTCATGAAACACGTAAGAATCCCGGAAAATAAGGACTCGAGGATAAATGGGCTAAATTTAAGGAGCCCCCGACAACTTCGATTCCTGAAACTGCGAGACTCCGACTTGTGAACGTAGGAAGAGTCTGTAATTCCGATTTTCGGGAAATGTAAGCTTTGTATCCTTCGAGTTTCGAGTCCTTGAAACATTGGATACTTGGGACTTTTCAGGCGCTTAATTAAAGTTGAAAATATTTGGATGTGGGAAATTCTGAACGCAGCGCGTTCCGGCGCGCGCTCGGAATAACATTCCACGTTTGTGCATTCGAGATTCATTCCTCTTCACTCGGAAGAAATATTTCACGTCCGAGGATCCACTGGTTCATTTCTCGTGGAAGAGTTAGTCCGAAAGAACTTTCGCAACTCTTTCTCTTCAATCGGAGAAAGAGATTCTATGTCGGAGGACTTTACCCGTACCTCTTTGATTGGAGAAAACATTCTGCAGCCGATAATTTCTCGCGACAACTTCATCTTCATTCGAGAGAATCGTTCTACGTACGACGGAACCTGTTAGATCCATGGACCATCTGATCTAGACGTCATCTTGTTAAATGTCTGCGAAGAAGACGAGAAGGCCGTCGTCGCCGCGACGCTTCTTCGCGCGGCTGTACGGTCACTTAGAAGCGAGCAAGAAGACGAAAGACAACGAAGACGAGGATCGCGTGAGGGAGAGTCTAGACTCGTCGCCAGAAATCACGGAAGAAGCCCCGCACGTGCTTCCTGGCGCGCCTGGCACGCATGAAACATTACATGTGAGTACAACTCCTTCTCGCTTATGACACTGAATGACAGCGGAACTCCGAAAACTTGCAACATTTAGTTTAACATTATTCCTTTTAAAACTTCTACAGAAAGGGATTTGAATGTACTTTTGTACGATGAATTGTATCAAAAATTCATGATAAAGCAGTTCCTGGAAGATTTTCTTGAGAATGAAGAGGCTGATTTTTACGATCGTTTATGAATCCAGAGATCGGTTTAATTAAAAATAATTTAAATTTAAGTCGTCTTATATTTCTCCCGTTAGGCATCGCACTCCAAGGACCTCGAGGAGACGTCGGGGGATGTCGCGAGGGGTAAAGTATCCGAGGAGAAGGGAGTGGAGAAGAATTCAGTACTCGCGGGTATAAGGCTGCCCTTCCTGCACGGATTTTTCCCGAGGCCACCCGGTCACCCTTTGCACCTGACGCAGCTCGCACATCCGCCCGCGCTGCCGCCGCATCTTCACGGCCTGCCAAGCCATCATCCCATGGCCGAGCACCACTTCCAAGGATTCTCAGCTTTCCGTAAGGTCTCGTTTATTATTCCCATATCTCTTGTTTAGATTTTTCGAGATTAATTAATCGCAACTTGACGAAAGAGGTGAGCTAAGATTTACGTCGGATAGATTTTCATCAAACTCAATATTAACTCTTTAACACGTTGAGTGCCACGTCAGTCACCGGTGACTGACAGTATAAAGTACAATATAAAACTAAAAAAATTACATAGTTTAATAAGTAATTTCAGGATCGTATAATTAATATACTTAAATATTTCTTATCAAAAAATTTTAATTTTTTGGCCTGAACGAGATTTCCTCCGAAATGCGCGTGGCACTCAACGTGTTAATCAGAGTTACTCGCGATAGAATTTTTTGAATGATTTATCTTGTCCCTTATTATATAATTGAATATGATTAATTTTGTGCAACTTACAATAATAATAATAATTTCGTAACGTTAGTTTCTTGAAACTTTTGGATGTTCAGAGACTGGATACGATAAGTTCTTCAAACATCGGTTGTTTCATTAACACAATTTTCCGCATATTCGGATATCTTGCGACCGTTAAATTCATTACATATTTCGACTACAGTTACATACTCTCGAATGAAAATCTAAGTAAAGAAAGAAAATTCTACAAGGCTTGCGGAATCCGTTTAAAAAAACAACTGATTATATTGAAACCTTCTTACCTCTAGGACGATTATGCCAATCGGACTTGCGTCATTGAAGCACTCTTCGCTCGATATGACATATATGACGATCTTTGGATTTGGCGTACGTCTCGCGAAGCATCCTGCACCCACGTATGCGATACAAATTTCGACCGAAAAACACACACGTTTCCCGTACATCAGTCGTGCGGAGCTCCGTGTCGAGTACGGGAATATGCACGCGGAAATGCATCGCGCATTTCCAAAGGACTTGGACGACGTGTCCTCTCTCTCTCTCTCTCACTCTCTCTTTCTATAAGCTGAAGATCGAAAGGCGTCTTTGCGTATTCGAGTATTCGCGCGAATCGGTAAGCAGATTTCGCAATGTCGCATTATGCGACGGCCGCCGGCCGTCCGTCCGTCCAGAGGATATTCGGGCTTTCTCCGACCGCGCGACAATAGCTCGTCGTCACGAGGAGACTGTTTCGCCGAAAACGAGAAATTTTGGACGAGAAGGGCCTCGCGACATGCCTCGTGAGCGTTTTGGAAACCATCTGAATATTCGGAACAGGATATCGGGTGTAAAGCGATATCGGTCGGGTTTCTCTCCAATCGGTTAAACGGCAGATCTCTAGGACAGGATAATCGCGTGGAGAGAACGGCCGATCGGACGCCTTTCCGGACAGTTTGACGTTTAGATCCTCGGAATACATTCTACGGGCGTTTCGTCCGGCGGACGCGGAGAGGCGAGGGGATGGAATTAGCGAATTTCACTCCTCATCTGAAAAAGTTTGGCAGAGTCGCCGGGATAAAAACACACCGCGAGGACGAGCGCACGCGTGCGCACACGCCCGCGCGGGTTTATCCCGCTTCAACACCTCGTCGCGATATTGTGATGAGATTACGAGACGCAGTTGGCCGCCCCTCAATGCGAGATACACGTCGCGGTATTCCCTCAAAATCAGCTCTCCTCCTACCCCGGCCCTTAAGCCTCGAGCCGGCCCACCGGCTCGACTCGCCGGAAAATATACGGGGTGTTCGTAAGTCGCGAATTATATTCGTACCGCGGATCTCGAGCGATTCCTGTCGCGTCCTACGTCTATTTCATCCATTCAAATGCGCACGAAAAAGGCTGTAGGGCACGATGATGTTAGTTGTAACGGGATGTCAACTGAAACATTCTGGCCAAATCTGTGAGAGGAATATATTATTATTATTATTATTATTATTTGAGGGGCTTACTGATGTGTTATTTATGTACATATAAATTTGAGGACATTTGCCAATGCAAGCTTGATTGACACCCACCCTCTCCCCGAAATCCGGAGGATATCCCGGGAAAACATCGAGAATCGCGGGAAGTCACGTTTCCGTTGCGTGGATATCCTTCCACTCGTACGATTTTTCCTTCCAGTTAAGGAGAAATCGCATTCTCCTCGAAACCCGCTCGCGCCGTCGAGGGGTTGTGAGGTTCATGGAGCAATTAGGATCCCGTATCCGCGTCAGATTGAACGAGGCCTCCGGACGGAAGCCTTTGCTTCCGGTGTCGCTTACTTAACCATCGCGTCCTAATTATCCTATCACGTGGCGAGGATGAAATTACAGCGCGGCTGGGTTACCTCACGATCGACCTGTGATCGAACGCGTTCGTATAAATAAGGATCAAAATCAAGTTGAAGCACACACAAAAGCGAACTCTGGCACGCGTGCGTTCAATTGCATCCTTAAATTCCAATTATCGTAAGATGGACACGCAGTTTCTGGATTAAGGGCCGATGGACCACGTTCGTTTTGTTATTCGAAGATCCAGATGTTCGGGGGAAATTTCCTGGGAACGAGAACAGCCCCGTCGCGTGATCGTCCTAATTGCTTCACGCTGATGGAATCGTTCAAAATCACCCATCGGAACCGGCCAGTCATTCCTTGTCAACATTTGACTTCAGTTATGTCCACATTCGCTTTAATTAATCCCCGAATGAAAGTTCGAGGGGATATCGCATGGCGCGCAAGTCCTCGCGGAAAAATTAACGAAACGTCTATCTATAAGGCTCATTTTTTCGCAGTAGCGCGCAGAAGAAGAAAAGAGGGTCGACCACGAAGGCAGAGGACGACGTTCAGCGGCGAGCAAACCCTGAGGTTGGAAGTCGAGTACCGGCGCGGAGAGTACATCTCGAGAGGCCGCAGGTTCGAGCTCGCAGCTTCCCTGAGGCTCACCGAGACGCAAATCAAGATCTGGTTCCAGAACAGGCGCGCCAAGGACAAGAGGATCGAGAAGGCACAGCTGGATCAGCAATATCGGTACGCTCAGTTTTGCTCAGTTATGCTTTCCGCTCTTTTGCTCCTCCGAAACAACGCACGTCTCCGCGAAATATAAGGAATACCCCGGATATAACTTTTACGATCCGTCCATTATTCAGCGCCTGTTATTTCACAAAGCTACTTAAACACGCGCACCTAATTCCTCCTTATTGAAGCTGCCATGGGAAAAAGAAGAGGACCGTGGCAGGCCGCACGTGTAACATATGGCGATTCTCGCACGCATCCCGCGTCTCTTTGCATCCCACGCGCGATGTTTCCGCAGCCGAATCGTTATCTTGTCAGCGTGATGTATTGCGCTTTCGATCTGGTTATTAGTTCACGATCGTTAGCTTCATCAGCTGCTCTCCGAATTTTACGCTTCGAGCGAAATGATCTCCCGACGAGGGAGAAGTTGAACACGGGATCATATACCTCGGTTAATTTCAAGTGACGATTTCCCTCGGGCAGAATTAAATGAGTGCTGAATTTGAGGCAACAAAATTGATCCCCTTCCTCGATTGAGGCAATTCGACGCTTTTAAGACACTCTATATGAATTTACAATTTAAATTACTCCGTTCCTGTGAATATATATATATATTTATTTTGTCGGATCATATGCGGATCATATTTAACGATTATTAATTTCGTCGTTATTAATTTCGCCGGCTCCGTCGACATTCTCGTACAACAAACGAGACGTCGGTCGTCGTCGTCCTAAAACGCGGCAACCATCGCATACCTCACCTGAAACACATCTCACGTTTGCGATTCTACCATGAATAATTGGCCTGACAATAACGATCTCGCGGGGAGGAGGTTGCCCAAGCGGGAATTCGGCGCCGAGGGAGGCGTCGGTCGGGACGTCCTGGCGGCGCACAAAGCCCGAAATTTGTACGAGCTCCTTCTGCTCCTCCTCTTCCTACTCCTCCTCCTTTCACGTCGCTTCGATCACAATAGCGGAGACGTAATCCTACTTAAGGCTATTTAGCTGCGTATCGCATCGGGAATCACCCCGCGGTCGAACCACAGCGGAGCGTCGCCCTTCAGGGTCCACCGCACCCCCTCTCGCAACCCCGCGGCCCTTGCCACCCCCCTTCCTCCTGTGGTGGCCCCGGCGTTATTCAGTCGATATGCACCTGACGTTCGATAAACTGGCGGATAAACGACGGATAAATGCACTTCGCTATGCTAACCGCAGGATTTTCTCATCCACTTGTCGCACCCTATGTAACCACAGTGTATTCTTCGGTAAGGATCGCGAAGGGGTAGATCACCACGATCTCAATTTGTCCCAAACGTGGGAGGCGAAACGTCTCTTCTTTCGAGTCAACATTGACACAAAAACCTGAAAAGAATCGTCCCCGCACGATTTTTATATGGTGAGAGCAATATGAAAATCTTCCTCTCAGATTTGCTACTGATGTAAATGATGTTAAGAAAAGGTAAAGAAAACGGATGTCATGCCGACCGCTTGTTACGTTATAGGCGGTATGAGGTTCTGAGTGGTTGAAATCTTGATGGGAAATGATTCACAATAACAGTCTTTATTTAACCGACCTCTGTATTAAGAACGAGCGGAAAGGGTCGCGCTCCAAACACGCGATCCGCAGTTTAGGTAACGATTCTGTTATTCTCCCCTAATGTTCCGCCGAATGAGAGCCTTTCTCTCCAGTAAATAGAGTTATGCGGATTGATCGTGGTGCGGTTACACTCTTCTACAGTTCTTTCGAACCATTTCTCACGGACGGAACTAATTTCGGCCGTTGATTACTACGACTACTACAATACTTGCAAAACTTGATTCGATCAAATAGCGAATAATGCGAAATTTTATTTCGCAGAAACTTTGCCGTCTCGAATGGCTTGGTGAACTTGCCGCTTTACAACACGACAGGATTCTGCGGCCTCTGCCTGTACAAGGATACCTACGGTTTGGCAACCAACCACTCCTGCGTCTCCGGCAACCCCATCGTCGCCGACCCGTCCTTGAAGGATCAACCACACTACAGCAGCAGCGGAAGCGAAACATCGGACAATCCGCCGAACCTCGTGTCCACGATGTAATTAAATTTAACGCAATTGCGCTATTGATTATTTAATGTCGAGGTTAACCTCGATTTTAATTGAATGTATAACTATGCGATTGAGAGCCAATTGAAACAATCGGTTTTTCACGATATTCTTCAGTAGGAAAGAGGCATTACGAGATCCGAGTTTCCTCTGATACAAAAATAAGCAACTGCAGGGATCAGTTTTCGCATTGATTTTTCTAAAAGAAAAAAAAACTATTGAATAAAATTAAAACGAAAAAATTGGTTCGAATTCATAGTCAAGGTTTTTGAATCCGATATATCATTGGTTAAGTAAAATCAACTTAATTAATTTATATATATATATACACACACTTTTAAAAGCTTTTCTTGCTTATTTTTCAGTATGCCGAGTATATAAAATCGATCCGATAAATAGTTAAATAAAGTAACAAATATCGTAATTGCGAAGTCGCATGTATTTCGGGAATTTGGAGGGAATGAAACAATCCTGTAGTCTAGAAAAGAAGTTTATTAAACGTGTAAAAATAGTTACACAACCTAAATACATCAGACAATAGATTCTTAGATCCGAGATCTGATTTCTAGGATCTCTACGATTTTTGCCTGTTCAGAAGTCTTTCAACTCCTAGCTCGTTGAATTTGTAAATGTAAGAACTTTTACGTTCTCAGGAAATATAAGTAGATTCCAAGATTTCACTTGAACTAAACAACCTCGGAGACTTTCGAGATCCCTTCAGTTAGAATCTGAACTTGCGATTGATCGCTAAATTCGCCACTGAAAATCTCGATATTAGAGGTATTTATCTGTTTCCAACACTTCTAGAAAAAAAATTTAATATATTTATTTCAAGACTTAAAACTTTGTAAACTCCTTCATTTTTTTCTCCGCTTCTTCATCTTTCGATAGTAAAATCTATTTCTTCACAATTTGGTGATCATTTTTTTCAATTGAACAAATCCTCAATCTATAGAAATGTTTGTAATTATTTTTTTTTTATTCAAAGTATTTCTCGCCTCAATATTCTCACGGAATTCTTATCTTTCAAGTTACCTTCAGTCGCCGAATTTCTGAATTATTTCTGCAATTTTATGACCTGTTGATTCTCCAAAATATATTATTAAAAATTTCTCAACTTTTGTGACTGTAAAATATTTGGTAGTCTTACTTTTTAGATTTTCTTAAGAATTCCTGCCTTCGAATGGTAAAAGGAATTTCATCGTACTTTCCAAGTGCTCGCTACAGCCTGTCATTAGGCAATAGATTATTATTTGAACTTACCTCGGCCGGAGGGCGCGACCTTGGAACGATGGTGGTAGAGGCACGTCGCTCTCTTCAAGTATCGGCCCAAACGGTAAACCAGAAATTAATGAAAACGAAAGACAGCAATTAATACAGTGAAAGTAAAAGAAAGTTTCAGTAACAAACACCCTGCCTGTTCTGAGCAAGAGAACTCAAATCAACCAAGTGAGAATGAACCGCCTATTATTCGTATCATCGTCCTTCTCACGTCTTGTCTAGATCTCTTCAATTTGTTCGTTAAATTTCATAAACTCTCTTCTTTTCCAACTCGACATTTACACATTTATTTTAATCGTTAGTCTTTTTAATTTCTCTTATTAGAAGTGTTAGAAGGTTTCCAGATTTGTAGAGTCTCGAGTCCTTATGCAGAACCTTAGGCACCACAACCATCCTATCGGAAATTTGAAGTTTGAAGAACAAAGCTCATTTTTAACCTAGGACACCGGCTAATACAAACAGCTTCCTTTGCTAGCCAACATTTTCTTTTAAGTCTCAACACTCTTCTTCCCGAACTGTGATATATTTCGCCCGATTGAATTTTTTGTGTCAAAGATACATATCCTTACATCTACAAACGTTTGATGCCGAAGATCCTCGAAGCCATCACGTATATTTGACGCTATAATCTCTAGATCCTCAAACATGATACACAAAGGAAAAGCACATGTCTCTTAGTAGAGACGATACTTTTGCACAGAGACTTTTGTGTGCACGTGTGCACTGGTGAAAAAAAAGGATGAAAAAAAAAACAACAGAAATTTATATTAAGACAGCAACGATGCAACAGCGGTACAAACGAAAGTGTGCCTCCCGTTCTGTCTAAAGCTTTTCCCGCGAAAGATAGGCGAATCGAGTGGGATCGGCAGGAATTTGCAATACAGCGGCGAGTGTTCTAATTTTCAATCATGTAAACGTAATTTTGAGCGAAAAACATCGTAACGTCGCTATAGTGCCGTACGATATTTATCACTTAATGTTACGCTCCTCCGATTTTGGAGATTTGGCGCATGCAACTGTTGGAAATTCGATTTATTTGATTTTACCACGAATACCAATTCCTGCCGATTCCTCCTGATCTGTCAAGCTTCCGCAAGCTCTCTATGAACAACGACACTCTGGTATAGCAATTGACTGGTATAGAGTTACACGGGGTGCAACTTAATCGCCGAAGGACACTGTAAAACAATACTGTAACATCATGCACACACTTGTTGCCATTCAGCACCCTATATATATATATAGATATATTTATATGTATTATATATAGATATGTCTAAGCACAAATGAGTGACGAAACATTCCTACCTGTGGTTGCAAAACAGAGGCTAGAGCGAGAAGCCTAGCAAACACTAGTCCTGTCTGTCGTAGCCTGAGAATCCTTTCTTTCTCTCTTTTTTTTTCTGTTCTCTCTTTCTCTTTCTGCTACCTGCCTGCCTTCTAGCCTCTTCCTGGCTTTTAAGCTGCTAATCTCCGTCACTAAGCCTCGGATCCAAACTAGGCTAACTAGGACGCTATTCTAGCACCTTCAATGTCGCTTTAAGTTGTCATCTACAATTCTAGGAGATAAAGAGCGGAGGGCTTGAAAAAACGTCGTTCCGGGGTTAGAGAAGGACTTTCCTCGGGAAATGATAGGTTTTGAAAAAGAGCTTGCGCGAGAGTTCTTCTGTCAAATCCTTCGCGATAAAAAGAAGACTAAACTTTAGATTTTCTTTTCTGTACCAATGATTTAATACTGCGGACACATACAATTATATCGGACAGAGGATATCGGCGGCATTCTTTAGTTCACTGATTTGAAAAGTCAACAATACATTCATTTTTACTTTCTTTTGTCGTACATCTACATGTTTCTACTTTAACATATACAGGGTGAAACCGACATAACGCTACTATCTTGAATATTTTTCTCGTGCAACTCCTGTGATAACATATATATTGCCCACTATATATGCTTTTATTTCATTTGTCGACAAAGACGTAAAAATCCGGAAGTTATAAAATATATTTCAGATTGCAAGTTTGATTGGTTCATCCGGTATATTCTACCCTATCGTTGGCCTGCGATCTGAGCTTACAACCTATCAAATTTGCGTCACGAAAGTAAGACAATGCACAGCAAAGGTTTCTGATCAATTTTATTTCGTCGACTATCTCTTAAATACTTGTACAGCTTTGTAGATTAATTGGTCTATCCTAATGAATAATCTTGTGAATAATTTCATTGCCATACATACATACATACTTACATACACACACACATACACACACACACACATTTTTTCTTTCTCTTCCCCCCCCCCCATTCCCCTCTCTCTGTCTGTCTCCCTGTCTCGATCTTCCTAATATATGTAATAATCTTCCTACATATAAAGTTTCCTTCCCTGCCTGGTCAATATTTTATGCGCAAGTTCTTGCGAAGAACGTGCAAGTACATTTTGGAAACAATGTGATGTTTTTACGATAAGAGATTGTAAGTGATGAGAAAATATGATACTTAAAAAAAAACGAAACGGATGAAAATAAAACAAACAGACAGCCTCCCTCATTGTATGCTAACGACTTTGACGACTTTTTTCCTTCTTTTTCTGGCCTGATTGTCCTGCCTGCCTGCCTGCCTGACTGTTTCTGACTTCCTGCCTGTTCGTTGCCTTCCCTCTCTAGCCTGATAGCCTGCCTGCCTGCCTGCCTGCATGTTTGTCTGTCTGTCTGCCTGCCTGCGTGTTTGTCTGCATGTCTGTCTGCCTGCCTGCTTGCACCGATACTAAACAGTACAGAAGTATTGGCGACTATAGGCAACAAGTAGTAGAAGTAGTAGCTTCACCTGAGGTTCAAAAGTTAAGAAATCTGTTAGTCAAATTCCCTACTAGCCTACTGTGCAAAGGACCGATCGGGTCGCGCGAGCCAGGGATTCCGGAAAACCTCGGATCTGATAGGTCTTTAAATTTGTGTAAAGACAACCCTGTTAGAAGCTTCTAAATCCATAGATAATTATGGTCAATTGTTATAACTCGTCAATACATGAGACCAATTAAATTCCTTAAAATTTATCAATTAAAAATCTGTGAAATTCTCCGTTGCCTCTTTAGTCTTTTCTTTCTTTTTTTTTTTTACTTTCTATACTTATGTTTCAAGTTCTTTATGTTTATGGACGCATTAATTGTTACGTTTCAAAGCTCCTGGATGTATTGTAATAAGTCGTTTGATGAATTCATAATCTTTGATTTTTCATTTCTTTCTGTTTTACCATATCTTTTCTATTTTATCTGATTTCTAAATAATCGAATTTTTATAATTTTTAAAATATTTAGATATCCGAACACACATGTATAACACATAGAATGTAACATACTTTCAGGTATTTGAATTTGGAAATTGTAAATTTCAAATTCAAAAACTGTCAAGCACAGTTGTTCGACAGTCGAAGTATGCTTTGCAAATTCTACAATGTAGAATTCTTAAACTTCTACACCTTTAAGTACTCGAATCCTTGGTATCCTAAGATTCTCAAATCCATGACCCTGTAGACCCTCTGAGATCCTAATACACAGGTACACAAATTGCGAACATTCGATGCTAAGTAATTTTCCCCAAAAAAATCCCTTATCACTTTTTATATCGTCATACGGCTTATTCTATGCATGTATAAAATAAAATATAACGCGCTTTCGGGTATATCGCATTAAGATATTATAAGAATATTATGCGAAGTAGAAATATAGACTGCAGCTTCGCTATCTTCGCCTAAGCTAGTAGTTTTCATCTATTCTACACTTTTGAACTTTGCTCAGAAACGTGTGTTAATTGCGAAAAATGCTATCTGGTTGCTTGACTGCGAAATAAATAGGTAAATTCTAGCTACGTTAGGAAAAGAAGATATAGGGATGCAACACACAATTGCTAGATATAATTGTGTTCTCTAATTGCATCGTTTGCACAAGTCGTAAAATATCACAACAATAAAAACACAATCACTGTGTCCCTAAAACTTTTTTCTCAGTAAATTATAATCAGATATCTAAAAAAGCTAATTTGATTAAAAAATCCTGAATTGAAGTTTAAATAATTAATACTCGAAGAATCCATACAGCATGAATTAAAACATAAACATCGTTCTATTATAATTACCTGAATCATGAAAAATGTGTTGATAGTTTCAACGATATGATATTTCACGAGAATCTCTCTGTAACTATATTTAGGTTTAAATATATTTATGACAAAAATTCCGTCCCAAAATATCAAGCTCAAGTAATAATCTGCAATAAATTATTCGGTATTTCCAAAATTTCGTGATCCCGAGTAATTTAACTAAATCGTCTTGGAAATAGCAGGTCAATAATATTGTATTGAAATGATTATAGTTGCGCTTACCATATGAGAGAAGAATATGCCGCATTTTTCTAGTATCTCCTGCCACTGCCGCCTCCTCCTCCACCTCCACCCATGTTTCCGCCTCCCAGAGAATTACCACCGTAGCCGCCCTGATTCCCGTATCCACCACCGCCACCAGAATTCCCGCCGCCCATGGGTCCTAAACATCATCGGGAAGATTGGATTAGGGAGAACGAATAGCATTTTTCATGGAAGGTTATAAACCATCGTCAGCTAATTGCGAATCTCGATAACTGCATTCATAATGGACGCTTTTTGCGCAACACATTATCTTCGTCTTTTAGCAGAATCCTCGTCAAAGTGGAAGAACAAATGAGAAACAAGTGACGCGCGGTATTCTATTATTTGTTTTTAGGGAGAAAGTAGCAACCTTCTTGTCTACCGAAAGACGGCAACCATCTAAAATTACCAGACTGTCGGCCGCTAGGACCCGAATTAATACCGTAGGGTGCTGGTCTGCCGCCTGAGTTAAAGTTGTTGCGCACTGGCCCGCCACCGTAACCTTGCTGGTAGCCACCACCAAAATTATCATTGCTCCAGTTTCCACCGCTGTTGTAGCCGCCTTGTCCTCCTTGGTTCCACCCGCCTCCTACGAAACGTAGCGTACGATTCCCTACTTAGTGTCTCAGTTTCACGAGAGAACGCTATCTCTCTTCGCAGGATACCTTTCGCACCAAAATTATTGTTTCGAATTTTATCAATGCAAGAGCAATGGTCGGTATTATATTTTATGAGTTTCTTGTTGCAATAGTCAAGTTAGTCCGATGTACATTTATCTTACAGTTTTAATCACTCAAATTGTTTTCGTATTTCCTTCTCATATAGTGATAATTGCAATATAAAATATTTATACATTCTTCATGTTCTCCGTGCGTTCTATTTATGTTATTGACGCGGGAAAAATGCAAAGAATTCTCGTACTTAATCTTCATACGGCATCATGAAAGAAACATATATGTTAAAAGAGACTGAAGATTCATATTATTCCCAAGAAATGGTGATAATTGTTTCGAATACAGTATCCCACGAAGTTTAATAGCATTTAAATAAGAAAAAAAGTTCATTTGTCCATCTTTACCTTTACCTTGATTCTGATTCTCCCATGGTCCATTACCTCCCCAACCTCCTTGATTACCACCGCCGTATCCACCTTGATTACCGCCGTTGTTCCAGTCACCACCGCCGCCGCCACTGCCGCGTCCACCCCAATTACCACCACCCTGGTTGCCGCCGCGTGGCCCTCTGCCTACGCCTTGTCCACCACGATTGCCGCCGCCACCGCCGCCACCACCGCCGGAAGCAGACGCCATTTCAGCTCTACTTAAAGCCTGTAATGAAAAACATCATCGAAATGATAACATGATAATGACAATATACTAAGGATCCAACGAGTGAAGGGAGAAACTTGAAGAGGAGAAATCTCTTAGATTGTTTGTGTATGCTGCACTCACCTTTTTCACGTCAACGTGCTTGCCGCGGATCTGATGATTACGTTGTAGACAGATCTTGTCAACAGGGTCATAATCATCAAATTCGACAAAGCCAAAACCACGCTTTTTACCGGTTTCTTTATCAGTTACTATACTGATCGAGTTTATGCTACCGTAACTTTGAAAGTACTGCCTGAGATCTTCCTCTTCATGGTCATCTTTCAGGCCACCTACAAAAAGTTTCTTCACTGTTGCTCCAGCTTCGGGTCGGCCGATTTCTTGTCGAGGTACTGCTCTCTTAGGCTCTACCACCCTACCATCCACTCTATGTGGCCTGTGAAAAATTATATATAAAAAAAAATGTTCATATATTATCGAGATATTTATACCAATTTTCTGAGAGCTTTATTAGATTTATGTATTAGATTTATTAAATTTTACTTTTTTCTAAAATCACACTAAATTTTGTATAAGAATAAATGATGATATACATACATATATATATGTGTTTTAGAAGAATTATATAATTACTATTATTATTAAGTGCAAATATAAAGCATAAAACACATAGCAAATGTGTTTTTACCTGCTGGATTGCTTATTGAATGAAGATATATCATAATACAGAATTTATAGTATGTAATTAGATTTCACTAGATCCAGCACAAAAATAAGCATCGAGTACCACAAACTTAAGTTTTTTTGTTGGTATTCTAATTCTTGGCAGAAAAAATCTACATATTTTATGTAGCCTATACATAAGTTTTCTCACCTAGCATTTTGAGCATCATCCACCATATGAGCACGGGAATAGGTGATAAAACCAAAGCCTCTGGAACGTTTTGTTTTAGGATCTTTCATCACAACAACATCCACAATCTCTCCCCATTGCTCAAAATGTTTCTTAAGTGAATCATCTGTTGTTCTATAATCCAAGCCGCCAATAAATAACTTTCTCACATGTTCTGGCTCATTTTTGCCATCCTGAAATAATAATTGTTTGATATTACTATCATAATATGAAAAAGCCAATCCTCTAAATTTATGCGTTACGATAAAAATTGCGATAACTGCGACAAAATTCACTTCATATGACGACAGCATCAGAAATTGAACATCGCAAAATAACAGGGTATATACAGGAAGTAGCAATCAATATCCGTGTGATACAAAGCATCACACGGATACAAAATTCCGCATCCTAAAAATACTTTGTAGCCTCGTGCTCATCTTACGGTATTGTGTGTGTGCACTAATTGCGATGAGAAATGATTCGCTCGATTGAGTAATCGCGCGTGGTAGCAAAGGCAGTGCATGCATTCGGTAGAAAGACGCCATTTAGTGTTGCGACTACTGCGTGATTATGATGATACGCGCGCCACGAATTCACAATTCATATCTGGTAAAATAAGTACTCACGTCATGCTCCATCTTCACCATTTTGAGAGACCTAGACAGGATTGCGGAATTTTTGAACAGGGAGAGCACGAAACAAAACGAAGATTCGACGCGCGAAGTCTACGAGGACGCAAATACGATCGATCTCAAACGCTCTGCACGCAGTCAAGTGAACCCCGTGATGTCGGACAAGGAAGAAGGCTTTCGCATGCGCAGTAGAGTAGTAATATAATTGTGGCAGATTCACAATGTGCGTCTGTTCTTTACACCTGCACTTCTTGCACGCGAACTCGCGCTGATAGTACGTGGTAAATAAAGCAGAAACTATCGACTACCAGCACGAGTTCTGACTGGCTGCTGCTTTCCTGCTTTCTATTTTTCTGTTAAGGTGTAAATTCACCTTAATTTCAACTGTTCAGCTATAAAGAACAGACCAAGTGTATTTCCGAACGCAACCCAATTGTTCGGCGAACTTCGGTGTGCTGTATACGATTATCACGTTTGTAAAGGTTATAAAATTTTGAGAACAAGTTCATTTAATAAAAAACTAAAATAGAAATGGAAGAAGATCCTGTTGTAAAAGAGGTTGGTAAATTACCTACCTATCTAATTACAATTTCTGGATTTTTTTTATTACTAACTTATCCTCAAAATTTAAGTTAAATTACGTTATTCATGCACATATGCATCTTATATTGAGGTGAAGTTTTAATATTCTACAAGAATTGATAAGATCTATATGGAAATAATATTTTGTTGCATCCATATAGCCTTTTATATTTCACACTCATAGCATGTTCAATATTTTAATATATTTATGATAATTATTTATAAGATGTTATACCTCACGAATTGCTTTTATTTTTATACATGTTAAAGAATGGATCTTCAATAAATTGCACCTTGAATCATATGGAGGTTACATATAATTCCTGGTGAAATATATTGCTATTACAGTATTGCAATTTGCATTTATGTTTTTTTGTCAATGTAAATAATAAAAGGAATTATTTTCAGATACCTGTATTTTTGTCTAAGACTTTGCAAGATAAACTATATTTAGTTCAGTATCCTTTGCTTCCTATGAGGGATGGCTCTGAGAATTTTACAGTCTTAAAATCTTCCTTCAAACCTGAGAATCAAGAATTACAGCTTGAACTTGAAGTTGATGTAGAGAATAACAATTATGATCAAATCAAAGGAGCACAATTCATCCTTAATGCCAAGAATGAATCTAAAAAAAACGAAAGTATATATGACAGGTAATTAAAAGTTTTTGCATATTTTATTGAAGAATTACTTCTGATGGTTTTATTCATATGTATATATGTGTATGTATATTACATATATATATACACCCCTATATAAAATTATAATAAAATGAATTCGAGTTACAAAAAATTAATTTTTAATTAATTCAAATTGCAGTAATTAATATTACATTTATGTCCAAATTTTTACATGTATTTAAATAAGTTATGATAATTATAAAGTAATTGTAATATTATTGTTCCTCTTCTTCTGTTAGTGACCTGCTAGACAAGACGATACTATCTTCAGCGCAGTCAGTGGTAGACTGCACAAATTATGCAATTGGAATCTTTCAAAATGAGGAATTTCACATTACACCGGTAAAAGGAATTTTGGAAATGAGGCCGCAATTCGATTACTTGGAAAAGGGCGACAAACGTGCCAAGGACGAAACAAAGGCCTCAGGAGAAGGTAAGGAAGAACCTGTTGATTTGCTAATCCATATACAAATTTATTCTCGTAGATGAATGTGTGCGTGTTTAACGTTCAGCAAAGAAAAGGGAAAAAGCTTATAAATTTATTTACTCAAAACATAGACAGCAACGATGAAGAAGAAAATGCCGCTCCGGTGAAAGTGACGTTTGCTAGACACCAATCAGACCACGTAAAGAAGTTTCAGGAGCAGTCCTTCCAATTTAATTCGAAGAAAAAACCAGAATGCTGCATACAAACGACATACATACCAATGCATGCACCAGAAGCTCATGTCAGTATTAACATAATCTTAAACGCAATATGTTTTATTCTTCTTGAAACGCTACATAGTGGAAACGTTTTAAAATTAACAAAAATAATTTTTGCTATTAACCTGAAAAAAATAGTTCAATTCGATATATAAATTTTTCTCTATTTTTCGATGATTATACATTTATAATGTTATAACAGTTATAATATTTATAATGTTTTCATATTTATTTACTGGCTAAGTGTGTTCTGGCAGCCGGTTTATGCTCTCGTTGTACACAATAGACTCGCGAAATTCGTTTGACTTTTGATGTGTTTATCTATTATTGAGACTTTATATGTCGTTCTATTAAAAAGAAATTTTAGGAATACAACCGAAACGCACATCTGTATTAATAAATAAATATTTAAATTCGAATCATTCTATGGATTAATACTGAAAGTTATTTTTGGTAATCTTTTTATACTATAAAACACTATGTACGGAGAGGCTCTTACTGGCCTCTTCTTTTTTAATATCAGTACAATCTTACCATACTCTTTATGATAAAATGCTTTATTTTATTACAACCCATGTTGGATTTTGCAGTTAACGCGGATACAAATGTTCTGTCCGTCACGCGATATGATGGTGCACAGTCTGAATTTATCGCCACAGGAATATCTAGACCTGCTGATACCTCCCAGATCGCAGCATAGCATGACATTCCTTGAACAAGTAAAGATGTTGCCATTGGAGGAACAAGTCAGGATCCTCATGAAAAAATGTAAGAAAGACTAAAATCGAGGATAGAGATGTAATATATACACATATGATTTAAGATTCAGAGCGTAATGACCAGTGTGAAGGTGGCACCTAACTTTAGAAAAAATTAAAATAGTTATAAAATAGTAGAAAAACTTAATATAGCTCGATTACGCTTCATTTGTACTTATTTGTTCCACTTTTGTTTCCGTTTGTACCTCAAAGAAGATACAAAGGAGTGAAAAAATAGTCAGCGCCCAACTGAAAGATTTTTTAATTTCACTTATACTGTTCAAAAGAGCATCGTTTGTACTCGTTTGTACCTCTTTCATTTTCATTTGTATTCATAGAAAGGGTTTGACATAAAAATGAAACGAAATTTTCACTTTGCAGCAGGAATCTTGTCCTTCAAGAATTTACGTTCGATGATATCGGATCACAACGTGACAGATGCGCTCAATTACGTGCAAAAGGCGGCGGTGTTGGTACAGGGTAATTGGATCGTGAAAAGTGAACTGATCTATCCTAAGGACTTTACTTCTTCGCAGAACGGCATACCCGGCGAAGTCATGTGCAGAGCACGCGATTACATAGTGAGTGTCCAATCTAACGATAAAAGTAAAAGAGCATCAATTTGTAAAATGCGATTGCGACGATTTAAGCGACTACTCATCCATCCCATATCCATCAGGATTAATTACACTTCTTTCTCCGTTGTGTTCATGTTTTTCAGTTATTATGCTTCACGGAGCGTCCGTACATCAAGCGCGATCAATTGTCGACCTTTGTCAAAGTGCCGTTGGCAGAAGTGAATGAGATCTTGGAAGTTATAGCCACGAAGGAATTCAAGGAAGGTTGGAAGTTAATGTTACCGCCTGATTGGGAGTTTTGCAAAAGGTAATTGCGCTAAACAATAGTACGTGAGTTTCATTGCTGTACGCGGAAATCATCCGTAACTGTTTCTCCGGCAAATATAAAAAATATATCACCTAATGTTCTTCGGTGCTAACCGTTATCTTCTGCAGGTTTCCGGAGCAAACCGAACGGCAGAGAATATTCTGGGATGCGAGGCGGAAGTATTTGACTGAGAGTCATGCGCCACCGCGCCAACGCCGGAAGTCAAGTCGGGAATCATTGGGTTCGGAAAACGAAGAGAGAAACGTCGGTCGTGGCAGGAAGTCGCACAGGGACTCGTCCCTGTCGGACAACGACGGCACCGTTGAGCCCGTTAAGCCCAAGAAAACTAGTTCTAGGAAAAATTCCGAGACTACCACTACGTGACCAAGACCAGTGCGTTGAGGTAGAAACTTTTCTGTTTCATTCGCTGCGATCGTCATTACCAAGCATGTTGTTCGCGATTTTCACGGATTTGGCGCAAAAGTCGGAGATGCATCACCATGTTTCACATCTGAGCAATGACTGTGGTATGTTGTGCGTGTAAATATGGTATAGAATGTACGCTAGATTTATTTATGTCTTGCGTGATAACGTATAGAGTACATACAAGTGCGGTATATCGCGCCGCATTTGTACGTGTGTATTTTATTGCCACATTGTACACACAAATATAGAATATGTCAGGGGATACACTGTACTATATCATATTGATACATAAAACTTTCAATATCCCTGATTCTGGGGCGTCCCTGTACATTTTGTCATTGATGACTAATCATTGAAAGATTTGTTTGAAACGCACCACGCGTGTTGTTTGTCGGATCTCATCAGGGATAAGAGACGCCTCGCATACGACTGATCTTCTTTTATATCTCTTAGAATAACTGTTATTATAATTCAAACGATTTAGAGATATACAAATGATGTTTTAGGATTCTAATGCTCATGCATCTCTGAATGTGTCGGATGCATTTATTATTATAATAAAAAAGTATATATGAAACCTATTTAATGTATTCATCCTCATTCCCATTTGACACAGTGAAGGAAGTAGGCTCCTATTTGAAAAAAAAAAAAGCTAATGTCATAGGGTCAAACGACTGACTTCTTGTCATAGACTTCTGTCCTTTCTAAGACCTTAGGCTTTGCTCGGTCGGGCGAAACATCGCAAAAACCTCACCGCCGGCGAAAGTGCTTGACTTTACGACTGGTCGATATTATTAATCAGTGGTAATTGACGATATGAAGTAGAAAAACTTCTCACCTCGCATTACTGTTTTGTTGTACTTCGCGAATGCAGCGAATTCCTCGCTCGCAATTTCAAAGAGAATGGCGAGAGAATTAACGTAAGGTTTGTACAGAGTGTGTTTAGAAATATTAACGGGAAATAAGTATATAAGCGACGATAAAAACGATAGAAGATTTTTATGTTAGAATAAATTTTAGAATTTTTGTTGCCATGTGTGTAAACGATATGTTGCAACGAAATGTCAGGGGGAGGGGGGAGGAAGTTGGTACCCAGTTTATAGTTTTGTGATTTATTTTGCTGATGTTGCATTTATATATCAGTTTTTTTTCCGACACACCAACAGCGTTTATGAGATGTTAATCGTATTTAGCTCACATTTTCTATTACGAAGCAAATTGTCGATCAGTGAGCAAAGATTGTTTCGAAACCACTTCGTATACGCGTTTCTCGATACTCGAGGCTCGTTCACTGGTATTTCTACGTATCTTAATGGTATGCGTTGTTTACGCAACGTACTTTGTACATGTAAATCGGTTTATATCCAGCGAGAAAAACGTCGCGTGCTACACACCAGATTTCCGCGTTTTCCAACAACTCGTTCTCGATTTGAAATCAAATTCTACGTTTTGCTGAAACGCCTACTGCTATAACGTTGTTAGCGATCGTTACGCGATTATTACTTGCATAGATCGAAAATCATTTTCTTAGGATTGTTCCGATATAAATTAATATAAATCGCGATATTTCGATTTCCTACCATTTCCTCTCTTCGCAAAACTACGCTTCTCCTTTCTCGATCTTTTCACTTTTCGTTCCGAATAATTATGCAACTACATAGTTAAATGCCAGACAGAAGGAGGATCAAGGACGAGCTTGGCTATCGACCGAGACCTCAAAGTTGATTACTTCATTCTTCTCTGCGTTGTAGCATATCGACACATAACGAACTTGACTCTTCTCGTGTCGACGATCTCGAAAAAATATATCTATTGGCAATTTACTCTTCGCGTTTGAGACATGCAAACGTTGTGTTCATTCTTTACAAATTGTAAAGTGCTACTATATGAAGAATATGTATTCGACAAGCTCATTATTAATTCTAATACGTAATTAGATATAAAATTCTCATGCATTCCTCAAACTCGAAAGGTCAGGTAATTTACGCGCTCTGCAAATAACAGGTTTTGTTTGCGCGTTTCAGAACTCGAGACACGCGAATCTCAGACCGCGGTCCAAACAATCTTGAGAACTTTTTGGTCCAACCTCCCATTTATCCTCCCTGCCAATTTTCCAGCCGAGTTTCCGGCTAACAAGGGCGTAACACAGGTTGAAGGAACTTTCTCCATCGGGCCCAAACGCTCGGTGAAAGTGTTTCTTGCACGCGTCTCCGCGTGCAGCGCAGTCCGAATGTCCGCTTCGCTATCGGGATCGTTCCTCAAGCGGAATGATAATGTCGGGTATTTCGTGGAAACGTTATTGGCCGTTATTTTGTGAATCATTGCTCCGTATTTTACAATTGCTTTAAAAGAGAGATTTATATTATCGCTCCACCGCCTTATTTAATCCTGAAAGAAAATATGAGAGGTGTGCAAATTGTAAAAATATATTTACGACACGCACAAGATTGTATTATATTGATCAATTAAATATATCTTGATAAAATTATAGAGGCAAAATTCTGCTCTCCCCGTAATGAGAAGAATATTTAAATCATTAGGAATGGAAGGGGCAGATCTCAAGCATACAAAATTTCACAATCGTGGCTCGACGACTTTGATCGATCCGATTCGAAGCGATTGAAATTTGTGTTTTCAACTGTAACGCGGAGAGATACAGGAAAAACCGATCACTCTTCCTCCCAGAAGGATAATTAGTGTCCTCGATATCATCGGAATAAATTGAACAAAGCGTGTCAGTAGTGAGTTTCTCCGTGGGTGGAGAAGTGCGACTTTCCATCTCTTTTCACTGTCGAATTCAACGCACTGCTTGGCGGCCGATTTATTGAAATTTTATGGAAGCGGATCGTACTTTCTTTCGTCGTGCGCGGCGGCGAAGGTCGCTCTTTTCACCGGTAAACGAGAGTGTTGTGACGAATAGCAGATACGTATGACGGAATCGTCGCACGTAACAGCAAGTTACTTCGATAAATAATTGATCTTGAAATTTGCACGTACCACATAACGGTACTTGCACGTAGTATTATTTATATCAATATATATCTATTTTTAGTAACGTGTTATCCGATTTATTTAATTATGACTGCATCGGGTGTTAATTTATGTCATCAAATTGTAAGTCTATTCTGGTGAAGTAGATCACTTCATGTCATCAAATTGTAAGTCTATTCTGGTAGATCACTAAATTAAATTGTTGCGTATATTTAGTGGTATATCATTAAATTCTTTTATATCTATGAATGTATCTAATAACGAACCATTAAATTTTACATTGTTAAGGAGAAACACGATATATCGTTAAGTAATTATCGCATAGCATTACTTTTTTTTTCCGGGTGGAATAATTTTACGAATTTTTATGTAACCGCCCTCTGTGCTTTCTGTGCGCGCGATTATAGTGGTGAAACTCTCGATATAAATTCACGGAAAATCCGAGATAAATCCGCATGAAACGAGCGAAACAAAGAAATGTTACATTATGGCATTTTACAGACGAGGAAGTGGACTTACCGGGCGGTGAGAAAGTCACGTCGCCCGACCGGCATATGAAATTTTAATCGGAACGTAACGCTTGAACGAAAAAGGTATGTCGAGCTTAAGTGACACGTTACACGTGGCGAGCAATCAAGAAAAAAATAACTGAGTTATATAATAAACACGAAAATCTGGTTGTTTTTAGCCGCAGGAAAATGCAACATGTATAGGATATTTCGGGAAATTCGGAGAGACCTGAAGTTGGCGACTTGAGTCGCTTTCCTTGAATCAACGACGGTCTCATAACATAAGTCATTGATTGGCGCCCGATGATCGCACCTCTCTCCTACTGAATATTATTTCCCTTATGGGAGAGGGGCGAGGATGTACTTAAGCGCCTAAGTACCTACCTAGTTATGTCATTGTTCAAGTATTCCGATATCAGGACGTGATTATCTCCGTTTGTTATTCTCGGCTAACTGTCGGCTCGCCCGCTCGATTTACAATCTCGTAAATACGAGCTCTTGGAATTTTCTTTACGTTCGAACGCGCGATTATTACGTCAACCGATCCAGAAACATCCATTCAGTTATCATTTTTAGCTTCCCATATTTGGTGCGCCTTTGAGGATGTTCCTTACGCACGGGGATGTCACGCGAGATCGCATAGCGGAATATTACGTTCTTCCTTTCGAAACATCGAAAACGACGAACAAGAGGAAGCTATAAATAGAAGAATATGTTAGATATAGAAACACATACAATACATAAATATGTGTTGTTCAGAAATCCCTTTGAATCTCTCCCACCAGTCGCGTGGACTGTTATCGTAAATTTCCATTTCGTAATTATTCCAGGACCGAGAATCGCGACACTTTCAAAATAGGAAAGTGAATTCCACTATCGAGCATTTCGCAAACGCAGAAAGAAAAGATTACGAATCTCAGAGCGAGGTTTCACCGTTTTTAATAAAGATGACTTTTTCTAGTTCGCCTCTCGGAAACGAAAGATAGAGAAGCGAGATGCTTTAGAACAAAACAATAAACACAATCGAGGTATGTCGTTTGTTAAGTCAAACTTTCGAAATCAATCATCTTACAGACGTAAATAAATCGTTTTATATATTATTTTTTTCTCCATTTTCACATGCCTCTTACAAAATATAAATCCGTTTTCTCCTTCGACGTGCAAAACTCTGCGGGATATACGTACCGGACATTCTTTGTGAGATCTCGCATTATCGACAGTGTATCCCACAATTCCGTCTGGCAGGAGGAGTATCTCGGGATAATAAACTCTTCTATCTATCTACGTACACTGTATCTGATGGTTGAATAGTGGAAAGTGCGGGATCCGCTTTCTGCCAGTAGATCAGCGAACTGATCTTCCGGAATATGATCGACAGATCGAATTAATTGCCCTTCACGCTACATTATACATTCCGTCCATTCGTGTTTTGCCTTTAATCGGCGCGCGATCTTCATTCTATATGCCGCGAGATTCATCGAAGTACATCCTACTTCCCCGGCAATTGCGACCGGCAATTACGCCTTCCGGAATAAAGCAAAGCGAAATTCTCGAGCCTCGCCGTGCGTCATTTATCGCGCACTTTTATTTCTTTTTCTTTTGAACTTGAACAAGACTTACTCGCGAGATTCCTACCATCTTTCAATGCCGTTTATTCTTCAATGTCAGTATATCGAGAAGAGAACAGTTTATTTTGCGTGACATCCATCTTAAAACATTAAGCTGAATTGTTAGATTAAAGCGTTGACAGTTTTTCGAGAAAACGGTTTCAATCGCACCATTTCAATTGTTATAATCTAACATTAATGATATCAGCGTTTTCTATGCCATGTTTCTCTTACGTTACATTGTCATATTAGGATCTGCAATCGTAATCAAAATCAGTAATTACAAACTAACTTGCATCGTTATCGTTCATATTCGAATTTTACCTTATCTTCTCAGTGAGTTTCACGCGCTTCTCCCCGAGGATTTTCAAACAGGTGCATCCTGCAGAAGGAGCGCGTGGCGGTGCAGTCGCAAGGAGGTCCCCCACTACCTCGAGGAGGACCGAATCCGCTTCATCTGGTGGAGGCAACTTTCAGCGGGACACGCTATATAAGAGAGTGACATGTCGGCCGGCCAAGATAAAGCACGCGCGTGTTGCCATCGATCCCCTACGGTATTTTACTTGTCCTTGTCGATCGTCCCGCTACCTTGGTCACTGACAGGTAAGTGGGCCTTAAAACATCGAACAGTGAGAAACTTCTACATCAGTGAAGTGCACCCTGAAGGACCGAATGACCTCCGGCGTCCTACTGTCGTCGTCGTATTGTGTCCGATCGATCATCGTTTGTTCTGAACAGAGAGATTTGAAGAATCGTTAGTAATGAACCGTGTTTATGATTTCGCGCGCTCCTGTGATTAATGTCGATTTTTAGATTCATTGTAATCCTTCAGGTGGTACTCCAGTAGATTGTTTCGATGAGACAAAGTTGTGCATGTATATTGAAATAAGTTTGGTTGCACATTCGAGTGTATATTATACTTATTCGAATATACATTTATTTATATGTATATGTATGCACACGCACACACACACACACACACACATATTCTCATTATAGACTTACTATTTTATATTTTATCATTACAGATATACTTTAATGTAGTGAAATCTAAGTTTGTCGGATAAAAATATTAAGACACAAGAAACTAGATAATAAAGATGATAAATTTGGTACATTCTTACACATTCTTCGTTACACATTCTTCGTTATTTTATCATTTATCCCGCCGTTGCACCCGTCATTTCTGTTAAAATGTTATCTAATATTCTAAAGAAAAAGCATTAAAAATTTTCTCTTTCAAAGTTTCTTTCTTTCCCTTCTAGAAAATCTAGTACTCTCTTCTAGAAAATCAGTACTAGTATGGACACAAAATACCAAAGTTCTCTCTTATTTTTTTGAAACACTATTTGTACAATCTCTCGAGTAGATTTCTTATAATCGGTGTCCTTCTCTTTCTTTTCTGGTATGACTGAAATTTAACGCTCGACTAGAGCGAACATTATAAGAATGCGACTGGTATCCCGGAGATTAACGACTGTACTATCGGGATATATGCGGTGCGATTCTAAATGATAGACTTCCTTATCTCGCAATTCTCCAAGCTCGCGAATGATTTTCGCGGGGCGCCAACCGGTTCTCGCCGGCTGCTCGCCAGGCACGTGTCATAATTCCTGTTCCACCGTGCGTGACCGAGTTAATTTCATAAAGCTCTCGAGAGACCGACGGTGTTCCCCACCCTCCATTTCCAGGCCTTTGGCACGAAACAATGTTACTGCCGGAGAGAAAGTACTTCTGTAACTCGTTGTTGCACCCGTTCGAATTTTTCTTTTCGTTTTCTTTCGCGTCTCGCACGTACGCGGATAAGCTTAATTAACATACCGCGGAGAACTTATTTAATGGGCGGTGTCGGACATACGGAATGTGAACGAAACCGAGTCAAGAGACTAGAATATGTTGCAATATTACAATGTTACAATTGAGGTATTGTCTTTTAATATATTCGCATCGCTCGACGTAACAAGAACGCAGTTTCGTCACATTAAACTGCTTGGGAATATGTTATTCTTAGAAAGGACAATCCTCTCATTGTTTTCGAGATAAGGAATTCGATAAAACGACGACTCGCTTGAAATTGTTACATTCACCCTATGAAGTTGATAACCTTGATACGCAACGTACAATAGCCGTTCCGCTCCTTTCTGATTTTTTTATCCGGTCAGAGAGAGAGGTCCTTAATGAGAGAGACTATATTCCAATGCTTTTTTCTATCTGAAATTTGATTCGAGACAAAAGAGTTTTATAGGTAAACTCGATGTACAAACAAATGCATTTTTTTTCGAGACCGACCTGTTGCAGAATCAATTGAGATTTGTTGATAGCGACGTAAACGCCAGAAGTCACATTGACCGGCGTGTCTCGCACGCGCGGAATTCTGCGAAAATGTCGATGGCGGCTGCTCCAGATTTCCTTAAGCTGACCGGTTGACTCGTGCGAGTTACGCATGTTATACTATACAACCACCTCCGTTAGTCGCTGGACAACTATCTCTTTACCTATTATGCAATATTGCTTTCTTTTCACGGTAGGCGGAAAGCCGGCCGCCATAGGGAGAACGCCTTTTTGATGAATGTTACGGTGATTTCTATAAATGAATGATTACATATAATATAAGCAACATGAACCATTATATATATATATGTTCTTCGAATTTTAATCGCGATTTTCTCCTCCGCTTATACAATCCGTAATAAGAGGATTGATATATACAACGTTTGATTACTACTTTCGAGCTATTTTCTATTTGCATATTTGAAATCATTGCCGCTGTATATTTGCGCAACTGGAGCAAAAAAACGGCTACGGTACGTCGCTGTAAATAAACGAAACAAATCACAAGGATGTGCAAATTAAACGTGATATATTTTTTAAAAAACTGTAAATGCATCATTAACTGTAAATTATCACCTTGCAGTTGCAATGCTTCTGTTGCCATACGGTGCGTACATCATCGTGTGTGTTTCATTTTTGCTACGAAATGAAAGCACTCCGAGGATAATAATCGTTCGAACGATCTTATTGGCGGAGAAAGTTTCTGCGATTTTCCTGCCAGCGAAATCGGAGAAACCGATCGATAAGCGGGCAAAAAGTATTATTTAAAATCGATTTCTCGATCGTTACGACCATCGATTCTTGTGCGATCATTCAAGGAAATTCGGAGCGCGCGCGTCTTCACCTAAAATAACATACGTACATGCGTTTGTGAACATTGGAATAACATACCATAGAAATCTGACGCGACGAAAAGATTGACGGCGGAGTTCGCCATTGAGATTAAATTAGAGAGCGCTGAGGTAACATCAACGCAAGTTGAGACGCTTGAATTAGCATAACTTATATAAACGAACGAATGATTTCTTCCGTGCTTTTCAAGAGAGCGATGAGTAGGACGCACGAATGGAAGGAAAATAAAAAGAAATTAATTGCGTTACCCTCGTAGAGAAGCGACCATGGCCTTGAGGGATGATGTAAAAGAGATTCACGCTGCCGCCGTTTCATAACCTTTGCGTCGCTCCGATCATTGTACGTCGTATATACAGAGGCACTGGCTGGACCTTACGACACGATTATTGCGTCCCATGCACGCCGTCGAATCTGATACACGTCATTTTTCCGCGCGACCCCTCTCACTTTCACTCTGATCAGATTAATCGCCGCCGGCGTAAACCGACAAAACTAGCTGCGACCGAGACAGGACGTTCGTTAAACGCGACACTTTCCCGCCCCGTTGCGATTATCGATTGGTCAATAAGCGCGCCATTTTTACGCAACGTTTTTAGCGCGAATTTCCGAGACAACGGATTTTCTACTGATGTGATTGACAAAACGTCGTCGAGGCGTGTCGCGAGAATTGTTTTCTATATACAATTCAGCTCAGACAGGCTAATTATTTCAATTTATTCTTCTAAAGGTTGATTGTCGAATGTCTTTCGCGTGAAGTTATCTGTAGATCGAACGTAGAGTTGCGCGCGCAGCGAACTCTCGGGATCTCGAGAAAAAAGCGTTACGCAAGGCGCGTTATTACGATGGAAAATAGTGAGTTACCTTTGACCTATGTTTTACTTATATAACTCGCGTTGCCCTTTCGGCGTGTCAAGCGCTTCTCTGCCCCTTTCACGCAGGGTTATTGTTTGTTTGACAACAATGAGCGAACGTCTCGTTTTGATAACATAACACGCGCAGCTTCCGCTTTATTGATTCGCGCAATTTCATCAAAACCGGTAGGTAACAATTGCGATGTGATCGCGCTTATAAATTTCATATCTTTTCCTGATTATTTCCGTATTATTCGCGCTCGTCGAGTAATCGAAATCGTCTTGGAGCCGACGAGAAAATCCGACTCGTGCGCTCGCTTTTCTGCAAAACGGACAAATCATCCGAAAGCGACGACGGCGAAAGGAGACAATCCGCGGTTTGAATATCGGTGGGCAAGTTTGAATGAAATCTCGCAGCGAGAATCGATCTTGCACGCGCCGGCGGAGAGCAGGTGCAAGGAAAGCGTGTTACTTTCTAAGTGCGTAAAACTCGGACGGCGGTTTCACGTTCGGCTAAGGCCATTTCGGTCGTGACGGACGATGACGCGCTTGACGAGCTCGAGTGCTTTCCATAATAATTGTCGAACCGTCATGTGGCACACACGCATTTGGAAAGCCAGGTTTCTAATTGCTTTAGCCAGAGTCGAGCGACAATGCGGCGTGATGAACGATGATCAGAGATGCTTAAATCGAGATCAGTTCTTCACCGTCATCTTTTCATCACTGACCGATTCTCAGATTTCTTTTAGACTTTCTTTTTTAAGCTCTCTGAACTTGGTGTGTATTAAGAAGCAGCGAATTGAAGCGCAGTCACATCCTGGCAGGCCGTTAGACCAGTAAAAGAAAAAAAAAAAAACACATCTCTGCGACGAGAGATCGTAGCTGAGAGATCATATTGCACTTTCTCGCAAATCAGCATCCATTAAATTTATACATACGCACGTGCTCACGCATGCACGTGCGCACGCGAGGGGAAAGTGCCCTTGGCCGTCGCCGATATCCTCAAAACGCGGCCGTTTGCATCCACGTGGAAAGTTTCGAAGGAAATCGAAAGTGCGAGATGACACTGCCGTTTAATTCGAATTTGAAATGCGTGAAATCGGTACTCGCGTTTCAGATCGTCTCTTCTGACGGTTCAGACGATGTTATGCGACCACCAAACACGAGGTGGCTTCTTGATAAACCAACACGTAAATATGTAATACCAGATCAATCGAGGAAATTACCCTGGTTCTCACAGAATATAAGAGCAACTGTAAAACAAAGAACACCGAGTTTCTCCTCCAATTACTAGGATTTCTCCTTGTGTTCGGTATTTAATCTCAAGTTTCACAGGATGTATTGGATATTGCTGGGATTCCTGAGCTCCGCCGTCGCGGCGCAGAGCTCTTACGACTTGGAAACCAGGGCGGTTTCGTTCCCGGGGAAACCGAGTCTAGGTCCGCTTTATTCAGCCGGTTTAAACTCAGCCCAAGGATTCCGCGATAACAGTTACGAAGACAATGCAGTGACGCCCACGCCTTCACCTACGCCAATCTACAGGACTGCTAATCAGCAACCAGTGAGTGCCGCTACTTATTTTTGACTCATTTGTTTTGTCACTGTTATTGCAGCCCCATACATTATTCAGTTTACTGTGTAAAAATTGAATTTCCTCGATCAATCTTCATGTTTACTTGTCTGTTTACTAAGACACCTGTTACATTATAACACAGTTATATCGCAAGCCAACGGTATCACCGATCGACACTCGCGACTATCCTCAAGCAATTCGCGTTGGTTCCAACCAACGTGCTCCTCCCCGAGGAGGACCCACCCCGGAGGAGCTCGAAGAGGAGAAGGAGGAGCCTGATCGTCTCACCCTGCTTCTGCCCCAGAGCAGATTCGACTGCGTCAACAAACAGACCGGCTACTACGCTGACGAGGATCTCAACTGCGAGGTCTTCCACTATTGTCAGGACAACGCCAAGCACTCCTGGATTTGTCCCGAGGGTTTCACCTTCCATCAGGTCTGATAAGAGATATGATATCGTCAAATAATAACAGTCCGCAATTCTCAGGCGCGAATTCACTCGACATTAAGGACAAACGATAAAATATCTTTTACGTCGCCAGGTACATCTGATCTGTATGCCACCCAGCGGCGACATCAGCTGCAAGAAGAGTTCGCAGTATCATTTCGTCAATGAGTACCTGTACAAGCCGCTGAACCAGCAGGAGGCTGAGACCAAACCCAACGTTACCTTGAGGTACAGCGAGAGGTATTATCCTTCTGACATCCATTCGGATGAAAGGGAGGTCGGTGATTACCAGATCACTCCTACACAAGCTCCGGTGCGTCGTCCTGCTCCGCAGGTTTGTTTAATTTCGCAATAGATGTCTGAAATTGAGAATTGGTGCAGAATTTCCTAAGTAATATCTTTTTATTGGTGCTTACCAAATTACACACGACAGAACTTGAATCTGTCTGCTTTCACTCACTGCTTTCAACTAACCAAATAGTGAGTGCGAAATCATTTTATGGCTCTTCTTAGTTGACCATATATTGACACCTTAACGATTAGGTCTTGTACAGGTCTTTGTGAGCCCCAAGCCCTCGAATTTGAACAGCATTCCAACATCAGCCCGCCCGCAGTCCACGGGGATCCCACAATATCAGCTCCCGCTAAATCAGGTATTCCGCAGCCCCGAAGAAGTCAACATTCCTCTTCAATACAGACGACCGCAGCAACATCAAGCTATCAGACGATTTCCTCAAGTCCGGCCTGATGAGGAAGAGTACAAGTAGATCCTTAGATCTCGCAATTTTTTAGTTTGCTCGAATTCTTCCGTTCTTCAAATAATCCCTTAATAGATCACTAATATTTCTTGATACACGCATCTGTGCAGTATCTTTTAGCAAAATCAACCAAAACTATTTGAATTCGAGCCTTTGGGCCATTTTTTATATTAAATTACTCGCAAGTATTTATATTATTATACTCTTAGCAATGTACAAAAGGAAGAACAAAATAGCCAGAAAAATTAATTGCATGAGACGTAGACAGCTTTGTAGGGAGTGTGAGCTTATTTAAAAGTATTATTAATATTCATTCGCGTATACGTGGATTGCAAGTCCATTCGTCTTCATCGAAATTTCTCTGTCCTGTAAAAAAATTTCCCCCCGCAGGATCTTTTCACCGATATTTGTAATCGATAAGATTAATTAGCGTTAAGAGAGACGGTATAAGTCTCGTGAAATTCTTTTTGTCGAATTAGTTAATGTTATAATGTAAGACTAATGCGAAGATAATTTAATTTGTGGCGCAATTATTATGTGAAGATAACTTAATTATTGTAAATAAAAAAATAATAATTAAAAGAAGGTGCGCTAAGTTTCCACCTGTACTTATCAGGAGCCTCGTAGATCTTAATTATCGCTAATTATAATAATTTGAGACAGTGAATTCTAAACAGAACGTTAATTATCCGATTTCTGAACGTTAATTCTGGAAAGATATCCCGAGGAAATGTATGACGGATTCTTTTATGTGAAGATTTAACTAAAGCACGACAATTTAATAAGATGTGCTATATATAATTACACTATTATAATACGTAACAGTTTAGAGTTTGCGCCTCTTGTATATCACACCGTGGCAGACTGGGGGGAAGCATCTCTTGTCTGCCGAGTAAAAGACGCTGTTGTCTTTCTTTATGGTAAGATTGAGCGAAAAGCTCATTCAAACTTAAACACATGCATACGTACACATTGAACACACTTGTTAAGTATAATATCGGTAGTATCACATATCGAAAGCAAACAGGATCAGCGATTGCACGGCTTCAGCGTTTCCGCGGTTCTGCGCCTCCAATGTATGTGTTTCTTCTTAGCGTTGTCCTGAAAATCTTTTGGCAGTGTTACGCAGTGATTTGTCGTTACGGAATTGCCGCTCGCCGAGCTGTCGGCCGTATCTCCGTCTGATTGTTGAACGGTGTGCTTCTTGATGGTGGAGACACAGTTGGACTGTTCGTCTCGTGGAGAAGCGGCATCTGGGTACTCCTTGGATCGGGAATTCCCGTCTCCTATTCGAGCACTCTCATTTGCCTTCCTTGTCTTGACTGTATCCTGATGACGCTTCTCTTCGCAGATGCCGGTTGCGGCTTCTTCCTGGCTCATTGTTGGACAGGATATTATCGTTGCAGCATTGTCTCGCAGCTCGTTGTCGTTGTTGGGATAGGAATTGACTTTGGAGTTCCCGTCCTTCAGATAATTGTGCACGAAATAGTTGTGGCTGCTAGCACTTTGCGGGTACAGTTTTTCCTCGATGCGGCAATTGAGCACCGCCGCCTCAGCGATGGGTATCGGCTCCATGTACGTAAACATTCTCTTGCAGGTCCGCTCGTCCAATCGCCTGGCGCTGATGGGCCCATTGATCACCGACACCGCGTTGCTCACCTCAGCCGTAGTCCTTATCACGGGCGTGATGTTGCCCATGGAATCTAAACGCGAATTGATCTGATGCGAGTTTGCGACTGAGCTCGCGGCTACTTTGCTTACGGGGCTCTTTGGCTGTATTTTTCTCGACTTCTGCTTTTGCCGAGCTAGCTGGTTGCTGCTCTTCACAGAGCAGCTTCGGTCCGCCTTGACGACGGCCGGAGGCACTTTATTGTTCGCTTCACCGCAGCTGGAGTCTTCCGAATGGTGGTGTCTTATGTGTCGGTTTAGATTGTCCTTTCGCCTGAATTGCGTTTGGCAGTATTCGCAGAAGAACGGCTTCTCGTCTGGAAGAAACGAACGAGTTTGTCGAAGATTTTCATTGTGCAAGAATGTTCCACGGGTTCGACATTATAAACAATAAGATAATGTCGAAGGAACGTACCTGAATGCACAACCAAGTGTCGTCTCAGTTCGCTCTTCGACAAGAAAACTCGATTACAATGAGCGCAAGAAAATGGCCTTTCTTTCCCGTGAGTTCGTTTATGTCGAATCAACATGGATTTGTCTTTGAAACTCTTGCTGCACTGGTCGCATGTGTGCGGTCGTTCGCCTACGATAACGGTCGGTCAACTCGTAAATTAGCCGCTCTTTGTTCGGCGATTTCTTCGAGAAACTTTGAGTAATCGCTTCTGGTACTTACTTGTATGTGTTCGCATGTGACGTTTCAAATTGCTCAGTATGCGGAAGGGCTTGTCGCAGAACTTGCAGGTATAAATAGTCGTCGCGTTGTGTTCGTTCAAGTGATTTTTCAGATCATCCCGTTTACTGTACCGCTTGTTGCATATGGAACATACAAACTGCTTCTCCTCTGGAATATGCAATGACAATGACAGTTACGCTCCATATTTTGAGATTGAAAACATTTTAATTTGTCATTAATTTTGTATACATAATCCTAAAGTATACTCACTGCTGTGAATCAACATATGTCTGTTGAGTTTGTTCCGTTGGGGAAAAGCCTTCTCGCAAAGAGTGCACTTGTGTGGCCTGTACCCTCTGTGAACCCTCTCGTGGTATTCAAAGTGAGAACGTTTGACGAAGCTTCGGTCGCAGAAGGTACACTGATACGGTCTGACTCCCGTCACACAGGCATCGTGGTAACATTTGCCCTTCTTGTTGCGAAAGACCTTACCGCACACATTACATTTGTATCTTTCTGGGTTGCTCGACACTATCGTTATGTGGCTGCGATCGCGACCTTTCGGGTTCTTGCTCTTCTCCGCCATCTCCTCGTCGAATCTCTCCTCTGTTTGGCTATCCTGAGCAGACAGTTATAAATCTCGTTGGCTTACACGGACAAGTAGGAAACAAGTAGGAAATTTATGAGCCCCATTGATAGAATTGCATAAAATACAATGATGTAAATACTAATAAACGTTACATCACACTGATATTCCCTTACATGTAGATTTTGCAAACTCGCCGAATCGTTTCGATCGTTTCCATTCCTTAGGTGAGCTTCTATATTTAATACCATATCACTAGGTTCTATTTTCGGAATGTACAGCTTGCTGGAATCGTTATTACTGATTGTATCACTTGTGGTGAATTCATAGGCCCCTTCGTTGTTGTTAAAAGTGACCTCTTCGTGATGAAGATCCAAGGGTCTGCGATTAGTAGAAATTAAATCGTAATGATTTTTCTTGAACTTGGTACCTTTATTGATAACCAACTCCAATGGTAGCACAGTTTCTTCATTAGATGTTTTGTTTGTGTCACCTGGATCACGACTTGTAGAGCATGCTTCTCCTGTACAATCAAAATTGTTGTTAAAAAATCATTATGTAGATGTGAAAGAGGCATATATATAATATATACACATAATTATATATTACAATAGCTTTTCATTACATGAAATGGGATTAAAGACATTTGCTATATTTTTTTATGTAATATATATTATGTAATATATATTACAATACCTTTTCATCACATGAAATGGGATTAAAGACATTTGCTAGATTTTTTTTATATAATAAAGATAAAATCTTGAAAAGTTATTTACTTACTATAATCTTGAGAATTCTGAGTACAGCATTCAGCCTGGCAAGTTTTACATCCATGTTCCTCATACAGTAAGCACATTCGGCATTTGGTATGACCACAGCTATCCTTCACAAGCCTTGAATAAGACGCATTTGTAAGTTGCCCACAGTTTGGACACTCTTGGCTCATTATAGTGCATTCTTTGAAATCCTTGAAGAATATCATGCTGCGTTCTTATCATTTCTTCCCATTATTTTCTGAACAGAAGTATAAACTTAAATTATTACATCAAAAGTGAGTATATTTTACAAGATACTTTCATATTTAGCCAATATTTGAATGAAATATCAAATTTGTCACGAGTATTCAATTCTGATTGATCTTACATTACCTTCATGCATAACTGACTTATGTGGAAAGGAAACATATAAACCCATTTAAAAAAATGAAGGTGATCTTCACATTCTGGAAGCAACTCCACCAAGAACAAAATCTTGCGCTGACTATAAGACACCATCCTAGAAAACATACTTGTGCAATGATTTGTATGCAACATTTAAAGATTACATAGAATCATAATCAATGATAGAGAAGCATCTTGACTTTTACCTCATGAATTAATCTTCAACTTGGATTGTTTTACGTAACTTAATGATATTAATGCATTTTTATTTATTATTTTATAACCTTATGTTTGGAACTACACATGTCAAAGTCTAATGGTTAACCATTGTTCAGCATGATCTATTTCTTCTATAAATAATCGTAATATACGAATAAGTAGGCATAATGTATTCTTTTCAGAAAAATTATTTTAATAAATGCATTTAGCAAGTGTCGAAGCATTTATGATGGCTAATATAGATTCGATCGTTTCAAGTGAATCGGCACACAATAACGGGTCTAACATTAATGGGTTACAATACTCGACCCGTTAATGGATCGCTCAGTGTCATTTAGCGATATCGTGGATAAACTCGCTCATCCAGCGGGTTTGAATCTCAGCTAAAATGACCCGATATGATCATAAATATCGGTTTATGAAAACCGACCCAAAAATCAAGTATGTGGTATAAATGAAAAAATCCCGAACTCACAATGGCCGATGGTTAAAAGTATATCTTATTTTCAAATTTTACAAGTGAGAACGACTTTTTTGTTTAGAAATAGTATGCCTCAACGATGGTTCAGCAGCCCTTTAATTTTCCAATTCTTTGACACGATAACAAATAAGACCTTTTTATTCTCAAGTAATTCGACTCGACGATTAAGAGGGAATTCAACCTAGGATTTTCGTTATCGCGTCAAACAACTGGACCGTGTCCAATCGCATAGATCTATTCGGCAAATCGACCAATGCGATATCGAAGACCCGGTTTAAGCGCACACGATCGTTGCGAACGCCAAGTGGAATCTACCCCTTGAGAACTCCGCTGGAAGTGTCGCGCCGGCCATTGCGCGGTCGTGTTTTGGTTCCGGAAAGATGGCGGACTCTTGTTTTCAAGATCATTCTCACGGAGCCCGAGGACAATTTTGAGACATAATCTCGCGAAAGTTGACATGTCGCGCGTGTGATAATCTCAGCCACGATAGTTCGTCGCTGCGAGAGTTCGTGCGCGTGCGAGATCGCGACGCTCGTGCCCACCGGCGTCTTCTCGGTGAGCAAGCGTGCAGCACGCAGAGTTCGGTGTCATCGAGTGAGTATCGTTCCGACGGTCTGGCCGGTGCCTCCAGAGGCTCGAAATACGGTGGCTCGCAACTCGGTGAAATGGTTGCGCGCCACCACTGGTCGCTCTAACCCCAACAGTGTTTGTGATCTCAACGCGACCGCCAACGACGCGATTTGGTTAGGTCGCTTTGCTACTGGCTCCGTACGTATGATACCGGAGCAGAGTGTTCCTCCCGGTGGTTCACGTTACGATGTAACGCACGAACGTCGCGGAAGTGAACTGATTGTTGGATAAGACGCGCGAACTCACGATGGCCAATGGCGATTTCGACGTGGAGCTCTTCGAGCGAAGGCTCCACACACTGAAGGACTCCCAGGAGTCCATACAAGGGCTTTCCGCATGGTGTCTGGAGAGAAGGCAGCATCACAAGAAGATTGTCGCCACTTGGTTGCAGGTTCTGAAGAAAGGTAAACTCCAGATGATATACTTTTCATTTTGTCTCTCCGCAAGCCTGCGTGTTCTTGTCAAATACAACAAACTGTAGCATGCGTATCAAAAGATAGTTTATAGTTTCATTGCCGTTGAAAAGCGCAATATCTATATTGGAGATGTATCTTTCCTTTTTTCTTTTGTAACAGTAAAAGTGGAACATCGTCTTACATTGTTCTACCTGGCAAACGATGTTATTCAGTATTCGAAACGAAAAAACTTTGAATTCGTGGAATCGTGGGGCACCACTCTGCAACGTGCGACGACGATGGTTCGGGATGAGAAGGTGAAACATCGTATACTGAGAATATTCAAAATCTGGGACCAACGGCAGATCTACAACGAGGAGTTTCTCGCTGACCTGTCCGGCTTGATCTCAGCTGCCCCGAAAAAGAAACTGGATCCCCAACCGACTGCTCCAACTGAAGAATTTCAACCAGCTCTGCTGATCTCAACGATGAGGTCTTGCACGACTCTGGAGCAAGCAACCGATGCGAGGTTACGCGATTTACGGGAAAGTAACATAGACATAGAAAACGCGGAAGAACTATGCTCGTCGTTAAAAGACAGGAGACGTGTTGAGGATGCCGAGAAGGAGGTTGAATTGGCTGTACGGAACGTTGAAAATTACGTACGTGCGTTAGACGCGGAGATTAGGGAAAGAACACAAGTGGTCGAGTTGTTGGAGCAGGCCGATCAGTTTTACGAGACTCAACGCGGAGAAGTTAAAATAGTGTCAAATGTAAGTGTCACATGTTGCAAAACGATCTCGTCCGTCATTTTCTCACTGTTACAATGTAATCTTCTCGTGGACAGGCGTACCGGAATTTCGGTAGCCGTGTGAAAAACCTGAAGAAAAAACTGGACGAACTGCTGCCGACCTTAGTCTCCCCGATACCATCGCCCGATGTGAACGCGCCTTCGCCGAGTCCCGACAGTGACATAGAACTTCCGGGAGACGAGACCCAAGCAACGAATCCGTCGGGAATCATCGACGTGGCGCCGCCGACTCTCTACGGGTCGTATACTCACGATTACGATCCTATACCAGTACCCGCCCCCGAGATGACACAGGCCAACGAGTCAGGGGACTTTACCAATAATTTCCCTTCCTTCATAGGGGGGAATATGGATTTTGGTAACATGGTGAGATTGAACGACAGTTCTGTATCGTGATTTTGTTGTTGCAAAAGCTCGAGAGCTCTTGTCATTTTCTACCGTTGCTTATTTGTTCTTTGCTTCCTTTAGAGAAACTTGTTCAACGAAAGGCCCACGACGCCATCTGGAATGTCTCAACAATACAATGATTCTATAGAGGTAATAATTTATCATCACTCGCTCACTGCGTTCGCGGGGCTGCGCTTCTCACGCTTCTTCTCTTATCAGGCGAAACCTATAGAGGTGATCAATATGAGACCTTCGAAGAACGAAAAGAGCAACTCGGAGTTCAACGTGTCTAGTTTCCTGAAAACTCTCCTCCCGTCCTCCGACGGGACGCCGGACCCGGGTGCTATACCGGGTCTGGGCTTGGACGCGTCCGAAAGCCAAGTGGATTCGCCGCAACGTCCTAACTACAGGCACTCACCCGGGTTAGGGCAACTACCCGTAACGCCTGTGATCTCAAGAATGATCGGTAGTCAGGGTGCATCATCCCTTGGCGGTTTGAACAACTGCCAGATGAGTCATAGTACCCCGTTGCCCGTTCGCAATTTGTCTGGTGAATCACACACACCTTCTCCGTATTCCAGTCAAAACAGTCAGAGCAATATAACCGGTCCCTTCGACGGTCCCGCGAACACCAACACAGTTAATCCTTTACCTCCTCCACCCTTACCGCCCATCTTTCTCGACGACGAGAACTGCTACAACAAGCTGCCACCCAAGTTCCCCACGTGGACACCGCCGAACGAGAGCGTCAAGGAGCCGGCCAAATGGGAAGAGAAGGGTACGAAAGCAATACTAGGCGCGTTTCACCGCTCCCTCGCCGTTCGCGCGGTAATACAGCGAATTTTGCCGTGTAACCAGGAAAGAACAGCGTGAATCCCACGTGGCCCGGCGGCGAATGCGACGACAAAAACAAGAGCTCGTGGATGGACGGCGAAGCGGACAGGTGGGATTCCAATAACGACCCCGCGTGGCCGGGCAGGACGAAAAACGAGATACTGTCCGAGACCCCGGAATCACCGCCCATATACGAGAAGGCCGGTTTCGCCGAGCCGGTCGAGTACAACGAGCCGCAGCCGCAAGAGTCACTGAGTACCACCGGGGACGTGGATCACAGGTAACGCGGTTGTTATTCTCATCATCGTCAATTCATCCCTTTGAATCCTCGAGCAATCTACGACCGTCCGTTCCTCGAGTACGTTTGTACAATCGTTTATACAGAGTGATTCCGATCCCGTTGGCCGGCGAGAACCAGTTGTCATATCGTCTGATGAAAGCGGCGGACGTAGATCATCGCAATCTGATCAGTCTTACCGGTAGTCCCGCGAATCACAACAGCCTCGGCGACTCGTCGCTCTCCTCTTTGCCCAACAACAATAATCTGTGGTCCACCGTCGACCAGGATTACCGGTGAGTCTCATCCCGCCTGTCGCAACGTACGGATGTTCTTTCATCGTTCTCCTTGTAATCTAGACGGCACATGCAGCCGGGCGACATCGTCGAAAGCGTCGACATGGAGATGTCGGACGACGAGAACGAGAGCAAGCCGAAGGGCAGGGTTCTGGTAGACCTGAGGTTGCAGGACCGCGACATGCGCGTGGGCGCGCCGGCGCACTTAGACATGGACATGCGCATGATACCGCTTCCCACCGGACAAATGCCTGGTTCGCGCGGTCAGCTCGTGCAAGGCGTTCGTCTGATGCACGCGGGCCCACCCCCGCCGCCCCCGCCGCCGCAGTTTCACCAGAGCTTTCGGCAGGAGCAGTCGAACTTCCACCGCGGCCAGCCGGTTGATTTTCACCCGAATCAGTCCAACTTCCACCAGAACCGACCACCGCCGAACTTCCTGCCGAGCACGCAGGACTTTCGTCCGCAGCACCATCAGCAGGACTTCCATCCTTCTCAGCAGGACTTTGACTATCGCGACAGACAGCACGACATCCGGCCTCAGCAGGATTTCTCGACGGACCCGTCCGGCAGGTACCCGACGGACCATCAACTCCGCGACGGCTCGCCCTTTCACAGGATCGACAGGGGCCGCGGTGGACGCGGATTCCCGCGCAATCGCCGGGATCGATATTCCGACGATCACATGATGAAGCAACGGAATCTGGTGAACAGTCGCAAGTCGAGATCGCAGGATCAGCAGTCGTCGCCTGAGATCTTGCCGAACAGTCGGCCGCTGCTGCTACCACCGCCCGACACTATCGTCATTCTCGACGACGAAGGCATGCCGATCGGCATGCCGATCGGCATGCCGGACTTTAACGCGGGCGACAACGCGGCGTCGTCCGGCAATGTGACGAAGGAGCCTCAGGAACGCGACGACGGCGGTCAGAGCGCAGTGTTGCAGGCACGCCGTACGTCGCACGACACGCCGAGCTCGCAGGATTCCGAGCGAAACCATCCGGTAGGCTCGAGTCTCCCACCGTCTGATCACGAACGGGCGCCGTCCTCAACCGGGTCGGACGATCAGCAGCCGATGAATCAAGTGACAGTCATTCCGATAACGACGAACGACGCGCAACAAAACCAGTACGTTCCCGTTTCAGAGTACGAGGAGCATGTAGATTCGGAGCCGACGGAGAAGACGGCCGACGATAACGGGTCGGTGCACGAGGGGCAGGACGCGAGTTTCGCGGAGGACGAGCAGTTGACGGGCGAGCAGCTGGGCGCGATCGTGCCGAGCAACGAATTGAAGAGGCCACCCGCGAACGGCAGTTTCGACGAGCAGAGCCACGAAGATGGGAGCAGCTGCAACAAGAAGAGGACTCTCTTGCCGAACGGACCGCCGACGGAGCCGCACCCGGTGATGTACGACGGCCCGCCGTCGCCGAACTTTCGGCCGCGCACACCCTTCCCACCCTGGCGCGGTGGACCTCCCAGAGGGAGCAGAGGAGGGTTCAGAGGCGGACCGCGGGCTCCGTGGTTGGACAGAGGGCCGCGCGGACCTGCGAACTTTCCGCCGAGGGGACTGAAACGCGGACAGTTCCGCGGTACTGCTTTCAGAGGCCGAGGACGAGGCAGTAATTGGTAGAGTTAGGTTCGCGCATCCAGCCGTGATTTGGCTCAATGACAGAAATGACGGGCGACCGGGTGACTTTGCCGAACTTTGCGAGAGGCAACGCTCACTGAGAAAACGCCTTTTCTACTCTGTAAATAACACGACGGTCTCGCGAGTCGCCGCGGCACGCATAGCGCTGGGCTTTTATGGGTGACGAGCGCGCTCGCACACACCTGCATATATACATACGTTATACACAGAGGCACGCGCGGTCGTGTCCAGACGGTAAGATCTTCCGTGTTGAATGTTCACACATACACACATACACACACATACACTTCCGTGTGCGATTCATTTCGCCTATATAAATATATAAATAAAAAAACTATCTAGGTGTATATATATATACACATAGATGTATATATATATATATACACATATACATAAATATAAATATACGTATACATGTTTCGTTAAAATCTTAGAAGTGTTATCGAAGCGGCTTGCGCGCGCGCACATACACACACACAGACAAAACATAGACACATGCACGTGCGCATGTATTTGCTATTATCGAACTCGATAGTAATTAGAACCACGTATGATGACTCGAGATGCGGTACGCTGATTAGTCACTCTGATGATAATGACCACGCTACACACTCCTTCGATTAGATTTTCGTGTAAGAGGAACTTGTGTTATTCGCGTATGCGCCTAGAAGGGACGACGGGGTTTAATGGTACGTCTCGTCGGATGAGTCTACTCGTGGAAGAGCCGTTTCGGTGGGAGCAAGATCGACAACTTTCGAGGGTTGGGAATTGAAATCCCGCGGAATCGTGACGCTTTCAATTCTCGACCGAGAGAATTCACGCTGCATATTCGATCGCTCGCAGCGATCGATTCCACGGGTCTCCTATTATTTCCTTTCCTCGCACGCAAAAATCGCGTCCTCCCCTTTCATCCTCGCTTGCCTTATCCACCTCACTTGTCCATGTTTCCTGTCGTTTGGTTGAGGTCCGTTTATAAGAAGAAAAAGAAAGGAATGGAGAAATACAGGCGTGTCTCAACGAACCCTTTCAAATGTATTAATAAAATATAGTGTTTACGTTTTGGTTCGCTTCGTACATTTCCCCTGTTATTTCTGGAATGTACTACGTAGCTGAATGTTTCTCGATAAGTCGTACCACGTTCTCGTGCATAAAACGGCAATAAACGATGAGTCATACCGATCATCATCAGTTCAGAACGTAGTTTTCAATTGTATATTTGTTTGCAAGAGAAAGTGGCATGGTTCGATACGTCGATCAATTCGCGAATAGGCTATCGATAAGATGCTCTGTAATCGCTGATATTTTTTCGTGGTTGTGATCCCGGCAAAAGGAGGAGATGTAAAACGAACGAAACTACGGGACGATATGCTTGCTTCGTTAGTAAAGTATGGAACGCTTCTGTCGTTTTGCGATTGTTCGTCCAATTGGATGAACGTTATCGTACGTCCTTTACGCGGATGGACGATGCACATCGACGGTCGTGAGAAAAAGTTTATATTTTAACAACACTTCGATTTAGAACGATCGATCTTGACTCTTTCAGTTTTGTCAACTAGTCAGTTCTACGTTTATTTACGTTTCACCGAAAGCAAGCGAATCGTTGCGGAGGAAAAATACAGACGGTACATCGATAGTGAATGCGCACAGGAAACAAGTGTAGCAAACGCAAAAAAAATCCGTGGAACTATATGGTTGTTTAATAAAATAATAACCGAGGACCTTCCTTCCAGCTCTCAAGTTGATACGCAACCGTATTCCCGCATTCGATACAACGCATTTCGTTGGATAAGTCACCTGTAAATGTATTTAATTACTACGCACGTACATTTTACCGATCGTACATTTTCTTTCACGAAAAGCTCGACACGAGAACGACAAGCGTCATATATGTGTGTGCATCCTCGTCATTGATTTTCTTTCGTAAACGCGCGACACCAAGAGACACGAAGGAAATGCGATATCGTTCCAATTTATCGACCCGCCTTATCACTCCTCGTCCGCTTTATTTTTCCGACATCTTATGTGTACAGCAATGAGTGTATTAATTACACGCTCCGTACGTGCGTGGAAACGATGTTTATCAATCGGCACGAGACAAAATGAATCCCTCGATCCTCCGCAATGGGAGGAGATGAACGTGCGGGGAAGCATGTAAAATGCGCGTGGAATACGGTCCAGATGCGATGTAATAAAGAGGGTGGCGTGGATTACTCGAGTATCTATATTACCTTCGCGATGATCTCGCGTCTGTCATATTGTAGCGTCGAGAGCAGTCGCGTGAAATTTCTCATCAAACCCGCGTCAGTTCGGGATGTTTACGCTACAGACTGTCCCAAAGAGAGGTGTAAATTAGTAGTAGAATCTTATTCTCGTCGTAATGTTCCTGCCTTATCGGGAAATGCACCGGAAATTAAACGGTCGTTGATAATTCATTACGATTGCTTGAAGAATAATAGCCTGTTTTTAATTTCGACCTTGTGTCTCGTATGAATAAATAATGCGTGTTGCAACGATCATTGGCGATCGATTATGACAAAGATATCGTGAACGAGATATGTTTCAGTGATGCGATGTACCTTGAAAAGGCATCGACATTTTTGTATATTGTTTCCCGCAACTATTATATACCTTTCCTTCAACAAAGATGTATCCCTCATTTCTCAGTTATTCAATTATTTTGTTAGTAATAAAAATTGTAACAAAAAATGTGAGCTTGCAATTGAGCCAATTTTTCGTCGGGAAAACAAACGAAGACTCGATCGCGACCACTATATTCGAGATTGAAGATTCAAAATTTACCGACAATACGCGACTGACTGAATTTTTGCATGAATAAAATTTTCCTCGGAGCACTACTACTGGTATATACATCATATTTGAGGCAGCCTGTATTCGTACACACGCTGCGCTGTAGCTTTTCCAAATCTCGCACCTCCGTTGGATAAATTACGATAATAACGGAGTTGTTCTTAAAGAGAACAAACTTATAAGAGACATCTAAAAGACGCCTTATTTTTTTAAATGTCTTTTAGAAGTTTGCGCTCTCTGGTTCGTTAACTGAGGTTGTGGAATTTGAGAAGTAAATTTGGAATGAGGGTTCTCTAACTAGAAAAAGTGCCTTTCTCATTGAAACGAATCTTGCATCTTTCGTCGGAGGAATGTGTGTATAACGTATCGTATTCCAGTGTATGACAAAATGTGGTGAGCGCTTCTGCAATTTAATGCAATTTAATTAAACGAATCTACCCGAGCCGATATGAGTGACTGAAAAAGTGTGTGTATGAGAGAGCGAGAGGGAGTGAGTGAGAGAGAGGGGGCAGAATGATCGCATGCGCGCGCGATCCGAAAAGTCCTATTAATAAGTGAGATTTGATTATCGCACTAAATGATCTTGTATACATTATATAAAATAATTCATGTACAACTATTTAATTCTAGATAATGTTAATGTGTTTTATATCGTGATATATAGAACGATCGTGCATACTGTGTATGCGAAGAATTTTGTACATTGCCTAATAAAAAGTTGACTTTTATTATAACAAACGCGTTATATTTCGTCTAGTCTGTATAAAATCATTCTCAGCAACGTTATAATCGTATTGACGATTGATGAAAATCGTTGAAAATCAAGGCAAAATGCGAGGCACCGCAATGAATATAATTGGTAGTGTAAATAGGGTCATATATACGAATGGCAGTGAAGCTTATGGTAATAAATATTTTATTCAAATCGTTGGACAATCACATTAGTCAATTGTTTCTAATATATATTTAAAAAATATATACAAAAGATATTTACACAAATAAACAAGAGCAAGCGATCGCTTCCTCTCTTCGCCGTTACCGCTTTTATAATATAAAAATAAACACGTTGTTGTACATATATATATACATATACGTATATACACATGTTTCTTCCGCACAATCTCGGCTTTGTTTCGCGACATGTGCGACCGTGTGCGATCGCTCACAAATTAATGAGTCGCAACACTCAGAAAAATACGCAAGGAAAGCGACTCTCCCGGCATTGGATGTGTAAAGTTTCACGACGATTAATTACGTTTGAATTGATTTCGAAGTTTATCGCGTAAATTCGCTCGGTCGCTTCGATCGTAAAGCGAGGAAAAAAGTTTCCGTATTCGCCGCGTGTATTCCGCGCGACGTTCTCTCACGTGTAACCGATCGTTACGTACAAAAAAGGTAAATGATAAATTACACGACCGATCGACCTGCTCTCGGCGGATATGGATCAAGTGTTGCAACAATGGTCATTAAGTGCGGATGTAACATTGTAGCGATATAATCACCCGCTATGATGAGACGAGAATTTCATTGTCGCTGTCGATCACGCGCATCGATGCACGCGGTCACTTACATTTTGATTAGCAGCAATAGTAATTTGGCGACGACAGTAATGCACATCGCGAATCCGAGTGGAATCTAAATACAGTTGAGGTATTTCATATGTTACGTCTTACTTCCGCACTCTCTCTCTCTCTCTCTCTCTCTCGTTCACCGCGTTCATTCTTTGGTCTCTCTCGCGCACTTTCTTTGGTTTCTCTCGCGCGTTCGCTCAAACATTGCAGGGTGTTACGCGAGTCGCTCCTTACGTATCGACAAACGACGCTGAAAAAAGCGAAAAATCTCGAACACCGCATCCAATATTTCTCTCTATTTTAAACTCTGTAGACACATTGATATATTAATATGATATTAAGTATCATATATACATATATATATATATATATATATATATGTATGTACACTTATGAATCCGCGGACGAATATAAATATTATACGACGACGTTACATGTGTCGTTAGAAACCTCATAGTTTATTGCTTTGAGACAATTTCCAATTTCCTAACTATAGAAGTGCAGAGCGACACGCGAGAAAATTAGTCATTACCACAATGACGTACAATGCAATTTGTGTAATATACCTCGCTCCCCCCTCCAATATATTTTCTTTTATTTTATCATTGATATTTCTTTAACCGTTCAGAAGCAAGTATCGCATGTACGATAGATGCGGAGAGAACGACCGTCCGTACACCCTGCATGCTTCGCACGATTCTGGCCGATTGAATAAAGTTAGTTCGAATCGCGGGTCTTTTGTCACAAGGAGGTTTCTTCCACAAGGGAATCCGCCTTTTCCAATGTTCGGGTCTCGTCGACGCCGACGAAATACGTCGTGACGTATCCTTTCGGCTTGACCCACGTCTCACCGCGTAGATGACACTTGACACCTTGCTGTTCCAAAACGGCGGCTGTATCCGCAGTCACCTGAATCAATCGAAAGGACGGATTACGCTCGGGCCTGCACTCGCTTTGGAAAATTCAATCGAAATCCAACCTGTATTTTCCCCGGTAGCCCGGTAGTGTCCATTCTGGACGCCATGTTTACGGCATCGCCCCAAATATCGTACAATGGCTTTTGAGCTCCTACGACGCCGGCTGTCACCTCTCCGTGAGAAATTCCGATTCTTAATCTATGTCAGAGGGAAAAAACAAGGTGACTCGAGTATTCAAAGCGAGATAATTTCCCGCAACGTCGCCTTCGCGCATCACTCACTTGTGCGGTTTCGACGAGGTGAGGGATCTTGCGTTTATTCTGTCGAGCACCGCCATCATTTGTACGGCAAACTGTGCCATCACCTTGACCACGTCATCGTCGCGATACCCGTCGCTTTCGGTGCTACGCATCGAGTCGCGTCGGCTCGCTTCCAGTCCACAAGCCGCCATGTACGTTGTGCCTGAATGAACGTGATAACGGATGAATGGAATGATAACGGATACGAAACTCTGTATTTTATCACTCAGCTCCGTATCTCTCCGTTCGCGCAAACCTACACACGTATGTGGATATTCTCACCGGCGATCTTTATCTTCTCTATGCAGCACACAAAGTACGGCTCGAAGAGCAGCTTGTCGAATTCACAGATGATCTCGTTCAGATCGATCAGTATGTTGCTCTCGTCGATCGACAACTCGGTCAGAGACGCGAACATGACGGCGACGTTGCTGTGAGCCTCGTGGTAAGGCTCGTTCTCCTCAGTCCGGTTCATATTCAAGTAGAATTCCGCTGCAAGAGAATCGCGCATTGTGATCTCCCGAGTAATTAGTCCGACGAATGCGAGAAGACGCGTACCAACGTGTTCCGGCAAGATGTTGCGCAGCAGAAGCTTGTTGGCGTTCCTCGTGTGGAACGCTTCGTCCTGTTCTTTCGTCAGTTGACGTTTCCATTGGTAGTCCAGCCTGCTCAGATAGCCCGCCTGCTGGACGAACGTTAGTGAGCGTCAGTTCGAACGAGTAACGAGAATACGCGTGATTTCACAAGACGCACCTGACGGTCAATAAGATGCAGAGAAAACGTGAGGAACACCACGCTCAATACGTGCGCTACTTTAGAATCTAACCGAGGATTCCACGTGTCGCCCGACTAGAACATGCGAAATGTATCTTATTTCTCGATGTCGACGGACGGAGAAATTCGTACGATACCTGAAATACATTCGACCGATACACCCAGACGTTCCACGCGTAAAAGGCCACCACGCCGACACCTATTATGAGTTTCAAAACGTAGTGGACTCTCAAAAAGAGGAAACTCGTGAGAATCGCCAACGAACAGGTTTCCGTCATTTGCTGAAAGAGAGATGAAAGCAGACCGGAACTGTGGTGATGCGGAATTCGTGCGAACAGGAATCTCGTTGCGATACACAATAAATAATTAAATCTTACCCAAGGCGTAGGTATGCATTCCCGCGTACCGGCTGTCATGTTGGAGGTTACGTTATTATTGGATTGTTCCAAGTTTTGACATTCGAACTGAAAGAGAAAAACGCTTTATTCGCATTACAAATGAGAACTTGACGGAGAACCTCGCGAGAAACGCATTTCAGTTTTCTAACAATATTAATGTGCCGAACATCGAAAGGATCTTACGATCATGTCGAACATCGCGCACACCGCCAGCATTATCGTGATCACCAGGTACAAGATAGTCCTTAGAAGGGCGCACCACACGACCTGTATCGAATCGAGATGTTAATTGGACTATAATAATGATCCGACATTTGTCAAAAATCTGTCTACCTTTACGCTTGTCTGGTAGAGAAAGTACAATAGTTTGTTCCGCGGCTGCGGAACGTGTCCCTCGTGTTCGTCGTGCGGATCCTTGAAGCGGTTCCACACGAAGTGCATCCACGTGAGCGGTATTAGAGCTATCAGGATCAACATGGCCAGCCCGTAAACGATGCTCGTAGGTCGATCCCAACTGAAAGGAAGCATTAGTCAATAAATTGACAGCGATTCACCGGTCACCGGACGTTTTCGATATCTCTGGCGCACGTACTCTGCGAGCATAACCGTGGGCACGAAGTAGATGAGTCCCATGAACAATAGAACGAAGGCCGCGCAGCCTATATAGAATTTGAAGAGAGGGTCCGGCTCGCGCAGGAACGGAATCTCCCAGCTCCATTGCCGAAACGTCAGGAAGAGCGGATTGATGTGTTCCCATCTGCTCCACTGTCTGGAAGGACGATCTGTCAGCGGGTATCGAGGATGGGGAGGATTCAAAGAGGACACACTTACTCCCACTTGCTGAGAGGCATCTGATTGATGGCGTTCTCCATCTCCGCGTCCGCCGCTTTTAACATCAGGTGATAATCCCGCAGGCAGGAGTCCATGAAATGCGTCCTTCGTCTGTACGTGCTCGCGCAAACGTCCGCCTGATTGTTCAACGTGGACGTCAGTCGTCTACTCGTTCTGGAGCTGGTGCTGATGCTGGTGTTGGAGCGCGTGTAGAATTTCACGTAATGCTTGTTAGCTTGCGGTGGCGGCGAGTCCGATCTAATTACCGTCAAAGTGTTCTCGCTGTTCTGCAACAAGGTTCGCCTGTCAACGACGCGAAACACTCAATGGGAGTTCGCTCGGCGAAGAGGACGGTGTAAGACCAGTGGCGTAGGAGTATATTACGAATGCCTGGGACGAGCGAGGATGAAAGAGGTGGCTTGCAATTTTCCTACGCCACCGGGAGACACGCACCTGCTGGACCTCCGGTAAGGACGGCGTGATGAGGTAGCTGCGAATGCCGTATTTCCTCAGAATCTCGTCGTTCAGCGTCTCGACCGGCACGCAATCGTACTCGCTCCGGTCCACCAGGTCCAGCGTCTGCTGAGTGACGTGAACCTTCCCGGGCTTGCCGGTCTGCTCCATCTTGTTCGCTATCAGGACGTCGCGCGACCAAACGTCGTACTGCCACTTGTTCGTGCCCAAGATTCCGGATATTATGTTGCCGGAGTGCACGCCGATCCTCATGTTCACGTCCACGCCGCTCTCGCGACGGACTCGCGCCCTCACCTCGTTGATGATCCTTATCATGTCCAAGCCTGTGTGTGTTTCGCGACATTCCGTCAGAGAAATGGGATCTCTCACTCACGCGGTCTCAGGGTGACGCGGAAAATAAACACACGATTTACCGAGATCGACGCAGCTCTTCGCGTGCTGAGAGTTCGGCGTGGGCACGCCGCTCACGCAGTAGTAACAGTCACCTAAGAATTTGATTCTGAGCACGTTGTGTCTCTCCGACGCTTCGTCGAAGCTGCCGAACAGGTCGTTCAGGGTCTCCACGAGTTTCCGTATCGGCAATGTCACCGTCAGTCCGGAAAAGTTCACCACGTCTGCGTACAAGATGCTCACGTTGTCGTGCGTCTCCACCCAAAGATCGCTGAAAAGGAAAACGATCGAAACGGAATGTGCTGGGGATCTTGAGCAATGCATCTCTCTCTCTCTCTCTATTTTTCTTACTTATGTGGCCTGCCTTTCGGCGGTGGTTTCTTATGCTCCTCTATGAACTTGAAGATGTCCCTGAAGTCTTTCTTGATTTTCGCCGTTATGTGCTGCGGCAGTATACTCCGCGTCAATTGTTCCTGCAAACGATGACGTCGCACGTGTGGAATTTCTTGACAAAGCGATTTTACGACAAGAAAAGAGATAATATACGAGGAAGAAAGAAAAATTCGGAGGCGGAAAGATAACGATCCGGAGATCGTCGTGATCCGATTATCCAGCACGACTATCTTCCGTCCTATTCTTTCTGTTTTCTTTATGATTTCACCGAAAGGAATCTCTCAATTTTTCGATCTTGTTTCGTCATGCTCTCACGTCGCTTTTCGAGCATGTGTGTAATCTGTGGACTTACTTCTTGGTCCTTCTCATAGTTCAGCCTGAGCGTGGATTCGACGCATTTTCGCCGGTCCAAGAAAGAGCGCCTGATGACGACCTCGTTCATGAACCTGAAGTAGAGTCCGAGCCCGTTCACGCACACAAAGTATATCGTGTCGGCGATGATCTGGCGGGATCGAGGGAAAAGAAGAAGAAAAGTATGTCATGTATAGAGTATACTACCGCTCCTCGTTCTTAGGCCGTGTTTACTTGGTCAATCACGCGGTGGCTTACGTCAGACGTTTGTATCGCTGGTGGAGGGTTTACCTTGGTACCGTAATCGGTCGTGTTTCTGTAGGTGATTAACGACAGGGTCGCCAGGTAACACATGGTGGCCGTAATGCCGAGCACGAAAGCGTGTAGATTCTCCGTCAGCGGCAGGAAGACGTAGCACGCGAGAAGTGCGTGTGTCGCGTACGCCGGTCTGAAAGAAAAGCAGGGGGGAAGAAAAAGAAAGGGGAAGAAAATGATAAGAAATGGAAATTAGAACGACGAGGCGAAGTGCTGCGGCGTTTCGCGAGAGAAATCCTCTGTCGTAACCGTCGCTCACGCGAAGATCGCGCGTTCGCTAAGTTTGCGCAGGCGGAAAGCTCGTTAGGTTCGCCTGACGAGGTTCAGCGTCAAAGAAATTATTCTGCTCCCTTCGTACCTTATCGGCGGGATCTCGTTGTCGACGGAGGTGTAAAACAGAGGAATGGCCAAGTCGCCGACAACCAGGAGCACGATGATCAGGCAGGACAGCATGACCGGTAGGTACTTGTTCTTCGCGATTATCTTCGATCTGAAGGACAGAGCGATCATCGGGCAGAGAAGAGCGCCTACTATGCAGTAGACCACGACGTCCGGCAGCCATTCCTTGAAGTTGGGGATCTGGACCGAGAAGAGAGCAAAAGCCTCGCTCATCGTGTCCCCGTAATATTGTAAGAATTCGAGACGCTTACCATCCCGATCAAAGTCAGGCAATATGTAAATCTGAGCACCAGTTGCAGTAAAACAAACAGCGAGAGATAACCATACTGAAGTCTCCTCTGATAAATCGTGTACAGCTTCTCCAGGCTCTTGTACTTGAATTGTTTCTGAAAGTGAAAGCCCGCGTAAGAGAGACCACAATCGTACTCGTCGTCACGTCGACTAATTACCGCAGATAATTCCGCGATTATTCCGGATGTTCGCGATACGGTGTTTATCGCGGCGAGACACTGTGTGTATCCTCGGACAGATACTCGTTCACGAATAGTACTCACGATTGGTGGGACTTTACTTCTAAAAAAGAGGTCCAAGATCGCGACTTTGCTCGATGCGCGGAATTGTTGATTTATCTCAGTGAGCAACTAAAGATAAAGGTGTGCGCGAGAATATCTCCTTTGTTCCACTAAAGATACGGAGAGAGAGAGGCTTGAGATCGTGCGCGTGATCGTGCATATTTTGCGTATAAAATCCCTCGTCTATACCGGCATGTATCTTCTATATCGGAACAGAGAATCCCCTTTTATAACGGAACGGGTGATATCGCTTTTAGCGTGAAGCTGTATTTTTAGCTTGTATTGAAGGAAGAAGGCGAACGAACGGAGGACGCGCTCTTCTACGACGATTTCTTCGCACGACGATCTATACGAGCGCGCAGGATACTCTCGCGATGTTCTTCCTCCTCTGCGAGGACGCGGACTCAAAGTGGACGGCGATTAGCGAGAGAACAACTCGACACGCTTTCGTTCCTTTCACGTAATCTCACAGGACGCACCACAGCACGCTGATCGAAAAGCTGCCACGACACTTCTTCCTTTTTCTCTTTAACCAACGACGACGGTGCACCTTCTTCCTTCGCGGCTCATTCGTCCGCCCGCGACGGTCGCCGACGATCTGATAATTGCGCGCGTGGTGCGCGCAAATTATGCGGCTAAGCTCGTAAAAACGACAAGTCGTCCTCTCCTCGGGCGCAGTCGCGACCGTCCCGCATGCACCACATGCATTCGCTATCAATTGCATGTGCAATGTATGCGCGGCGAGTAATTCTTTCTAGCACATTTATTGCGACAGTTGCAACGCCGGAGAACACCATTCCCTTTTATGCCTTCGCATCGGCACGCATCTTTCGCTTCGATTAACACGGTAAAAATGCGAAAGAAATGCGATACACATCAGTCCTTAAACATCGTTCTCCCTCTCGCAGGATCCTCACTCAAGCTATTTCCTCCCGCTGTTGCATTCGACTCCCCGCCGTTAAATTTACTTAACGAACGCACGTTAACTATTGCGCTTGGTTTTAACGAAATCTCATCGCCACGGTCGTCGGTGTGTAATGCTCTCTAATGTAATGTATCGTTAGACCGATGGCCGACGACACATAGATAACGCAGCACGACGTATTATCTGGACGCAGGATCGCAAGGTGGTGTGACAGAGAGCTCTCTGTCCTTTTCTCTCTTACTCACGCGCGACTTTTCGGCCGACGATGCAAAATACGAGCGCGACCTCTCGCGCGGCCACACCCGCCGAAAAATCACACCTCCATCGAAAATGCGGCGGCTGCAAGCTCGAGCTGCGCTCGAAGGTGTCTCCGCTCGCAGCGGGGCAAACGTGCGTCTCGCGCGCTTGCGTTTTGCCCGCATTGTCGCAGCTTGGCGAATCTCTCTCTCTCTCTCTCTCTCTCTCCCTCGGCTCGCTGAATATTGATCTTCAATCTCGAACTCGTACGGCTCGAGCTCTCCTCCTGTTATTTCTGTTCGCCCTCGCAGGCCGTTTTCTCACCCAACTCCTTCGAATCGAAGATATTCGGACTGTAAGGACAATAAGGGTGAGGTGAATAAGCGTTTCATGGTCAGTCGTCCTCGCGGGAGACGCATCGTGCTCTCGTCGAGATGGACATTCATCTGTGAATGAAGGATTCGAGTATAAATTCATAGTTCATTTTAGTTTTCCCGAAATGTCGGACCGCAGGGAAGAATTCCTCCTCGCGTGAATTTTCCAACGCGAACGTTACGAGCGACCTGCATTTCAGTCCACCGACGGTGGATTAGTGCGAAGGACGTGCAGTCGATTGCTTTTTCTAATAATCTAACTTATCGAACCGTCGCTGATACGCGCCGATAGCGTGGTAAATAAATTTCAAATCGCTCACACGCCGTCGGCCGTAGCGGTGGGAGTGCGATTTTTTCCCGTGCGAATCAATCGACGAGAAAAGAAGCGCGATAGAGGACGACTTCTTCCGGTTTTTGCAGGCCGAAAGTGCCCACTTGGATGAGAGAACCGTCACGACATCGCTCGAGATAAATCGATCGTTGCTCGATAAGCTCGTCGCATTTTCGAAGAATTCTCATCTTCCCTCTCTCTCTCTCTCTCTCTCTCTCTACTTGGCACCTTATACGAGCCGTTCCCTCCTGATAATAATGACTTTGCGCTAAAAATTCTCCTATAATCTTGTTTTCCTCGCAGCCGTCTCGAGTTTTGCGGGATCGTCGAGAGGTACTTGGACGTGTCGCGGAAAGAAATCTGTCGCCTGAGACGTGCTTCTTGTCGATGCTTTTTTTTTTTCACAAACGACCATTATACAGATAACGCACAAGTAGCTGGAAAAAGAGACATAAAATATAAAGTTTACGCCCAGGTGACTCGGACATTTTTCTCGTCCAGCATGACGATATTAGTTTTATTCACGCCGATGCGGAAGATTAAGTGCGATATCGATCGACGCCAAAGTTTTTAATCTTCTCACGTGTTTTCGCGTCGTCGCAGAAATAAATCCGGTCGGACATTAAAAGATATTCCGCCAATGTACATACCGCGCGCGCAATGTCTTTTCTTTGTATAATTTTACCATTACTTCTGTAATTATAATTCTGATTAAACGCAAGTTGAACGTTTTTCACAGTCAACAGCTGCGCGTAAAAAAAAAAACAAATCGTTAAAGGGAGAATGAAAGGGAACAACTCACCCTCAGGCTAGACCACGTCCACTCGTCGAGACTATTGGGAGAAACGATACGGCCGTCGTCCACCTTTTGCAAGGAAGTCAACGAGGCTCGAGTCACCAGCTCCACGTCCATCTTTGTCGCTAGGGGGGTGTTTCGGTACTGCAGATGGATCAGATCATCCTCGATTACAAGTACCGGACGATAATGACGATGACGACGACAAAGACGGCGATCTCGTGGCCATCGGACTCATCCTGACGACAGACCTGCGAAGAGACCGTCGCACGGCGATCGGAAGAAGCGAATCGCCCTGATGCCACTGGCTCCGGCCACGACGGTTTCCCGTGGTCGCGCCAAGTCGAGCCAAGCGCAACGCCGACGTAGGCTTTATCGTGATAAGGCAAATAGGCCACTCGAAACGCTCCCCCTGACACTTCTCTGCTTCGTCTCCCTCTCTCTTTCCCGCTCTCTCTTCCTCTCTCTCTCTCTCTCTCTCTCACTCTCTTTCTCTTCTCCTTCTTTCTTCCTTTTCTCTTTTCTCTCTCGTTTTTGCTCCAACGGAGTTTAATGCACACTCTGCTGTTCTTTTTCTCCGACGAGCTTTAGCCGATGCACGTCATGGCGTTAATCGCGAACGACGGAGGCAGATCAGAGGAGACGGTGTATGTTCGTCAGGTAAAAATCACGATTCTCATGGACGAATCGGAGTGTATTTTCGAGAAACGTCTCTCCGCCAAAGAATTCCTCGCTACTATCGATAATAAATAAATCAGTTTGCGCGTCTACTGTATTAAAGACTCGAGGGCTCCTCTGTATTCTCGTCAGGTTGTACCGCACGAAATAAACCCGACATCAAGTGGCACCGTAAATATCCTCTGAGCTCCTTTTGCGTCTGGACACGGTATTTCCAAAGCTGTCTCGTCAAGGAATCGATCCTCCCTGTGTCCAGAAATTAAACTCGTCCCACCTGAAAATAGGATCTTCAATTAACTCGCGGTCGGTGTCACGGCATCGTTATCGATCGCGAGTGTAATTCGGGACATAGCTCGGAGAATAAAAAGAAGCACGGCCGAAAAAAAAACTCAGGAAACGATAGTTTCCTTTTCGTCAATGTGCCGTTAATTCTGCCTTAATTAAGTTGAGAGATTGGCGGGGAGCGCCTCGCGGCTATTTTTAGCATTTCTCGTCTGTGATCTTTCCCTCCGCCTTTGTGAAAGCTTCGGAAGATAGGCCAAATTTATCGAGAAATTAGGTAGCTATTTTCGTCTACAGATAACACACTGCTCGTGCAGTTACGAGGTATTTTATCCCGCAACATCGCGGGACGTTCAATGAAGCGTGCGTAATATCTACAATCACCTCCGTCGAGGAGAATGTTTTCTAAAACGCTTCGCTACGTTGGTAATAATTCTATGGTATTTTGTTAATTGAAAAGAAAAAAAAAAAAGACGAATCTCCCCATCGAGTCCGTACATCAAGGATATCGAGGTGAAAACTCTCTTGACAAATTTTACTTTTTATCAAGTATCTTGTTGCGTGCACCTTTGATAATAACAACGATAAGGAGCTGTACGTAAGACGAGAGGCGGAGAAGAGAAATCCAGCGAGGCGAGGAAATATTTTTGTCTCTAGTTATGCCATCGTCGCGGTCGGAATATTTTTCACCGGTCAGCGTGAACGCGTCGGCCACTTTCTCCGGGCGCATTCACGCTCGGTGCATCTTTCACTGCCGGGACAACGCGTTTGCAACAACGACCGTGACGTGTATACCTTGGCGAGCCGTAATCACTCGGATCAACCGCTAAACGATTACGATAGCGGAGAACTGCACGTCCGGGTTTGATTCGTCGATGACCGATGACGGTAAGCCGTCGGCGGTAGATAACGGAACGTGTTTAAGTTACGATCGTGAGTTTTCTTAATCGCCCGCTCGCGCTTCGTATGCCGACGGCGAGACACTCTCTTCCGGATTGCACCTGCGGACGAATCGAGCGGCCTTAAATGATACAGACAGTAATGTCCGTTCGTAAAAGGCTGCGTTTAACGCGGTTTCGTCAACGACGAGACGCCGGAATATTAATTGTCGATCGATTATCGCGAATGGTGATTCAATCACGAAGAATCCCGAGCTACACATGTCGCACTGTGCGGGCGTCTCGTCCGCGATCGATTCGCGAGAGAATCGCCGAATTAATCATTGAGTAAACAGTGTATTCATTAGCGTCGCGCACATAATCGAGCTTAATCACCGGGAAAACATCAGCTCGGAAATCAGGCGGAAGAACAGCGCGAACGGGATAGCCGCAATGCTCGATAAAACGCTCGACAAGCGTGTGTCGGAGAGCCACTTGCAGATTACGCGTGCAAATCAAAGCGAAGCTATTTTACAAAATCGCTCGAAAAATACTTTCTCTCACGGTCGACGTGATCGGCGGGCACGGATCTAGCGAGCAGGGGAAGTGACTTAAAACCCGAGAACGATCGATAAAAATTCATCAAAGTATCTCTCTTGCAAAATGCACTCGATCCTAAGGCTCTCCTAAGTATAGAATTCCGATTGTCCAAATTATATATAACGGCAGTTCTTACACTTTCCAATCCTTCCAGCGGACGATCATTCGGTCGCTAAAAAGTTATCCCAAGCGGCGGCGACGACCAACCGAACCCCCGGTATCATAGTGCTCGCCGATGAGTCGATTTCCGATTACGACCTGGCGATCGCCTAATCGGCACTTCCGTCATCTCGTCCGAGAGATCAGCCGATAAGCAAGCCGCGATTCCGGTGGAACAGTTGCGAGTGTCGTGAGAGAGAGAGAGCGCGCGCGCTATTCGAACTCGTGCGTTCGACTCGCAACAAACTACTTTCGTCCGACGAGACTTTCCACTGCCGATATCTGAGGCAGGCAGGTGTGACGAACGACATGGGTCGTACACCTACGGCTCTTTTTCGATTCGAGTCATGGTGGAGGCCTCAAGGCCGCGCGCACGCACGCGTCTCCTGATACCCAGAGCCTCGATTCAATGACACTTTTTACGACTTCCGCCGTGCCGTCGGAAGGTCGACTTTGCCGAGCACAATCCGTCCGACCGAGTCTGCGCGGTTTTCGACAATGAGCCTGCTGCTCGACCGATCGATCTCCATTGTCTAATGGCGTTAATTGATGAATGGAGGGCGTTGCACGTTCGACATCGCATGCACGCACGCGACGTTTTGTTTCGCGATAACAATAATAACAACACACGATAAAATCGAATTTTTGGGAGCGACTGACTGAGGAAGTGCCTCGAAGATTACACAGAGAGAGAGAGAGAGAGAGAACTTGTATTGTGAGGTAAATCGACGACTTTGCCGGAATCTTAACGAATCAATTAGATTAACAATAATAAGAGATGATCATGAGAGAAATACTTTTATATATACACACACGCGCGCATGTGTACACACCTTTTTCGAAGCAGCCTGCGGCTTGATTTCTCGATAATATGCACATTTGGTCGTGTATTTGCCTGCGGGTGATTCGGCCAAAGTTTATTTAATTAAATGTTTGCCGCCGTGTCGTCGTTATCGATATTGCGAAATCTTATCGAGCGTGAAAGGATGCACGCACGGAGAAGCAGCTAAGACAGAGATCGATCACCGAGGAAAGAGCGGAAATTCACGACACCAAGCCACGCTTCTGTTTGACGGTACACCGCGGATCTCGAACGATTTTCGCGACAAGTCGGGAAAAGGCGCGCACCGTGTCTCGTTCAGCTCGAGCGAGCACGCGGAGGCTGTGGGGGCCAGTGTTCGACGGTGGGCCTTTGAAAAGTCGACTGGCAGTACACAGTTATCTGCTCTGTTTTTTGATAAAGCGCCGATAGCATCGCGCAATGTTTCATATCAGTTGTGAGTCGTACGGAATTCCTAGAGGTCCCATTGGGAACTTTACGCGTCACCTTTGCGTCCTGCACCGAGCGCACACGCGGAAAACGTCGCGAGACTATTGGCCGTCGTACTCGGATTTCCTACGATATTCTTTAACGTGAATGGTCAAATTCAAAATAAAAGATTCGACGAATAATTAGTGAATTTGTGACACGGAAAAAGAATCATTGCCAATCGGTGCCTTCGGATTTAATGCCAACGTTTTGTACTCCCACCGGCCGACAAAAGTATTATGCGCGACGCGTCCAAGCTACTTAAATCTCGTGGTACGGAAATAATGACGAATCACATTTTCCGCTAACGAGCTCAACATTTTCACAAGTAGCCTCTGTTTTGAGAATACCGCAAGTGCGCTAAGAAAGTTTACAGTTTTTATAAAAAGCATGAGTGATACGACACTTTTATTTGTTCACATGATACATTTATTTTCAACGTGTATACGCAGTATGCTGCTATGCCGACTGCTTACAGAGAGAAGACGCGTCCGCTTGTTAGCAATGACATTGTTACCTGGCATTTGCCCGGGAGTGCCTGTTTCCGCAATTTCTTCCAGAAAACTGATACATTATAATCAATCAAATGCGGTCAATCCCGTGAATTCTCGTAGATTCGCACTACTTTCCTACACACACACACACACACACACACACATATGATCTATTTTTATATTTATACAATTCTCGGAAAATGTGCGTGTGTGTGAAGCGTTCAACAATGCAGACAGGTTCGGGTGATTCTAGGATCGAATGTTTAAAGAGCTCAATTCACGCGAGATTCGTGGGACCCATAATAGGAAGTTAGAAGCTCAATAATTCAGATACAATTTCGAGTCGGATAACGTAATAAGCGTAATATATCGAATTCCTCTATCACATATCATATATGCAAGATTTATGATCCGAGAAATAGGAAGATGTAGTATTCTGACGTAATCTTTCTCGCAAAAGTAATACAATCGCCATCTAATGATAATTCCAGTTTTCTGGTCAGCTTTTAAGACAGAATTGTCATAGACTAGAATTCTGCATAAATTCAAATCATACGTACAGATACTGCAAACTTACATAATCTATGGAAGAAATAAAAGTAAAAAATAAAGAGAACGAACGGTTGATCTATAAAATAGGTGTGAGAGAGTGAATTCAAAAATACAGTTGTAGCTCGCTCTCGTCTTAGATTTTCTCGTCGTAATAGAATTCGAAGAAAAAAACAAAACAACGAAGAAAGAAGAAGAGAGGAAATGTACCTCGTGTAAAGATTGCGAAACTATTGCAGATCGATACTTAAATGAGGACAAGGATAGCGCATACTACTCAATCGTTCGAATATCCTAAGAAAATATGCGTTGTATGTTCGTAATAACTTCCGCAGGCAACTCGCTGGAAAGCGCATTCCAATCATTCGGAAAGTCTCGCTGAGCAGACTTGATAAATTCGATGATGAGACTCGTCGTTTCTGCAAAGGGATAACGTATGTTCATTAGTTCACTGGCAGGATCGACACGTTGATCGTATTGCAAATGCTAAAATAAACTGAAGCAGCGACAACCGTGTAACAATAACGAGTCAATTGTCGCTCTTGCTTACAAACTCACCGCTGCTCCCGGCTTTTTCTTTGTGTAACACGCTGATCGCGACTTTCAGCAGCGTACGAATATGTGGCTGCAGGACAACGTGTCCGGCTTGGTATAGCGTGAGAATGCTCCTAAACACGGCTCTATTCTCTACAAAGTCTTCCTTCAGCGGTAACTGTTCCACGAAAATTGGAAATATTTGTTCGAGCGGCAGATTCGAATAATTTACGATAATAAGCCGTGCGATCGCACCGACGACGTTATCGCGAGTACCCGCATGCGACTCCTTCGCAATGGCGGTCGACAGAGCTTCCAGTATGGCGGGGTAATACCTGTGTTACAATCGTAAAGAAGAATGAAGAATTCTAATCGTATAATTCTACCGTTCGATCGTTATTCTCCGTTCACTTACGAATAAACGGCTTCTTTTCCGTGCAAAGCCATCTCCCCGATTCCGTAGATCACATTGTTGCGAACCTCAGAACTGGGGTCGTGGGTCAGACGCAGAAAAATTGGGAACAGTTGCGGGACAAACATTGACACCATGTGCTTGAGCCCGGCAAAGCAATCTGAGATTGTGCCAGTCACGAAAGACTTTTGTCCCTCGGATTTGCCCTTTTCCTGAGTGCATTTAACTCGGTTTAAGTATCGTGAATTTCAAGAGAAAATATTTGTATATGAATGATATAAAAAAAAAAATACATACCAGTCTTACCAGAAGTAACGGCAACACGCGCTGAAAGAAAATCGTAAAGTCTTCCGGTGCAACCACGTTTCCATAGTAGACCAATACTTCTCCCGCGTACTCCATCAATAGTTCGTCCTGTTCAGCCTCGGTATCGATACCCTCGCCTTCTTCCTGATCTTGACACTCCGTGTCACCTGCGGTGAAAATCACAATTCGAAATGCGCGCCAATTACAAAGTAATATTCACTGCCGGTACCAGAAATCTATAGTGTGCGTAACATGAACTATAGATTTTCAGTGCCGACAATGAATATCGGGACGCAGGCATTGTCATGTACGAGCAAACTACCAATACCTGTCATCACGGCCAACACGCAATTTATTATAGCGTCTTTGTGACCTGCTTCTGCGAGAACATCCGATTTGACGGTCTTCAAAAGTTCCGTGAACGCGTCCAAAGCGCTAATCGCGACCGTAGCCTCTTCGTCTAATCTCACCAACTCTGCCAACCGCGAGACCAACATAGAGAGAGCCTTCAACAATGCCTCTCTGCCTTCGTTGGTTTCGATTTTCGAAAAGTTGATGCAAAATTGTACCAGAGCCTCCACGCTCGCTTTACGTATATCTTCCAGAGGATAAGCAGTCAACTTGAAAGTTTCCTCAAAGGATTTTGCGAGATACGGCATGAAGGCCTCTCTGTAATACAACATGCTCGTTAGATACAATTAATCCCTGCATATCAAAGTCGACGACTCACTCTGTGTATTGAGCAATTTCTTTCAGAGCTAATACAGCCTCCTCTTTCTCCTCGATGTAGGCATTTTCGACGCTATAACCCGCAACGTCCTCGTCATAATCCTCTTCGTTGTCGGTGTTCTCAATGTCTTCCTCTTCGTTCTCCTCCTCGCTGAGATCTTCGTAGACAGGGAAAGCTGTAGCCTCGTCGTCCTTAACGTATGTCTGTAATCAGATATTACGTCATTTTCAACGTGTTCCTCTCCCAATTTCTTGCGATTCACGCAATCTTGATACACACCACAAACCCGTCCGAACTCCGAATACTCATTATCATGTACTCGACGATCTCGGGCAAAGCCATGGCCATCTCCTTCTTCATTACCGTGCTGATGGAGGCGAACAGTCCATAAATGGACTTTCGCAAGTCTGGATCTTCCGTCTCTTTTAGCAGTTTCATACCAAAATTCAGGGATCTACCTGTCAACGGTGCAAAGTGCTGTTCGCCTATTGTCTTAGCGATTGCTGCGAGAGTATCTGGAAAAATACCCGAGACAAAGGTAATTACGACGATCGTGTCGAATGTAATCGTCATTTCTACCAACCGACAGCTTGAATCTGAAGACACATGTCCGTTACGTTCTCGGTGAGATAACTGTTGAGAATGGTGACGATTTTCTCAAAGTATGGTAACATGTGCTCTTTGCTGGCACAGGCAGCGGAACTGATGGCACTCAGAGCGAGTTCTCTCACGTGCACCGGCGTGTCCGCGCTCAGGATCTCGAACAACCTTTCCATCAATGTGGGCAAGTATGGGAGCAGGCTATCGTTTAGATTTTCACAAAACATCTCGAGGGCGTAGAACATACGGCTGACCGAAGGCGGCTCCTTCTTTTCCTGCTTAATGTGGGCACATACTTGGCCGAGATACTCGAATAGCACGGGCAGCAATTCGGAAGAATACTGCGAGATTTCCGGTTGCAAATGCTCGGAGAACTGTCCCAGAGCGAACAGAGCAGCATTGCGCACTACAGGCGAGGGATGCGTGATTCCTTGACAGATGCACCGCAGGAAGGACTCGAGATACTTGGAACGAATGTATTCGCAACAACCTTCCGCCAATACAGCCATGGAGACGTACGCAGCTTTCTTGGCGTATATGTCCGAGCCTTGCAGTCCGGGTTCGATGTATCGTAACTGTGACACATCGTCTTATTTCGTTTCCGTCGAAAACAACTAACTCGTTTCTTAAATTACATCTGAGCTCTCTTACCATGTGTGGAATCAATTTTTCCGGCGGCAGATGCAACGCAAGCAAGTCTAAAGTTTGAGTAGCTGCTGTTATTGGTGTATCATTGTCGTTCTCTCCGCTGATATAATCGTCGTCACCGTCATTATCTGGCCGTATAGTCATGAGTACAAATAACATGTCTGGAAATCGAACAGCAATTGAATCGTTCAATCGTATTATATTCGATTCTTCTGTAATTGCAGATATGGAATCGCTGAAGTAACCTACCGACGATAGGCTCCACTAGTTTATGCTTTACAAGAGCTTTTTTCTTCGTTCTTGCTAACCAGCCAATAAAACCAACTGCTTTAACTCTAAGGGAATCGTCTAAAGATTTGTTAGTGGCAATCGCAAGGCACATGCTGACGAGAGGTTTGACATGAGGCGCTATCACAGCATTCAGATTCTCGCACAATTCATCCAGCAACTCGAAACATTCGGTGGCTCGTTCTTCGTCACACGTGGTGAAAGCCTGTATGGTGAGTACTATCAGCGGCATCATTTGACTGTAAGTATTCACCATCTGGAATGACACGTTTCTCAATAACAATATTTCGCAGTATCAAAGCTTCATTTGAAATCTTAGAGAGATTAATAATACGAACCACTTGATCGTGCTCAACTAGAGGAATAAGATTCTTCATCGTCTTTAAAATAAAGTAAGAAACTGGATTTCCCAAATTTTCCTGAAGACCGCTCAATGTTCGAGCGAGAAGTACTGCCAGAGATTTCGCATGCATAACATAAGTGTCTGGTGTAACTTCTGTCATAACGGATAAAGTAAAAATGCCTAGCTAGAATGAAATGTTTAACATCATAAAATAATCAGATAAATAAAAAAAAAAAAGTGTCGTTTTTATGTCAAATTTCACATAATCCTTGGAAAGATCGACCATTCTTTTGCTTACTTCCTTATTTGTCAGGTCTTCACTGGTAACTAGTTGTTGTATGAATTGTAAAACCTCTGGCCAATTGTTTATGGGTAATTCATGCTTAACGATGATACCGATTAACTGAGCTATAGCATTTTTAACATTTTTCTGTGGTTCATTCACTAAGGCCTGAAAAGCATGACAAATATGCACACATGTATTATGCAGCACAAATTCAAATACAAGGTAAAATTTAGTAATATAAAAATCACTCACTTGTAAAATAAGCGCCTTAAATTCAGTACGTATATTTTCAGATAAACTTGTCCAATGCTTTGATTTACTATAACGTTTCCTAAGGAGGACGGCTGCATACTGCCTTACCTATAAACATTCACTCTCAATCATATATTTACCAAAAGTGAAAATGATACATGAATTGACTTAAGAAATCACAAACCTGTGGATTTGTCGAAGTTACTATGAGTTGGCACAAAGCTGATATATTGTCTGGATTCTTGAGAGCTTTTCTAAGCTCTGCGGTAGCCTGTGTGACAAAATACATGAAGAAACTGAGTCATACCAGGATCAGAGGCGATCGAACAGACGATATCATTCTTAATTGCTGTTGCAAGAGACACTTTGATGGTTAGCTGCAGTAATTAACAACTAGCCCAACGGATATATAACCAATGCTTAAAAGTGATCGCTGCGCAAATGGTACAGCAACTTCGGTCGAGCGAAACTCTGCGCGTTTGACCGAAAGGATTGAACGGCTATCGGGTGATTGAACAGAATTTAAATTGGACAAACTCGAGTGAATCGAAACGAAACACGTGTTTTTCAGTGTTAAAAAGATCGAGTCGACGAGCGTGTCGCGAACGAAAATCTACGAACCTGTTGTATCGTGGTGTTATCGGGCACGCACAACTTCAACAGTATGCTCTCCATTTCTTATTTCAGCCGAAGGGTAAAAAATTTACTTGGCAGTATCCGCGGATGAAAACCGACCTGGCTACCCACAGCCGCTGTCCAAACCTGTTGGTGACGTCCATATGGCTACAATGTTCCCAGATGTAGTGATGCTAGACGGGCCGGGTTTCTCGCGCATGCGCATTAAACGCGCCTTCAATGGAGTACCTAGCACGAAGAAAATGAGATACTGTGTGTTAATGGGTCGTGCGATAGATTTCAGTTGTCGGACTTGAAATTGCAAATCGAGCACCGATAATGATCGTTACTTACGTCCTGTTATCCGATCTTTTCTATCCGCGCGATCGAACATAGAAAATTCTTTTTTCATCTAGACGTTGCCTAGCATGAATCGCCATGCTTATTCACTCCGGTCTAGTCTTCCCGCGTCGTCGATCAGTTTATTATTTTAAAGCGAACCCCTTCCTGCGGAATTTTTTCTATCCGCTATATTCCTCGCCTCTCTCTCTCTCTCTCTTTCGTTTGCTCGCACATGTAGACACCTTGAAATAATACAAAAGGAAGGAAAGAGAGAGAAAGATTCTTTCGACGTTATTTGAAAAATTTATCCGTGCGTAATAAATTGTGCACGTGCGTAAAAATATGCGCGTGTAATTTTATCACCTAGTTTTTTAATTTTAATTGAAAAATCTCTATACATGCGACTTAAATATATTTGGAACGTATAAGACAGGATATATAGGACATGAGGAAAGAATTTTTGCTGTTAAAACGATCTTTTACTTAAGATTGTAGTATTTTCATCCGCGTAGAGGCTTATCTTGAACAAGCGTGTGCCTGATACTTGGGGTATCTTTATGTATTCTCTTCGACATGAAGCTTGACACGAGTGTTGGCACTTGAGTCGTAAGAGGCAAATCTTAAGACTTACCTTCCTCGACCTCCTTGCGCCGCTCATTATTTTTATTACCCCTCATTCGATTCGATAGCTGCGTATATATGGTTGCTTTAGAGATTTTTCAAGATCCCCCGCGTCAAGAAATTAATTTTGATTATATATCAGAGACATATCATATACAGAAATGCTCAGACTACCATCGTGTAACTTATCGTTTAGCCATTTGTAACAATTCTTTTAATTCAACTTTTCGCAAATGTCTCAATCAAAATGTCTATTCTTGACTGAAAAAAGAATTAAACTACTAGGCGCACAGCATATTTTCCCGCCGATGGACCTAACATCGTCTCGAGAACATGACCACCAAAACCGCACGAAGGCTGTCAGCGACGTCGTTGAGTGACTCTTCTTGCACCTCATGTATGCATTCGTCGTTGGCTTAATGTGCATTCCGGGCGACGTTCGCTAAAGGAGAATTCGTTCGTGCTATCTTATTTTCTCTCAATGGCCGAAAAATTTTTCGTGAAATTCGATTATGAGGTCACCCACACAGCAGAAATGTCCAAGGTACATTATAAGGATATCCTAAAGATATTTTTACTTCTTTCTACTTCGAACATTTCTGCTATGCGGGCAGTTTCCAAACGTCACGAGCAAAAGGATTGAATTGCGCTATCGTAATCAGAGAAGTGGCTTTATATTTATCTAATATACGTACGAGATTACACACGTCGCTTTTTTTGTAATATTCCCTGAAGAAAATTTCGAAGAACTTACCTCGCACAAATCCTCCATTCGGCTCGTTTCCTCGACCGCGCGATAACTTAGTTCTAAGATCGGGTGTCAGCACTATTTCGGGAGCTGACAAGATCGATTATCGAGCCGAGCTTCCGCGAAGGAGCATTCCCTTCTCTGCCTCATATCGCAGCCGCGATTTTCCCAAAGGACGCGCCGGTATTCCAACATGTGACGCAAGAAGGCTTGTTCATGTAGCTCGAACAAGGATCGCCGACTAAAAAAACCGAAAGAAAGCCTTCCGCCGTCGCTTTTATGACGGGCAAACAAGCCCTTCCAACAACGCGACTCTGTCGCTCACGCGACGCGTTTGCTTACGAATTCCTTCACATTTTCACTCCGATGCGTATTTCAGATCGAAATCAAACGTACAAACCTATAAGCAGCCTAATAGGCATACTTGCGTGTTTGTTTTACAAAAATATAAGTACGTTTATTCGTATCATTATTCGCATTTGTTCGCTTACTCTCACACTTTGGTTATGTTAAAAAGAAAAAAAGTGAAAATTGTCAAATAAATCCAAAGTGTATAATGTCGATCTGAAGAAACACACGATTCCCGAGGTTACGAGAAAGTAGGAGAAAAAGTTTATGTGCGCGAAGCTCTCTTGAAAGATTACATCACTAAATTTATTCGTCACACGATGATGATGCGTCTCCAAACTGTCTGATGACCGACGGCCTCGTTGGGGAATTTGCCGGCCAATGTGGAGTAAAGATCTGGAAGAGGCTTGTCGCGGTATCAACAAATTGTTATCGCCACCGCAAAACCGTTGTGACGTAAACGACTATATCATCCGCGCTCATAGGAAGCGTGACACTTTCTTCTACGCTCCAGTTTGTCGACGCGTTTTAATCATCCGACACATCAATTCGTTACCGCACGAAATATTCAATGAAATTGTTTATTACAGCACTCACGCTTTTCACATGAACGATTGAAAATATTTTCGCTCGAACGAACGGAGTGGAAGCGGAGTGCACGCGATAAAAGAAAGAACTGTCGATGGAGAACTTGTTTTTTAGCAAACGTTATTTAATTCTACAGACTTCGTATCTCCGCGCCAGACTTAAATTAATTACACCGATTGATTGATCGTAAATATATATATAAATAGGATACGTTGTAGATGCATCGAGCGTTCTCTGCACAAGCGGACGTATCTTCCGACGCGCGCTACGCACGTTTGAGCCACTATCGGTCATGATTTCTCTCTTTTACGCGACTATATTTTACATTTTACGTACATCATTTATTCACGCCCGCGTGAGGGCATTCTTATTACTTTACTCGCACATAGTCACCGACGGATAAGATCGACATCCATCGGGCCACGAGAAGATCTCGATCGACGATATCGTAGCGCGGGAAAACACCGCGCGAATAACGAATCGTTCGCCTCGAGAAAGCGTCTTCACATGTTGTACTTGATCTGATCGTAATACATAGTTGTCGGCGGCGGCGTTGACGCGTGATGAATATTCGTGGACACCGCGCCAGGTATATTGGATATACTCAGGCCGCCGATGTTACTCAGATTTAACGAACCCAGCGAGCTCAAGGAGCTCAAGGTCACCGATCCTCCGGGATGCGCCGCGAAGTAGGATGGCTTCCGATCCACGATCCCGCCGCCGGAACTGCTCGAGCTGGAGCTAGAATTGGCGCATTGCATTTTTATTCCTGAAACAAATCCACCGTTTTTATTCGTCTTTCGACGTATCTGCCTTCTTTTTATGCAGCGTAGCTCGGCGAACGGAAAAAAGACTTGCGCTTTCGAGACTGAACACGTAAATGACTGATTATTTCCCGCTAATCGCAATATATATATATATATATATACCACTTTCAGTACATCGTTTTGACGAGACGCGCGAGTCTCGAAAATATTTGATACCAAACATTCCGCGTACTCGGACGGGATTTCATCGAGTTTCGTTACCCAAGACCGCACAAGTAACGTTGGAAAAAAAAAACTGAAAGATCTCACGATAGAAATTGGTACTTGGGGCAGGCGTAGTAAATCTAAAGCTCCGGCAGTTCTCAAGTAGCCTCCTCTCAAGCGGCCACTTCACTCGTGTCTCGATTTTGTACCGCCTGTTTTTCTTTTTTTCCATTCTTTCTCTCGCGTCCTCGTATTAATTTTCGCTTCTCGTCAGAGAATCGCGGTGATCTCTCTCGGTACCACCTCTGATCCCGGTCTGTCCGACGTGTCGCATATCGTAAGATGTCGTACGCCCCTTACATGAGGAAGAGGGGAAATTTATTATATAGAACATCGGAGATCGGCTAGCGCTACTCCCCGATATCAGCGGAAAATTCGAAAACGTCGGGATGGTTTATCGCTTTTCAAAAATGATCTCTCTTGATTGAGGAGCGCGACGTCGCGAGTGGCATCGCGACGCCTCGAGACGCGACGTCGTGGGTGGTCCGGTGGCGCTGCTGCCAGTCAAAATGCTCTCGCTGCGCGACTGCTCGCGCCAATTCTTTTTCTTTTTCTTTTCGAGAACGCGTACTGCACGCACGCAAGCGCGAAGACTCTGGCTTTCGGGGAGCAGAGAAGTCGCTTCTGACCGAATACCGGCACAACAGAACATAGTTCGGAGTAAAGAGATCGCTCCAGAAATACACGGAGAGCGCTGCGTAAGAAGAGTAAAAAGGCGAGGCGCGTCTGTGGATCGATCTCGTTTACACTCCACTGACTGACGGAAGACGAACAAGAAGAAGAAGTCTGCGCTAGAGGAACGCGTGGGTGGCGCGTTTATCTCCCGTCGATCCACGTTGTATCGAGGTACAGAGAGGAAGAGATTCCTCGCTCGCATTGGCAGAGCCAGAGATCGAGAGTGGATTACCGGTCGCGTGGAATGATTTCAAGTACCGACGGTTTCGTTTCGCTGATTTCCGCAATTTTCGCGTCCTATTTGTCGATAGGCGGAATTCGGGTAAAATTGAAGAGACACGAGCGGTGGAAGCTTCGGATTAATATTCGGTGAATAATCGATTCGCTTTCGTTCAGACGGTGCCGTAAATATCACGATGCTTCGCGTTTCGCGGGGTTAAGGCCGAATTAAATCATCTTGTTTACACCTCCTATAAATGTTTACGCGATAAACGATTCGAGCACGCACTTGCCAGCACGCGACTACGTCGGGCAGGCGACAAAAATTGCATTTACCCCTTTCAAATTGCCGCTCGACCACAAAAGCCGATTATCTTCACGATGCGCGTCCTCCGCTCAATCATTCAATTATCAATGCGCGTGAAATTATTTCGGGGGAACGTTACATCGGAACATTGAAAGATCCGAGGGACGAAGCTCGTGAAAATATATTTGAGAAATTGTTCTCGCAACGACACACCTCATCCGTTCTGTTACCATAAGACACGATGTTAACACGCATTTTATCGTCGCCTTCGCGTCAGACGCGACGTCGACTAAATTAATCCCGCGAGAAGAGGAAATGCCACGAAATGCCTCGTCTTACGGTGTGTTACACATGTTAAGTCACGAGGTACGAGTTACGAGCTCGAAGCATCGCATAAATGCACGTTGTCTTCGTTAATAGCCTCCGTTGACGACTCGTCCGGTGTATTTCGAATACACGGAAAAATATTATTCAAGACTCACAAACATAAGCGAGAATATTATATAAAGATGGAACTCGCTTACACGAAAAACACTTCCGCTAAAAATATTATATTTAGAATAATTCTCGTGAACTGAGAGAAAACAATGCTGGATAGAAAGAACACGATATCATCAGATTATAAGAATTATGTCGGTTTGAAGATATCGTTTTTCTTTTTTCTATCCAATACTTTTTCCTCTCAATTCATGAGAATTATTCTTGAATAACAAGAATATGACATTTCCAGCGAAACTATATAAAATTTCTTAATGCAAACAGGTTTTACGTAAGATTATATATTCTTGTTTATATATGAAAATATGAATCTTGAATTGATATTAGATTCTTTCCGTGTAGAATTTTTCAACGTTGCGTTACAAACGATTGAGTTTGTCCGAATGTACGACTTCGTTACGCGCGCCTACTTATTCCAACATTTGTTGTGGTTGTATTCTTATTTCAACATTTGTTATGGTTGTATATTTTTAAAAATCAAAATAAACACCACTTCCCCTTAATTGAATGTAATTTTGCACTCGACGCGCGAAATAATTTCTAATCGAACTAATCGTGCTCGATCTCGTCTCTTCGGATCTCCAACTCCATCCGTTCGGAAAATTCCAACAGTGAAGAAAGGATGGAACGTCTGATGAAATAGTCGCCGTGGTTTCACTTTGCAGGACACGGCGCCTGAAAGGTCGTAAACTGTCTCCGATTTTCCAGATGGCCCCTAAATGACGTCGCGACCCGTCAACGTTGTCCTCGCGATGCAAAGAGGACTAAACGATCTCAGGCGTGATGTAGCGTTGCAGTCCGCGATTGCATCGAACGCGTATTCGTTGGTGCGCAAACACTACCGGAGCCACGTTGCGAATTTCACTTTTCGATACTCGCCGATTTCCGAGAGCGAAGGGCGAGATGGAAGATCGCTCGACTTTGAACGGCACGCGCGGGGAATTTCTCTCGAAATGCGGAAAACCGAGGAGGATGGTGGGTGAATGAGAAATCAACTCACCGTGATCGGCGACAGGTGTCTGACAGCCGGCGCTGTGCGGCGAGCTGACGTTCGCCACTGGACTGCCGGCGGCTGCTTGCTGCTCCTGCATGGATTGCATGGCGATGTTGACGCTGTTGTTATTGACTCCTGCGAGGCCGTAGCCGACGTAATAATCCTGTCCGGGTGCTTGAGTAGTGGGCGTCGAGTTGGCGCACTTGTAGTTCATCATGCTCTCGTCTTTGTAGTCGACGTGATGATGTTGTTGCTGCGGCTGATCCTTCACGGAGGAAGAGAAAGCATCCGTGGGTCTGTACGTCAACTGGTGATCCTGACTCCTGCTGCCGAACGATCCTGGCTCGCTCTTGAACGCGACCAGCTCCCCATTCCGGTACACCGACGCGGTCGGCTCGCTGGTCTTGTACGTGACCTCGGTGGTCTTGTAGGTGACCTCGGCGATCGGCGGAGACTTGTACGCCGCGCCGTCCGGATACGCCCAATCGGCGGCGGAGACCGCCGCAGCCGCCGCGCTCGGCGCGTACATCGCGTATTCTTGATAGTTTTGGTACTGGTGGTTCTGGTAACCGTTGGTGTACTCGATGCCGCCGCCGGTTAGGTTCTCGTAGCCGGATGTCTGCACGGGACCGGCCGGGCTGGTGTAGTACTGCGGGTACTGCGGCTTCAGCGCCTGGCATTTGCGCCGGAAGCCACGCGGTCGTCGCCGGAAGCTGCCCTCCTCGAACATGTACTCCGTGGACGGGTCGATGGTCCAGTAATGGCCCTTGCCGGGCCTCCCCAAGCCCTTGGGCAGCTTGATGAAGCACTCGTTCAGGCTGAGATTGTGTCGCACCGAGTTCTTCCAGCCCTGGTAAGCGCCGCGGAAGAACGGGAAGCGTTGCTGCAGAAACGAGTAGATCTCGGACAGGGTGAGCCGCTTGCCCGGGCTCGACTGGATGGCCATCACGATCAGCGCGATGTACGAGTACGGCGGCTTCTCTTGCCGTCGTCCGCCGGGTTTACGCGGCAGCTCGCTGCTCGCGGGGTTGCACATCAGCGGCTCCAGGCTCTGCTCCTGCGGCAGGCTCGCCGGCAGCACCGCTCGCGGTTCCTGCATGTCGGGCTCGTTCTTCAACCTCAAGCCGTCCCCGATGTCGCGCGGCACCGACGGCACGATCACGCTCTGGTCCATCGAGAGCGGCCCCTCACAGTCCGGCGGGCATTCTCACCGGCTATCCGTCGCGGGATCAAGGACGACGCTTGTATTTCGGCCTCGAACACTCCCTAACTTCCGGTGGATCCTCTCTTCGTCCTGCGCGCGGGCGCTCCCGCGGAGCAACGAACCCGCGGCCACCACCTCCGGCGACTCGCGGATATTTACACGCGTAAATTGTTTGCGCGATTCCGCCGGCGGAGGGGTATTCAATTATTTAGACTCGTTTCTCCGACGAACTCGCCGCGCGGACTCGCTGATGCGCCGCTAAGTGTTTTCGGATGACTGCTGTTCGCTCGGCCGACCGGAGCGGGATCTCGTCGCGCGGATGACGTTAATAGCGGCGTGACAGCGCGTCGACGAGCTTTCTCTCTATCATGGGCGTGCCGATGGGGTGAGGAACGCGATATCCGGATTGGCCGCGCTCTGACGTTTCGCTCGGAAGCACGCGGTCGCGGCCAATGGCTGCCCCGTCGAACTGCCTTCGGATGGCTTCTGCGTCTCCTTCGTCCTCGTTATCCCGCGACAGAGATTACGGCCAAGCGAGTTGCATAATGACGTTATTATTTCGATTCATCCGTCGGTGGCCGCGCTCCCATTGTTGAGAATAGAACGGAACGCCGGGGACGTTTGCCACCCCCCTGTCGGGATGACTAGCGCTGCAAATTTCCAAGATACGTCCATCCCGAGGAAAAAGGAAATCTCTGGATTACGGAGAGCGTCGTTGTCAAGATGGACATTCGGCGACAACGGCTGTCGAGCGAAAATGATCCCTGGGAAGACGTGGAAATTCTTACGAGACTCGGCACCGTAAACTTGAGGATTTCTCAGGCGCGCGAAAATTGCAAAATTGCAAGTACCGCCTCGAGGGGTACCGCTATGTTGCGAGTGCTGAGTAATGCGTCCGTCGTCGGCGCACAGCTGCGGATGCACACGAAGAAGAGGAAAGGAAAAGCTATTGGTCTGCCTCTTGGCCAACGGGACGCACGCTCCGCCTGTTCGTAGTACCGCCTTGCGATACTTCCTCGCGGCGAGACCTCGTCGTGAGCGAAGTGCGATTTCTTCCGGCGACCGCTGTTGAAAATGTTCACGATCTTCCCGAAATTCCCTGTCGCCAGTTTCCTCCAGAGCCTCGACTCTTCTCCAAATGGACGATAGAAAAATGTCCGTACGCGCCTCTATATTTCTATTCATTGATTCTTCCACCGGGTGTGCCGGTAGATTCATTCCCGCCCGGCTGCGAATCTCGTATCGTAAATATTTAATTTCGTGCGTCGCTTATATTATTACTGGGCGCGAGATGCATCTCTCAACAGCGGAGGACCGACGCCGCACCGTCACTCGATACTCGATGTCGATGGAAGTGCCGATGATCGGGATGTTTATTCGGCTTTGCGCGTGACCGCAGCAGTGACAGAAAGAAAGAGTTCATGCCTTATCACCATGTGCCGCTTTCCGCGTGCTTCAATTCAACTGCGATCCTTGAGAGACGGTCTCGAAAGGATGGCACTTTCGAGTGGTCGTAAAAAGGGAATTTTACTCGTAAAATACAAGCGTTCGCCGGGAGTCGTCCCGTTGGAAGAGGGCTCAGTTGGTAAACAGACGCTCGAGTCGCCACGAAATTACGGAATGTTTCGGTTAATTTCCGACCAATTCTTTCGCTGACACGTGCGGATTAGCGAGGAAAAGAGAGAGAGAGAGCTCCATCGTCGGAAGCTCTCTCTCACGCGCGCGTAATCTTGGTGACGTTGAAGACAGAGTCCGGATCGCGAGAGGACATCAGTGGATGCGCAGCGGAGCGCACTGGATATACGGACGACGAATTCTCAGGAGAAGTTTGTTTGCCTTAGGGCAAACGAGCCGACGAAAGAGGAGCAACGCGCGGCCATCTTGTCTCTGTCTTCATACTTCCTCCCTGTCGACGCGCCGGTCTCGCCCAGGACTCCTCCGTGTTCTCCTTCGCGCGATTCGATCCTTTCCTTCGCTCGTATTTACGTCTAATTTGCGTCTTGAGATAAGCAAGGGGACAACAACATTCGCCGGGCCGTGTCTTAAGGGGTGAAAGTTCAAGTGCTGCGGTCCTCGTTCCGTCGTCTTCTTCCCACTGTGTTCCTCGAAGAGAGAGAGAGAGAAAGCAACCCTCGTAAGATAGTAGCACTGTTTACTACTTTCGAGCTCTCCTGTGACGTTTTCCGCGACAGCCTCGAGTGCCTCCTCGAGGGAAAGTAATTGGCTCCTGTCGTAAGAGGAAGAAAAAATACAAAAGGAAGAAGGGGAAAAATTGAACAAGCGGGAAAAAGTGAAGAAGCGGTAAGACGCAGCCCGAGTGGCGCGCGAATGTCCGTAAACGGATCGGCCGACGAGTCGGGTAAGAACGTGCGCGGAATTGAATATTTCGGACGCGACGGCGATGGTCGGTTCGGAGTGACTTTACTGCCGGAGTCGCGGATGCTTTATTTAAGATAAAAGCGCATCACAAAACCGGGACCACCCCGGGAAAAACCGTGTCGGTTGCACGTGTGCTCGTCGGGAAACCGCAGGCCGGAACCAAAGATTACGGCCGGCAGCGTCTCGCGCGCAACGAACGTTTATACAGGCGGCGGTGGCCCTTGTGATGGTTCTTTTAATTGTCTCGTCCGCGAGAGAGTGACCCACCATATATATATATATATGTATGTGTGTCGGTCCATCAAATTTCGCCAAATGTCTCTGCGTCGAGCTTCCTTCCGAAAGATTCATTCCCCGCTTCGTCATTACTCCACGTACGTACAGTCGCAGGTCTCCCGAATTATCGACAAGTGACAGTTGCGTGGCAGGAACGGACAAAGGGTGCCGGTAATGTATTAAAAGAAATGTGTCGGCGGCACACACAACAGGTGCACTTGTGAATGGCTAGACTGCTGGAAAGGCCGACGGGGTGCGGTATCGAATGCGCGCTAAAATACGAGGAGAGGGTTCGTAAAGGCGCAGCCGCCGATCGACGGCGACGGTATAAAATTACGGTATCGTGTAAACAGAGAATCTCGTCGGCGCGTCTGATGGCGGCTTGGGTGGCCGTCGGGGAGCTTCACGTGTTCTCCGCAAGCGCGGAGGCTGCAACGAGCGAGCGAGCGAACGAGCGCGAGAGAGAGAGAGTGAGAATTTCTCCGCGACAATAGCTTCGACGAGGACGATCGGGTAACGCTTTATTTATAGTGTTCTCGTTTCCTCGCGCGCAAAATCGCGATGATCCACGCGGGACTCCTCGGCCGAGAGTTACCGTTACGCAGGAGCGAGAGGACTCGTGAAATCTGTCCGTTCATAGATGGAATTACGAATCTCCCCGACTGTGTCAGCCTCGATCGCGTGTATAAAATTTGGCGAATCAACAAGCGGTGCTGTCGTAGTTGGCGAAAGTCGATTTATCCTTGGCGAGGTCCCGAGGTGTCTCGTGCAACCGAACAGTGGAAAACCCCCTGCCTTACAACCGCGGGATAACAACGCGTTCGGATTATTTATGCGCTAACCCCGCGCGATTTTCGACAGAAATCCGCGGTAGCAGAAGAAGGGCCCTGCGCTTTCCGAAATAACCAGCATGGCCGGATAAACGTGTCTTATTTTGAGAGCCAGCCCTCCCTCTCCGGACTCGCGGTGTTCCACCATCTCGTGCCCGATCTTACGCAAAAGAAACACTATCCAGACACCGCGCGCGCTCGAGGATGGGCTGTAGAAATCGTGGAGGAATTACGGCAGCTCGCGGGAAAGCGGAACAGACGCAATCTCCTCCGGATCTTTAATCGCCTTTTCTCTCTCCCTCCTCGTCTCTCGTTGCTCGTCTCCGCGAAAGAGGATCGAATCGCACGGATTTCGGGGATACGCAACTTATTCGTCCTCCCGATTTTTTGCGTTTATTGTTCTTGCGAAGCGAGATACGTGGAAATCAAATCGGTACCACCACCGTAGGACCCTCGTGACGCCCTAAAAGCGTGTCGAAATTTTTCACTGTCCACGCCCGCGCCCCCGTGGAGCACGGCTGTTTACGCTACGCGTGTATCCCACTTAATCCCGTGTTTTCGTGTTTATATCTCGACTACCGTAGGGGGTTGTTCCGACACGACCTCTTTCTCCCTCTCTCTTCCATCTCGGCCGTTTTTCCTCCCGCCGACGCGAAGCAGGTCCTAGCGGGATATATTTATAAAAACGGGCGGGTTGCTATCTTTCGCATACGATGAAAATACCGAGGCGAAGTGGCGCAACGATAATCGTTTCAATCAAAGGACGGGATTGCAAAGTGCGAGACAGAATCGTGCGCGCACTCGAGTCGCCCGTATGAATCGTTTTCCTCGGCGAGCAAACGCTTACGGTGTTACAGCTGCGGCCATCTTGCCGCCGCGGGACTTAACAGCCTCGTTAAACATTAACGACCGTTTGTTAGAAGCATCCAGCTACCGGAATAGAACGAGGAACGCGCGACGCGACTTTGCGAATCGTCGCTGTCGATATTTTCTCATCTCGCTGAAACATCCGCGATCAACTCGTTCGCGCCGAGACAATTGTTCTACTCGACGAAGGAAATGCCAGTTTCAATGAAAAATATGTGAAGGATAGTTCGGCTCGATTAATTGCTAAACTAGCGCCGCTCAACAAATGTGTCTCATTAATTTGAGTGTTTCTCTCATTTGTTTTTTCTTTCTTTCTGGTTACAAGTACGCGATTAATCGCGCACTCATAACGAATCTCGTGTCCGCGAAATTAATGACAACTAGCCTGCGTGCCTGCGTGCACCACCTTCTAGGAACCGTTTGCGATGAACCGGAAGATATAAATCTCAACTCTTTCTCCCACCTTCAAACGGTCACCACGTAGAAGATCTCTAGACCGATGTTTCCGTGCGAGGCGCACGGGGTCCCACGCGCTACGCGGACAATTCTTTCCCGTCGGCGTGCTGTTTACAGGACAGAGTATCGTTACGAGCTATCGGACGTGAACCATCTGTCTGA